TTCGGCGGCGAGAAATCAAAGCGGTTCGCAAGACCAGGGCTCAACAAACTAGTTCTTCGGAGAAGTTTCTGCGCCTGCAAGGGGAATTTGCGTATCCATTCGATTTGGCTCAGGCCGTATTGGCTCGCGAGATGCTCAAAGCTGAAAGTGCTCGACACTCACAAAGCGTATGGGAGAAGCGGATGGCTGTGGCTGATGTCAAGCGGAAGTTTCCGACTCTGGTTGAGAAAGCCGATGAAGAACTACTGCATGACAAGGAGCGTCCTTCGAAGAGACAAGAAACGTCGTTAGTGGCATGTCCTGTTGCCGGTGCATACCCTGATCCATCTCCAGACGCGCGGCCGGTCTCAAACTGCGCACTCCGCATGAATCAACCATTCCTGCGCCGAGGCCCGAGCCCATGATCAGACCACATGCAAGAGCAGCGATGATTCAGAGCAGGATTGAGATCGAGTTGAGTCGCCAGAAAGATCATGGCTGGGACGATGGTGTCAGCGTATGTTCAAAAATTCGTGATCCTCCCTTCTTCTGATCCATTTTTAGTCCTCATTCCAAGCACCTCCTGTGCCCATTTCGTCGCGCTCATTCAAGTTTGGCGCTGGGACTGGACACGCGCTTAGCCCCTGTGCCGTGCGGCTACGCCGTGGCCGAGGTGGTCGTATGCTTGTGGATCGACGCCTCGCTGCTCCGTATTCGCCTTCCACTCTGCGGAGCAGTCGGTCCTCCCTTTTCGGGTCACCACACGACAACGACGAAGAAGATCCAGAGCTGGTCCGGCGCTTGGAGGAGCGATGGCGGTTTGACGCGGATGATTGTCCAGACGGTTCAGATGAGCAAGATCGAGTCCTGGTCGATGAGTTCGATGCCAAGTCAGTATTCGCCTATTGTTGAGATGCACATGCTTATCTTATGCAGATATCTGCGCCATTCCGGGTGTTTGTTGACAGACAATGACCAGCAAGGCCTCAACACAGATACTACCTTGCATTTCAACTCAGCAGAGGGTCGTGAGATCGTCACCGTACCGGGTTTTAAGCTGGGACTCCCTCATTTCCCTCGTCAAGCCAGTCATGGGGTGCTACGTTCGTATCCAATGATCTCACAGCAGGGCCTTGTCAACGGCACCCCGATTGCGAATCAGGTCAAGAAGATGGCATCGATGGGCAGTCACCAACATCTCCGAATCTCAGCGAACGGGGGGATGCGACCACCCAGTTTGCCCCCGAGTCAGTCTGGACAAACCTCTCCTCAACCGGCGACGCCGAATCCTGTTCGAGCCCCGATCACCGTGCCCCATCTCCAGGTCGAATCCGTTCCAGACGGGTTGATTCCTACCCATAGTCCTGCAGAAGCTGCGAACATTCTGCAACCACATACGTCTGAGACGACAAATAACATGAATGGGATGAATGGTTCTGGTGTTCCCACTCGGCCAAAGTCGCAGAACACCCATCTCCCGAGCAACTATCTAATGATGAATGGAACTATGACCAACGGTGCCATGAATGGATATCTGGCGAACGGCTCTCCGTACCTTGGCTCGACGTCCAGTCTGAGCATACAACAGATGCAGAACCTCAAGTCCGCATTCGCAAATACCCACAGCGGGATGGATCCACACACTGTACAGAACAACATCAGCCGACAGCCGCAGGTCGCAGTGCCGGGATACAATGTTCACGCAGGCACGTTCAATATGGCCATCAATCCGGGAACCAACATCAACCTCAAGCTTCCTCCCAATCGGCAGCTCAATTGGTCCGCTCCGATGCGACCGAATTCGGCTAATGGCCTGGATCACTCTGCCCTGAGTGCTGCTCTGAATGGTGCTATGAACGGCATGGGCAATGGCATGGGCAACATGCACAGCATGTCCATGAATGGAAACGGGAATGTCATGAGTGGGAACCTTGTGAACGGCAGCAGCTCTTTAAACGGTGCGATGGGCATGACCCTCCCCGGGTCATTGTCCCCCACTCCCAACCACCACCCCGTCCCAGTCCGAACACCATCTGCGAACGGTTCCCACAATGGGATGTCGATGTCGATGTCGCCGCCGCACATGCAGCTTTCGCCTTCTCCCCACCTCCACCACACTCCGTCGCCCATGCAATCTCCTCCGAGGCAACACATGGCCCCCATGCAGCTCGGTTCGCCAGCTCTCACTCATCAGCAACCTGTTGGAGGTTTTCAGAATGTCTATTGAATCATGCGCTCACCTATCCTTACGAATATATTAACGATACCCCCACTCTGTTGCTGCTTGAACATGTATTCATTTGTACCATAGAATTTCTACGCAGATCAGAAACCGTAACGTGACTGCTATTTCCTTCTTGCCTCTTACCATGTCGTCGCGTCCTGAACTGACGTCTTTGCCTTCTGCCACTGCCGTACCCAAACGTCGCACGAGACTCCTCAACTCCACATCTCCTGCATCGGCGCGCCGTGCATCTGTGTCGGGGGGCGTAGGGCAAAAGGCCCTGCGGACATCAAAGACTTCCCAGAAACTAGTCGTCCTTCCCTCGGCACCCCAGACTAAGCCTCTGCCGGAGGATGAAGACCCCGCGTTTGGGTACGAAACTGACGCGGGGGTACGTGAATACAAGAGCTCAGCTGAGCGCATGACGAAGGAGCAAAGGAAACGCGCGGGGCACAAACGCATCACCGTGTATTGCATCTGCGAATCATTCAAGACGAAGCTATTGAGTTCTTTCCTGAAAAGAGAGCACAACGTCGCGCCGAGAGTGTTTGACGAGGCGCTCTATGTCGTGCGTTTCTCTCTCCAGTTCTCAAGATACGATTGTCATTCCACAGATGTACCACTTGCCCTTGTTACCTGGATATGGGCCGAACGTCAGCCTCAGGTCATCTCTGGTGCACAAATCTCGGATGGCGAGGTCTATTCTGACGCGTCTGTCGGAGGCAGAAGAGGACGGATACCAGGGGACATATTTCCCACCTCAGCACTCGCCCGAGGCTCATCCCGACGGATACATCAGCTCCTCTTCCCCGGTGTTTTCGAGGCCCCACTACTCGGCTTCTCACGAAGTGCATGCTTCTGACGCGGATACCGAGGTGGAGCCTATTCATGCCCCGAGTATCAGTGTGGGCGAGATGTCCGCAGGCGAAAGTTTGCCGACGCCATACTCGGACGAGATCCCTCGCAGCGAACAGCTTCCCTCGTCGTCATTTCAAGATGAGGAAGTTGCGGAGGCTGTGTTCTTTGCGTATGGCGTAAGTGCAACTTATCACAGCCCAACAAAACAAGTGCATCGATTTAACGTGAACCAGGTTGTTGTCTTCTTTGGTTTCGAAGAGGCGCAAGAACGGAGTATTCTTGAGGATCTCGATGTCGCCGGGATCATGAAGAAGAAAATTCCGGAAGATGACTGGGAGATCGAGGAATGCCATTTCGCTGTTCGTCCTCGCCGTTCACAGGCGCTTTGGTCTGATGTCGCCTCTAGCATGATCGACACATCGCCTATCCGCGGATCTATAATGATTTCTTTAGTCAGTCGTCTTTCGGTTGATGGAATGTGGCTAATCATGTATTCCCTGTAGCGCTGAAATCTCGTTCTCATCTGCTGAAGCTCTCGATCGCGCACGCACTTGCTCAATCAACGCTTCTAGCCCACTATGAGACCACGGCGCAGCGGGTTCTTTCGTCCCCTCAGACTTTGTCTATTCCTCAACAGCTTGCAACTTCCGGTGCTCTGCAGCTCAAACGCCGCGAGGCACTCAAGTTGACTGGCAGTTTGTTCAAATTGAGGCAAGACATCAATTTGGTCAGTAATGTGTTGGATGTGCCCGAGCTGTTCTGGAGCGAGGCAAGTTTGAAAGAGTTGTATGATGCTGTCAGGGAATACATGGAGATCAAGGGCCGAGTCCAGGGGCTGAACGAGAAGCTAGGCGTCGCTAGTAGCTTCGTAAGTGAACACTGGTCTTGGGTCTTACTCTCCGTTGACGATTCGCTTCAGCTCGACGCGATCCATGACCACCTCAACAACTTTGCGATGGAGCGCATTACTTGGATCATCATCTGGTTGATCGTGGCTGCCATTCTTGTCGAGATGGTCTGTGCATCGCTTTTATCTCATTCACCCATTGATCGCGTCTTGCAGGGTGAGGTATTGGCGCGTCTCATCGTCCATGCGACAACTAGGCAGTCAGTAGCTGTTCCAGCCTCCTTAACCAGGGAGGAGGTGCTGTTGACCTTGGAGCGGATGATGAATGCAGGCAGTAGCAAATGAAGGCAAGGATTACAGCAGTTCGCTCGTGCTTTCCATGACAGCATATCATATGTGTGCATAGTGGACAATGAGGCAGTGCTAGTTGATACAGTACTTATGCCGCGATACCCTCAGCGAAGTTGAGCAGGTCAGAATCACCCTGGTCAGAGACGGTCATGACACTGGACAAGGTGTAAGTAAACAATGGGGAAATACAATACATTCAGTATCCACGTACCCGACACGGAACAGCTTTCCGGCAGCGGTGCCCAAAGCGACGTTCGTTCCAGCGAAGTGGTGCACGTTGGTTTTTGAGAGCATGGCGTAGTACTCAAGCTCAGATTTGCGCAGCGGGGGGCAATTGCCAGCGATCAGGACGAGCTTGGCTAAACACAGAGACAAAGTCGAGTGAGTTCAAGGGACCTTCTCAGCCTAACGCTCCAGTCCCGAGAGAGAACAGAGCGGTCACACACCTTTTCCACTGCGCATCTGCTTCAAAGCCGACTTGTAGCCCAGCGTGTATTTTCCCGATTTCACGACCAGAGCCAACTTGGACGAGATGGACTCGGAGGACTTTGCTGCCTTGGACTTTTTCGTAGGGGCCATTGGTGTCTTGAGGAAGGGAACAAGGAAATTGTGGCAGTTACGGCTGTCACGCTATGCAGTCGTGATCAGAGTCACGTGTGCCATCTCCATCCCTGATAATCTAATCACGATCTACCGTGATAATATGGCCACTAATTCGTTTGAGATTTGGGAAATTTCTTCATGGACGTTCCTGGTCTGTTTGTCGAGTCTCACCAGGGAGCTTTACATCCTGCCTCAAAGCCAACAGGGTCCGTGGTCAAATGCTCCTCCTGCCGCGATCTCAAACAGTGGGGCGAATAGCGATTTGCGGCCGGGGAGATTCTAGGGCGTCTGAACAACGCATCCACGGGACCCAGGGCGTATAGCACCGTTCAGTGTGGGCCTGGCGATGAGGATAATGTTGAGCTCAATTCGAATTTGGTATATGGTTCGCCCGCTCAGTCCATGCAAAAACACCTGTCTGATCGGTGCGACAGTCAATCATTCGTGCGACCCGAATGCTGTTTTCGATCTCTCGTCTACGGATCCTACTCGTTGGCATCTCAGAGCTCTGAAAGATATCATGCCTGGCAACACTAGTGAGGCTGGGCTCAATTCCCATTCACATGACTTCTAAGATCGAGACCTAGTCACCTACTTCTACCCCAGCACAGAATGGGATATGGCTCAAGCCTTCGACTGCGACTGCAAGACTGTGGTGAGCCTGTTTTATTTTTTAATTATGGCTTGTTTCGCTTAGTGGCGGTATGTAGGAGTGTCTAGGACGTATCCAGGGCGCGAAATATTTGTCAAGATCTGAACTAATCAAACGAGGATGGATCAGCCCATGGATTTTGCGATTGTGTGACGAGAGGGATTCGGAACTACTCAAGTTATAACAAAGTCCTTGTGGGGTTTCATGTCTGATCACTAACTCGAAGCTTCAATATTGTTCGAGGGTCTAGTGCATATTCAATTTTCACTGCGTATCTCACTCATCAGGTTCCGTCGTCAACCTCGCTCTTGGGTCGTAGCCTCAGAAGAAATTGTATGGACTGTCCGAGATATTGGATAGACGCTAGAGTTGCGACGTTGAATCCATTGCACTCTTCAGTACAAGACGAGAAACGCCACCACAAAACTTAGTTAGGACGCGTCCGTGACTGTGTTCATGATGTGACGTTCACCCGTGACGTCTCGCGACTGGAGATCACGTGTATCATCTTTTGTTGATCTCACCCTCATCCATGCCTCGCGCCGGGCAGTCTCAACCACTCTACGCCGACGACTCAGACCCTGAATCCGAGAAAGCCACATCGAAACAGACCAAGGCGCTCAGGAAACGTCTCAGCGATGTGCACGATGTCAGCTTTGCCGATTCTCCGCCGCGCTTGAAACGGCAGGCGAACGATGATACAGCAGAAAAGCGGAGAAGGAGGAAGAGCACAAAGATCGCCGTTATTGACAATGCGGAGGCAGGGCCCTCGGGCGATGCCCTGGTGGAACGTGACGCGGCAGATACGTCGCGTAAACAGAGGCAGCCCCTTAATTCAGTGGCGGCGCCTGTGGTCGAGCCGCCCGTGCTGGAAATCTTGAGCTCGAATTTTGACGAATGGATGAAAATGGCGACAGATAATGTGGGCTACGTCTCCCCGTACCGGGAAGCACGCGCTGATATACGACGCTCAGAAAATCAACGCCGGAAACTCGTGGAACTTCGACCTCATCAACTACTTCCACGACATGTCTCTGCTAAAGAACGATGATGGAATGTCTATCAACTTTCAGCGCGCGTCCTGTACTCTCGATGGGTGTGTCAAGATCTGGACGAGCAGAGTGGATAGCGTGGGTACCGAGACGGGCAAGCTCCTGAGCAATCTTGCCAATGACGGTAATGATGAGGACGAGGACGGGAACGGCTCGGACAACCCTGATGAAGAGACTACGACGAAGAAGAAGAAATCTCACCGTCCGGCCGCAACGCTTGCGAAGGAGCCTGGTCAGCTGCGGAGCAAGAAGCTGGACTTGGAGTTCAGCGTGGACCCATTGTTCAGGAAAACTTGCGCTGACTTTGACGAAGGAGGCGCACAAGGTCTCCTCATGAACCATCTTAGTCTCGGCATCGGAAGGCAAAACAACTTGCGCGTCATTTTCGACTCGGGAGATGCTGCCGTTGACGTCGATGAAGTCGACGACGAGCAGGAGCCAGAGGATCTCATTGATCTGACTGAAATGCGCAGTATGCTTTCTTGCCTCCTCTGCTGTTGCTTGATTAACCTCCGGCGGCAGAGTCGTTCTTTCCGGATCTGCAGGTTCTTGAGACGAAAGCTATTGCTCATTCTCTGGCGGATTTTTCGTTCGACAAGTCGGCGTCCAATGTGGGCAATGAGACGACATTTTTCCAGGATGACACCCACCACTTCGATGACGACGACGAAAACGACGGTGGTTCTCCTGCATTCGCCATGGATGACGACAACGGAGGACCGGTGGACTTTTTTGCCGGAGACGACGCCGTCCACGACGATCTTGACGGTCACCTCGGTGGGGATGACTTCGGGAACGACCATCAATCGCAAGGATCGGGCCTTGCCGATGAGCAGAGGGCGGAAGGGCCCATGGGCGTCATGCCCTTCGACCCGAGGCGGCCTTCTAATGATTTCGTCTTGGCCGAGGGTGAAGATGGCGCCATGGAGTACTTTAATGACAGTCTCGCCAAGAATTGGGCTGGGCCGGAACATTGGAAGAAGCGAAAGCCAATGCGCAGATGTGATTATCCTGCATCTGTGGCCGAGCCGCCCTAATCTTTCGAATAGTGGATGCCGCAGAGACTGCTGCCAAGCAGCCCAGGGCGCGCAAAGAGCGGAAAGAGCCACCAAAGATCGATTTCTTCAAACATCTGGATAAGGACCTCAAGCAGCTCACGGAGGAGTTGTTTGCTAGCGGTGGCAAGAACGCGGGTATTAATCTGGCTGGGACCAAGGGCAAGAAGAAGGGCAAAGAAAAGGAAAAGAAGAAAGACCACCATCTTCTGCCTGACGACATTCACTTTAGCAGCCGACAGTTGGCCTCGCTGTTTCTGAAACCCAAGTTCCAGGTATGTGGGCCATCCTAATTTCCAGCCGAGTTAATAAGCCCCCTCTAGCTCAAGATGCGAGGTCGGAAGGTGAGATACAATGCTGATGGTGAAGAAGTGGACGAGAATTTCTGGGCCCAAGCTGCTGCTGATCAGGCAGCGGGTCGGCAGGCCAATGACGATGACGACAGTGCGTTCCGTTCCAGATTTATAGTGATAGTTCTAACTCGATGCCGGCAGGCGGAGCACCAGCCCCGTTTACCACGCAGTTCTTTAACGACGATTATGATGATGGTCCGGGCTTCGATGACTTTGATGGAGACGGGGACGGGCCTGCAGCGCCCGAAGCCGATGCAGGGGAAAGCGATCTGCTAGCCGAAATGCAAGGCGCCACTCGACGCGCCAAACCTCAGTTTGTCAACTATGCCAAGCGAGCCAAGCGAGTCGACGTCCGCAAGTTGAAAGACAACATCTGGAAAGGTCTGGACATCACCATCGCCAAAAGCACAGAAGACCCGGAGAGCATGGTTGTGGATGAGCCTCCGCCTACAAATCCATCTGAGGCTCGGGTTTTCAGCTCTGTCATCTCCGGTCTCCAACGCTCGTATCCCAAGGACAAGATGGAGGAGATCAGCACCAGTTTCTGCTTCATTTGTCTCTTGCATCTGGCCAATGAGCAAGGTCTGAAGATTGAAACGGGATCGGAAGGGAATGTACCAGATGCCGGGACTAACAAAGTGGGAGATCTCTGGGACCTGAAGGTTCGTGGAAGCCAATTTCACCTGGATCTTGCTAAGCCTACCACAGGTCTTCCGGGACCCAAACGCTACCCAAGCAGCCTGATCCACCCATCTTGACATGCAGTGCCGCTAACCACCTATATGTATCTCGTATATATGCCACTATTTGTTGCTCCATGGAGAATGTACACAAGCACAACAAATTTATTCAGAGAACGAAGGGTTGGTAATGTTACAACCACACTAGCTGTGGTAAAGATACGGCAAAGGGCAAGGTAAATCAGACCCACGACTCCCACAATCGTTCGTAACGCTCTTGAGCACGTTCATTCAGCTGTCGGAACTCTAGCACAGCTTCTTCAGGGAGCTCAAGAACTCCTGGGTCCGGCGAATAGGCGCGGAGGATCTCCGCAGGTGGGAACACGGTGAGGATGTCTGCAGTCGCGATGCGCGCTTTGGGGACATCTGTGGCGAGGAAGACGCGGTCGGTTCCGAACGGGACAAACGTGTAGACGTCCAGAAGACGCTCCCGGCAGGTATGCGAGCGGGCGGCTGCACAGCCGGATGTCAGCCGCACCCATAGCATATATAGTATATCGAGGACAACGAGAACGGACCTTGAACTACCATCACTTTGTGCGCCACGATAGCCACGCCAATGCTCCCGTCCCTCAACATGATGCCTCGTAGAATACAGAAACGCGCGGGATCAGAGCGGGTTCATTAGTTGCATACCCGAAATCTTATGAATGGGGTCGGCAACGCATTGTTCCCGATGCAGCAGGCTGTTGTTCTCGAAATGGTATCCGGCCAAGTACGCGAAGCAGACTCTGACTATGCGAGCTTCATATGCCGCCAAGAATGGGAATCCTACAAGCGACTGAAATTGCATGGGGGTACGATATGGATAATTTAAGCTGTTCATACCGTGCCCATAGGATAACCGGATCCTTCAGCTTCAGGGTTTATACTTCCAGGATTCCTTACACGGTGCACTACTGGTGCGGGGTCTTTTCATTCCATCATATTCGATGCTCCGGATTCATCAGGACAAATTTTAGCGCAATAAGTACCGTGGAAATCCACGAATTTGAAGCGGCATCCTACTTACAAGTACTTGAAGCGAAGCAGACCCGGATCGCCCGGCCCGATCCACGCCTATCAATCACACATCACACGATGATTGATCGGGCTGGCCAGAATTGTTCGTGGACTGAACGATGAACACACCAGCAGCTAAATCAACTTCGTCTCGACCGCTCGGCCGCTTCGCGCTCCACTCCACAACGACATGCGCGACGCAAGCCTCGGCGTACGGAAAATGCATACTTGCCGTGTACACAGATGTATCGAAGGACGCGTGTCAGGATGAGTTTGCAAAGTTTGGCAAGTGTATGCGGGATGCCGTGCGTGCTTCGTTTCATGAAATGAGTGTCCGGTGTAGCTGATTCTGTTGGGCTGCTTAGATGGGTAAGAAGTGGTGACGCCTAGGTAGGCTGACGGGGTCTCGGCTGTGGGCACCGCACCCACTTCTTCACATCTTGCTTCATCCACAAGGCACAGCATCGAACGTAATTAAGACATGTCGATTGGAAAGATGGAGGACAGCAATGCAAATGTAAAAGTACAGCGCCACGCCAGGTGGACAGCGAGATGTCTGGATTGTATATACTGGAGTGACTCAGAGCGGGCGCATCAATCTCAAGTGTGGTTGCCAGCTGCCCATTGATACATGGTGAATGCTGACAAGAATCAAGTCCTCCAGCTTGATTTGGCTGTGACCTGTACCCACTCTCCACCGAGGATCCGCATCGTCTTCCAGAGGTTGCGTTTGTCGCTCCTGCCCAAGGTTTCAGAACGAAGAGCAAGCAGCTGATCAGAAACAGACCTGGATGAAGCGTTGAACGCATTTGGCGACATTTTTGGCGAGTTTGGCGCGAGTGATAGGTCCTGGAGGACTGCGGAAGTCTTTGGTTGGGATTTGGCGACTCCATTGCCTGTAGCCTGGCCACTAAGGGATCCAGGTGAGGACTAGGAGACTGTGTCAAACAGGAAAGACAAACCTCGAGCCGGATTGAGACACTGGGACCGCGTCCTTCAAATACCGTATCGTCTCTTTGCCTCATTCTCCGCACCCGAGAGTGGAGGGCATCGATCAAGGGGATTCCACATTCCGAAGGATTGTCGACCCAGAAGTGGATGGGCGCCTCCATGCCAATTTCCTCCACGTAGCGTCGACGATCGCTGTTCGTGTGTGGCTTGTACATGAGCTGGGGAACAAATGGTCCAGTGACTCCGTGCGCAGGTAGCGAGAGAGCTTCCTTGAAGAAACGCAGCTGGTCCTTGTGAGTGTACAGCAGCCCTTCGCCCTAAAAGATGATCAGGAGACGAGATCAAAGCGCGGAGTCTAATGTGTACCTGGTATTGCTCGGAGGGAGATGGACTGGACGACCCAGCATGACTGAAAGTCTGGCTGCCACTAGGGGATGTCGGAGGACTTTGCTGGTATAAAAGTGGTGGTGTCGAATGTGGAGACATCTGTGAGGATCCATAGCCGTTCGCAGATAGCAGCGACTCGGTTGGAATCGGCGGGGAAGCATTGCTGAATTCAGAAAACTGGTGTGGAATCATTGGTTGTCCACGTTGCCCAGAAGAGTACAGATCATCGAAGCCAAATCCAGGATGGTGCAAGTAATCTGAACCGGAGAACCCATCCGCCGTGTTTCCCGATGGCCGACGGGTAGTGTGCGGCCATTGCTGTTGCTGAGATGGGGTGTATGAGCTCTGGGCTGGTGTGACGTCGGCATTCAAGATTCCCGAGTAGGGCCCAACGGCACTTGTGTCGATTTGGATATCGTACTCGTCGGCCACAGGCCAAGCGTGATTCTGATAGGCTGCATAGTACCCAGAGGAATACGGCGACAGCTGTGCCTCGAGAGTCGCATAAAGTTGGTCTTCCAATGGGGACAACCCATCGTGTTGTCGCTCCTCGTACCGATATCCGTGAGGCTAACACGTCGATCAGAGACTTATGCGAGCTGCGAGGGAGAAAACGAACGAAGTTGTATGGATCGCCCGACATATAGCAAAGTTTGCGAGATGCCTTGTGAACACGATTCAGTTGGGGCAAGTTCCCTGCTGAGTCGGGCTAGATGGAGGGGGGCGCCGGTATCACTGCAGCAGACGATGAACGAGCGCGCATTATATAGAGGTGGACACTCACTGCATCGCCCGTACCTTCCGACCGGAATTCTAGCGACGCGCCCTCAGACGCGCGACACAGATGCGCACACAGCCTAGTCGATCTCATGGCCTGTCGATGGAGCTTCGGCGGAAGACTGATCAACATCTTGATTTGATGGCAACATATGGAACTATGCGGCCCGTTGTAGCCGTAGCCCATTGAAGACGGCGAGAGTCCATGAGCAGGAGCACAGCGATTTGCGGGGACAAAAGGCAGGTTGGAATCACCCAGTCTTGACTCTTGAGAAGCCAACCCAAGACCAAGTGCGCCGCAGCTGCGACAGCTCGCAACAATGAAGGTCGAGCACTAGCAACGATTGAACTGTCCAGCCTCAGATACAGCAAGGCGGAACAGATTCCAAGGGAGAAGTGCGCCTCGTTGCCACAGCCCCCTGCGTCGGGGGGCGGGAATGGAATATACGGGAAACATCGATGATGCTGTAGCAGGCACAAGGCACGTCGTGGACGATATTTGTTTCAGCGCCCTGTGACCTTCTACAAAGAACATTCCAATGATGTGACAAAATCACAATGATTCCATCAGAACCTGCACCATCATGTGACACCGCTACTCTGTTCGCGCGATCATGTCGTCGTTGGCGGGAGCACTAGAACAAACCTGGAGTGCGAATACTCAATCACAAAACGAGCACCGTGAACCAGAACAGGATGAGGAGATGGCGGATGACCTGTTCGGAAACGACGAAGCTGAGGATAATGAGTATGTGCCGCCTCTTTCCGAGAACACAATCGTCCGGTTCTGAGGTCGTGGCAGACCAGTTTCTGGTGCAGAGTCGTATGAGAATCTACCTACGCCGGAGCGTGAGAGGCGAAGGGCCCAGGAATACGAAGAGGACGACGCACCACCTGAAGATGCCATTGAAGTCCGCGAAGCCTACGTTGAGTTCCCTAACATCCCTGTCCCTAAAACCTCCAGCGGCGAGGTGAGCGCACTGCTCCGTTCTTCCGCTCTACTACCATACTTAATCAAAGTTTGACAGAATTGGGTGATGCGCATGCCCAACTTCATGAAACTCGATCCTAAACCGTTCCATCCTGATACCTACATGGGACCAGAACAAGAAGAGGATGACGGGAACTCCACAGAGAATCTGCGTGAAAAGAGCATGTCTATCAAGCTCAGGGTGGAGAATACGGTGCGGTGGAAATGGACGAAGGACGCTCAAGGTCGCGATGTGAGTGTTCATTCTGTTCTCTCAAAAACATCAGACGTATATCCTGCTCAGAAAAAGCAAGCCAACGCACGCATCATCTCTTGGTCGGACGGAACCCAAAGTCTGCGTTTGGGGAGTGAATATTTCGACATCACCAAAAGCGTTGACTCGTCCAGCGGCAAAGCATTCGGAAGCTCGCAACAGAGCCAGCAACCTGCCAAGTCTGAAGGCCTGACCTACATCGTGGCGCAGCACAAACGATCGCAAGTGCTACAAGCCGAGGCCCTGGTCACCGGCTACATGTCGCTGCGGCCAACAAGCATGCAATCGGAGACGCATCGCATGCTCGTCCGTGCTGTGGGACAGAAACACAGCAAAGTGGCACGCTTGCGGATGGCACCAGACCCGACGGTGGACCCTGAAAAGGAGAAGAATGAACTGTTGAAGCAGAGCGCGAAGAACTCGAAGAAGAAGAGATCTGAGGGAGAGGGCGGTCGGCGCCGGCAGTCGCGCAAGTCGCGCAGTGCTTCTGTGTGGAGCGACGAGGACGAAGGCCAGATGACTGGGTCCGACGATGACGATGACGCTGTTCGCCGGCAGAAGCACCGCGCGCGACCCGCTGAGGACAGTAGGAAAGAACAGGAAGCAGATTATCAGCATGACGACTTTGTTGTCGGCGACAGCGACGAGGAAGGCTCGGCCGGCGGAGGAGGAAAACGCAAGCATAATGATGACGACGAGCTGGAGCGTATGGATGCTCAGATTGAGGGGTCATATGCGAAGCGGCGGCGAGACTCAAAGGACGTGGACGTTGAGAGCGAGGAGGAAGAGGATGCAGATGAGCATAGTGTTCGTCCGCTAGGCAGGACAGGCGGGACACGACGAAAGTTGCACATTGAAGAGGAAGACGAGGACGATTGACGATTGAGAGCAGTGCGTTAATATACATATCTTGTTTGTCTACGCCGTTACTTGCGTACAGCCCCGACTGTTTCCTGCAGAACGCCCCTGTCATCCCAGTTTCCGGAAGGTCTGATCGAATCAACCACAGCTTGGTTGGCAGGATTGCCGTCGAGGAGATTGTGCAGAGTGAATATCGCATGCTCTCGCAGATCTAGGCAGTGTCGGCGACGAGGACAAGAGTTCAGCAGAAGCGGGGAAACGCACATGGGTTCCTCTCATCAACCACACACAGATTCATGACGACTTCTATACCACCACAGAGACGTGCACGGTCTTGCACTGCCTTGGTTTCATGACATAGAATTCCAAGAAGGCGCACCAGATCCCTTTTTAGGTAGTTGAATCCTGTGCCCTCGGGCGGCGGTGCAGACATCGGCAATCCGCTTTGCACAGGTTTGCCGAAATTGATGCGTGGGAGGAACGCGTCCAGAAGCCGGAGCAGTTCTGATGCGAGTCAAAAAGTCTGTGCAGTTCGAAAGTGCGGTGACTGACCCACGAGGATTTCCATCAATCCCTGATCGTTGGACCTGGCTTCATTGAAGAATGCTTGCGAGTTCACATCGAAATCCGCCGACTGCGATGACTCGAGCGTGAGCGTGACTATGCACTGTGTAACGAGCACCAGAGCTTCGCAAACTTTGGGCAACATGACATCTAGAGACGATGGTGGCTTGAATTCAATTCCCGGCTCATCCGATTCTTCGGCTGGTCCGAGAGAGTTGCGTATAGACTGGATAGCATAATGGGACAGGGAAAAGAATGACTTGGAGAGCATAGGCCGGAGTTTGCAGTACAAAGGAGTGCCTGAAGGAGTCGTCGGTGCCACAGACAATCTCGCAGCCTGCAGGTAAGAGTCCACCAGCTTCAGCAGGGTAGTCTGATGAGGCGTAATAATTTCTTCGGGACTGGATCTCGTCAGAGAGTCGCACGACGGAGTTCTCCGGCACGCACATTGCCAGACGACAGAAAAGGCTCGGGACAAGGTCTGCCGCCATTATCCGGGAGAAAATCTCGTATCTTCGAACGAGTCGGTTTTACCTCATGGTCGTTTAGACCTGTGCTTACCCGATGTCAAAGGCGCGTGCGCCATCCGTGTTGTCCTCTGCGTCAAAGAAATGCACCATATCGTCCAGCAGAGACACACAGACCCGGACACCGATCGCGCTTCTTGTGAGAATCTTACTAGGAGCTGCTGAGAACGCGTCCAGCAACAGATCGCCTGACATACGTTCGTGTCCGGCTTGCAGCTATGCAGTTGAGAATGAAGATCAAGGCAGAAACGACGATGACGGAGTCTTTGGATCCAAGAAGTCGTCTGATTGGCGGTAAGAACAGGAACGAGGTAGTGTCTGGACATACATTAGAACGACCTGATCCTCCGGCAGACACATATATGTGTTCCAAAGCTTTGAAATCAGAGCATCGTTCCCAGTCACAAGATTTACCAAAACTTGCGATAACACTCTGGCAACAGCGATAGCTAGATCGCTCGTGAGTGGAGAAACGCAAGCTGCGCAGGCGGAATGCACCTTCCCCGTCTTTCATAGACGACCAAGATGTATAATAGTGGAGTAGTCGTCGTATGGCGGGCTCGCTTTGACTGTGGACAATGATTCATTGGCCTTTCGATAGAAGGCAAAACCTACAATGCTTTCTTCTGATTTCTATGAACCTCTGCGACGAGATTCCGCGTGAATCGTGCAAAATTCACGCATAGTTTCTTCATACTGTTCTGTTTCTCCTTCTCAGTGCTGCGAGCCTCTGATTCGTCTTCCGAGTCTCCGTTGTCCCAAAAAGTCATCTGAGCTCGGCTTAGATCCCGCCAGATTTTGTGAAAGTGGGGCCATATCGCGTCGCCTTCGCCGGCTCGTTCCCTGGAGGACATAAGAAAAGTCAGTTGACTAGCTAGTCCTTGAGCACCTCTGGATCTTGCTCTGAGCCAATGTCTGCGTTATCGGACCGAGCGCAAATGTCAGAGAAGCCACACTGGTCGGAGAATTGATATCGAAGCTGGCGCATGCGAGTGTGAATGGAAGAATAAAGTCGGCCATCTATGAGGGAGCGTAGTATAAGAGGGTGAACTGGACGGAGCGAATAGACATCGTATTTCGAGTCAAAAGCTTTGCCAATCTTGATCAGGGCTTGACATTTGATCGCATCTACTACTAACTTGAACACGGACGTCGTTGTCGCCTGTGCTGACAGACACGACGGAGCCACCAGTGCACGTACGTTCGCCAGTGTCCATCTGTGACTCATCCCTGTCCATCTCTCTGTCATGTCTACCCTGAACATCTCTCTCGAGCCCCACTTGATCGACCGTCTGCTGCCCATCTTTCCTTTAGTCCCTGCGGAAACAGCGTCTCAGCTGGCTCCGTATGTTTCTGAAACGCCTCCGCCAACAGTCCCTTATGATTTGCTATTGCTCGTATCTCAGTGGTGCAGGTCTGAGAGCGGGGTAGACGCACTAGAGTCTGCGTCTTTGCGCCCCCAATCATATACGATGACCGCGCTCTTGGCCGGAACAATGACCTCTCCGGAGCGGAGCCTTCCGCCGTTCACACCTGCTCCAAGCCCGGAGGAGGCCGCTTTCGCGAAGAGGTCTGAAAGACAAGCTATCACAGCACTTCTGAATGCGCTGCTCAGTATAATTGGGTCTGGTTTCGCGGGATGGTGGGCAGCAGGGAGGACAGGTTGGAAGAGCGAATGGGTATGTCGGCCTCTATGCTTGTTGCGCGTGTTTTTCTTACGGTATGATAGCAAGTCTTGTTCGCCTTGTCAGTCGCCATTGTCGTTGCCATCTCTGAAGGAGTTCTGTATCTCATCTGGGAGTCGAGACGATCAAAGAGCAAGACACCAAAGAAACTCAGATTGCCAGCGGCTCGAAAGAAAGAGCTCGCTGACAGGGCAGACATCACTCCAATGCGGGTCGAGCACGGCTTGCCCAAACTTCGCCAGCGTTTAGTAGCAGCAGCCGACACTTCTACGTAGAGACTGAGATACAAAAGGCTGATTGGATCTACTATAACTTGGGCGTGTTCAAGGAAGAAAGAGCGGATGCGAGCAGGTGCAGATACCATCCAGTCAAGCCCCACACTTCCAGTCTATCTGGTCTATCGACGTCTGATTGATGTGGCGATTGCTCTATCGATTGATTGGTGAACGGGATACCCACAGCATCTGTCACCAGATCTGTAACATCCACCGCCCAATATGGGTCTCTGTTGCGGAACAGGTATGAATGCAGTCGAACAGGGTTCGCTAATTCCGCCAAGGGGAGATGGAAAACTGCCTCCACCTCCTCAGCAGAGAGTGTGTGCTCTATATCCTGGGTTTTTATGGAAGGAAGAGGCAGTTCGTCGTCAGAAGATTTCTGAAACGGTTGCGCGTGAATGAAGCCCTGTACGATGTAAACTCCGAGCCCGGAAAACTTGAATCGGGTTCACCACAAAGGGCCAAACAGTATCACCGCGCAAACTTGATTCGGGAGGTCCCAGAGAGCCCAGGAACTCGATTCTCTTCCGACCAATCCCAAGTTCTTCTTCCGTTTCTCGTAAAGCCGTATCCAACAAGCTGGCATCCAACAACTCATCGACTTTGCCTCCAGGACAGCTAGAATGCACGATTTTCGTCTGGATATAGCTGCCTGGTCGATAACCTACCTCACTTCGCCCGAATGAGATCGCATGGAGCGTGATCGTACTTGGAGGAGAATGCCAGGGGTTTCGCGCACATTACAGAAGGGGATGAGGATAGCTGCATTCTTCCTCTTATTCAGACTGTTGACCGTCAAGGACTGGAGGGACGAGTGGGTGTGCTCTTGCACCTGTCCAAGCTGGGCGGCGGTTCGAGCCCTAGAGATCCAGCCAAAAGAGCTTGACGGATAGCCTTGAGAGAGTTCGGCGAGAAAGGCTTCGAGAGAATGCCGAGGTTCCAGTTGGGCCTCGATTTTCCATCAGGTGTGTTGCATGCAGCATAAAGAAAGTAGCTGACCGAGATAGTTGTGTCAACGTTCTAGTCATTGTGTGAGCCGCACGTTCTGCAAACTCTAGAGTCATGCATCACCCTCGGTCATCGCCACAACATCAGTCTTTCTGGCCTCTCATCTCTGTATACGCGATGTACCCTAATTGAAATGAGAGGTTATCACATACGCATATCCGTTCAACTCAAGGGTGGAAATTTCTCCGAACCGTTCACACCGGGGTCCATCTTTGCCCAACTACCTGTACAAACGCCCAAACCGACCAGTCGCCGCAACGCGCTTTTCAACTCCCGCAATAAAGACTACAGATTCGGGCCAATACGCATCGACTGGATTGACTGTGAGATGAGTGATAAACTAGGGAAAGCCCGCGATAATGGTCGTGGTGAGTAGAAGTGGCTGGTGAGTCGTTTCTTGCGTTCTGAGATTGTCCAGAGCCGGCTGCAGCCGTCTTCATTCCACAAGAGGCCCCCCAATCTGGCTCTACGAATCTGCCCGAGGGTACAGTACATCTGTTCCGCGAAGGAACATTATCGGAGAAGGAACCCAAAGCCTCCTCGTCCACTTCTATCCAGTACGATCTGCCCGAGTTTGACGGAACGATGCTTGGGGTGCTTGCTGTGCCTTCGTGGATGGCTCCCTCAGACTTTCTAGCGTTCGTCGGTCCTGTTTCGGAAGGTATCACACATTTGAGAATCATTCGGTGGGCGTCCCTCCACATTCTTTCATTCTCAACGCTTGACTCGAGTACAGGGATTCGGCTCCCAATCGCTCCATTGTCGTTATCAAATTCAGAACTGCTGAAGCAGCATCTGAGTTTGCCGAGGCGTATAATGGGAAGCCCTTCAATTCAATGGAAGTACGTCGCAGGGTGTGATTGACTGGAAAGTACGCGCTGATTACTGCGCAGCCGGAAATCTGTCACGTCGTCAGAGTGCTCTCAGTGAATATGGATGCGGACGACCCGGCGTTGACGCGCATGATGGCCTCGAACTCGTTGTACGAGCTGCCCACTTGCCCCGTCTGTCTGGAGCGAATGGACTCGGGGGTCACTGGACTGATCACCGTGCCATGTTCCCACACCTTCCACTGCATGTGCCTCAGCAAGTGGGGCGACAGCCGATGTCCGGTCTGCCGGTACTCCCAGACTCTCATCGCGTCGCACCCGAGTGCGGCTTCTTCGACGAGGACCATCCCTTTCGTGAACCCCTCTGCCCCCCAAATGACCAGTTGCTCCGTGTGCGAATCCACCACAAATCTCTGGATATGTCTCGTTTGTGGCAACGTTGGATGCGGGCGATACGGAAGAGCGCATGCGCAGGCACACTACCAGGCCACGACGCATCTGTATGCGCTGGAGCTGGAGACGCAGCGAGTCTGGGACTATGCCGGGGACGGATATGTTCATCGTCTCATACAAAATAAGGCTGACGGAAAACTCGTTGAGCTGCCGAGCGCGTCGAGTTCGATGGGTGCTCCCAATCCCAGAGACGGCAGCCTCGGTCCGTCCAGCTCAGACGCCCTCACTGCGGAGAAGATAGAGGCAATCGGAATCGAGTATTCGTATTTGCTGACCTCCCAACTGGACTCGCAACGCGCCTATTACGAAGAACAGACCGGCGAGCTGGCGAGTCAGATTGGGGAGCTGCGTGCGATCTTGGAGCGTGTGAGTGCCGAATACGAGCAGGAGAGATTGGTCGTCAAGGAGGAGATGGAGGAAATGAGACGGAATGAGGAAGCCCGCGTCGCTTCGATTGCCAAGGACAAAACAAAAGCCGAGAGCAGGGTCGAAAAACTCTCGGAACTCGCTCGCACTCTGCAGAAGGAGCTGGGTGCCGAAAGAGCTGTCAGCGAGGGCATGATGAAGAATATGGGGAAGGCCAAGGAACGCCAGGATCAGGCAGAGATCGAGAAGGAAAAATATCAAACCAAGGTCCAGGACCTCGAAGACCAGCTGCGCGACGTCATGTTTTTCCTCGAAGCGAAGACAAAGATTGAAGAAGGAGACGGTGTGGTAGGTGAAGCCGCTGGGGGCTCGATCGAAATTGGCCAGACGCCTTCTTCCAAGCCGGGCGGAAAGAAAAAAAAGAAAGTGGGTTGAAGCTCGACGGCTTTGTTATGGTCAACTCATTATCTTGTAATTTTTGTGTCATGCAATGGACGGACTGCAATCCCGACTCAGCCAACGCGCCCACGTGACAACAATGTCAGCCTGATTAGCTCCTGTCTCTCTCCAGACGATTGCAATTCTACGCACTGCAAACTCGGCATCCAATCGCTGTGATACGTTCGAACGAGTGGCTTGTTTCGTCACCAAATGAATTCGTTCGATACCACTGGGAGCTGAACTACACGACCTAACTACATGCATTGTTTCTTGTGCACTTTCCAATGCGCTTTCTGATAATCTCGGCTACAATACTGCACTTTCTTGCAAGAGCTACATGTCAACAAAGCTCCTCCAGATTTCTGACAGGCCGCACAACGGATCACAGCCTCATACAGCGCCTTGAGCTCAGCGAACGAAGTGACCCGCTCCCAATACGGGACTGCGAAGATGGGTGCGATCGCGGCACGAGTCATCAGGCCAGCCAGGTCCGGATCTTGAGAGTGAATGCCGACGCCCGAGCCGCATGAACATAGCCAATTCTGACCAGCTTCCAGAGACAGCGGCGCTTTCCCTGCCAACGCATAGAGACAATCGGGTTTGTGGAACCAGTCGCGGCAGCGCTCGGTGAAAGCGACAAGCAAATGCCTCCAAGTCGTGCGTTCGATGATCACTTTGGTCGCCAACTTGGAAAGCGCATCGATCTTTGAGGCGAGAGGGCCCTCTGTGAGCCCCCGCGTGACTGGTAAGATGCCGCAATCCGCGAAGACGCTGTCAGAGTCCAGGTCAAGACGCAAGGTTTGCACGATGATCAGTGTCTCGGGCGCCTGCGTCTCGGCCGTGACCAAACCAAACACATTCTTTGGCTTGGCGGGATCGATTTGGGACAGTATTTTGGCCAGAGGACTCTTGATCTTCCGCATCTCATCGTCGTTTCCCGCCCGTCGTTCTCTGGGAGACATCATGAGCAGATGCTGAAATTCGAAGATGCGGTTCAGACAGTCGATCCGAGTCGGGTCAGCTGTGGGAGAGAGATCGCCATTCACGCGGGGGAGAAACTCGGCGCAATCGTTCAAGGTGGATGGCCATTTCAGTTGCAAAGGCGAGGGCTCCCATTTGCGCACAGATGCCTCAACCTGCGGACGAAGATGAGATCAGGTGACGACAACCTGTGTTAGAACGAACCTCGATCCACCCAGACTTGCGTGCGATGCGAGCTTTTAGCCTCGCGGCGTCGATGGGGTAGGGGTATTCGAGTTCGTGCGAGACTGAATCATCGATCGTGACTAGTACCGACCGCGAAGAATGCTGCGCGTGCTGGACCTCAGCATCTGCCAATGCAATCGTGTCATTCGGGGACCACCGCAGAGCCATAGAGCGGATTTGGGTATCGGACACGTTGCATGATACTGAGCTGCTTCCCTCATATGAAGCCGCGACTGTTCCTAGAGGTAGTGGGCCGTTCTGGTTGGGTCGGTTCTGTGTGACATACAAAGATTGACCGGTGACAACAGCGGAAAAGAGCGCCAGGCCACTGAACCCAGCCCATATCGCTGTCTCGGGCGTAGAATGGAGATCGAGCGATACGCGTGTTGGCGTCTCACCATGGACGAGATTGAATGCAGGAAGGATGGCCCACACAATGAGCGAAGATGAGCCATTCCATCCACGACCGTCCTCGTCGATCGTTATTGTGCGATCCTCGCCAGACCCTTGAGCCTGAACCCGTCCGAACGCCAGTTGTATCGCAGAAAAGATGTTGTGGAAGGATGCGCCACGGATTTCCAGTTGCAGGCGAGGAGTGCCCAGCTGCTGTCCCGCACTGCGCTCCTCCAGGTGCCGGATGTTCTGACGAGGCACGACCAGAGTCACACAGACTACGGGGGGCACCTCTCTCCAATCCTTGAAAATGCGCTTGTAATCTCTGGCAGGCAGGGGATCGCGGAGGATGTCGACGGTATATATACCATGGAGATGAAGCTGACAACACAACTCTTGGTAGTTGTTCGATCCCATCAACAGCGTCCGGTCAGATTGAAGGCGATCAAATATCGAGCCGAAGACAGCGTCCCAGTCTGCCCGTACTCGCGATTTGGCCAAACGGAGAAGAGCAGCAAAGGACGGCCTGTGGTAATGTACCTCGGAGCGTGTCAAATCAGCCTCATCCCCGAACATCTGCTTGTAGATCTGAAAGAGCACTGCGGCCAGCGCATTGGCGTCTGGAAACTGGGGAACCATTCCGCAACCGGCGGGCTTCCACGTGATACGCCAGACATATTGCACAGGTTCTTCGACGAGAAGAGTTGTGGATTGAGCTGCAAGAGCGGCATCGACCGGACTGGGATACAATCCCAGCAAGAGAGACGCAGTCGGAACGTCGCTGCACAGAAGACTCGGCAGATTGTTTCCTCCGTCTCGGCTCAAGCAGACCAACTCCGTATTCAATCGTGCAAACGACTTGCGACGAAGAAGCGGCGCGGCAGCAACGAGGAGGTTGAGCAGGCCCACGTGGTCAGACACATTCGAGGTGTCAATCACATCGAAAACGGTCGGGAAAGCAGCATCGCCGGAATCCAATTTCATCGTCACTGACTTCCAACCGTTGACCGCGTAGTTTGCTGTAGATCCCTCAAGTAGCGTATGACAAAATGCGAGCGCGTCGCCGGCCATGAACCGGACGGTGACTTTGTCGCGATCGCAAGCTTGGAAAGCACGGCACCACCCAGCGAACTGAGATTGAGCAACACGGACAAGCTGTTGCTCTGACTCGACGAAGGAGTCGGCCAAGTGAAAGCTGTGCAACGGATACGAAAGATGGTGCAGAGTACAGCGGTCTCCCATCAGACGAGGCGCCGCAGAAATCGAGTGGCAGAACGTCGGGTTCACGAATCTGGCTTGGTCGATGTCAATCGCAGAGCGCGACAAAATGCCAGTTTTCCAGTAGTGGTGTACGTGATCGCTGAACAACCCTGCGGCCATGCCCGCAAACGGCCCACATGAGACGGACGCTCCAGCCATACGCTCTCCCGGCCGATGACGTGCTCTGAATCCAGATTGAAACGACGACAGCAGTCGATCATGGTCCGCCCTGGTCTGGCTCTCGGCCGCGATGTAGTTGCCCAGGTATCTGTTGACCTCCGCAAGCGTGTGAAGGCTCGAGAACACGAGAAAGGGCGCGTAGCGGGAGTGCTGCCAGCTCTTCACGTCCCGCGTCAGGTCGAAGAGTTGTTTGCAATGAGAGATCAGAAGATCGAAGTCTTGTGAGTTCAGTCGGAAATGATAGAAGATGTTCCAGATGTGAGAGGCATCATATTCGTCGACGATCATGGAAAGCAAGATAACATTGCGCGCTGGCAGTCAAGTAAGCACGGCATCTCGATGGTCAGAGCTGAGCCCGTCGCACCGAGAACGCCTGGTTCGATATCGCAACACGTGAAGTCTAGACGCGACCGTTCTGGAGAAATCGTGTTAGAGACATCCTGCGTCCGCTCCCAAAGTTTGAGCTCACTGGTGGGTGGGTCGGCGTACACGGTATAGAGAATGTTCCTGGCATCGCCACAAGCAAGCAACAACGCATCCACAGGTTCCTCGGGCGCAATGTTTTCTGTCAAACACACGGGAGACCGATTGCCTATGGGATAGAAGAAGAGAACCGGCCAGAGCACCGGGTGAGACATGGTTCTTGGTCGAGAGCAAAGGACGACAAGCGCTGAGAAAATTCAACAGCAACGAGGCTCCAGGGCCCGGGCTCTGACGCTCAGGTAATCAGGCGTGTAAGTGGCATCTAGCCACATCCAGCAATAGACATGGCTGGACGTCTTCTCGACTCTACGTTCAGGCGACGTAAGCATGAGCGGAAAGAAGGTGAATGAGTGTGATTCAAACACTTGGCAGGCGAAATGAGAGTCCACTACCAAGCAAGTCAGTTACTGTCAGTATAGGCTGGATTCAGCTGGATCATGAGCACAGGCTTACGTAAATTCAGTTACAGCGGGTACAACCTGGCATTGCACGTGGCAGCAGATATTTTGTAGCGAGTACAGTGTGTATGTACTCTAGTAGACGTAGCCAAGCAACTTCCCACCAACGTTCTTGCGACGAGCCTCCTCATGATCGAGAATGCCGCTGCTGGTGGTCTGGAGCAACAAGATTAACGATCGGAAACCATGTGGAAGTGGAAAGAAAGACTGACGAGGATGATGATACCGAAGCCACGAGCAGGGAGCAGCAAGTTGACCCAGTTCTCGATCTGGTTCACCTGGACGTTGAAACGCGGGGAGATGACACCAGTCTTATTGAGACGGCCGTTGAGCTGAACCACGATCTTGCCAGAGCGATGGTCGTCGATAATCTCGAACTCGCCGATGTAACCTGCACAGACTCTGGTCAGCTCCTGTGTGTATGAAATGCAGGCGGGGATATGAATGTGGGTCCATCTGTGAGCCCACACCCTGTGTAAAGCAAGGTGAGGGCTGTTTGGTATCCGGACTCTGGAGTTCGATGTTCCGGAGCGTTAAAACGAGTAACGGGTGGAAGGTACCACGTCAACCGTAGTTATCACTCCGGGATACAGGGAAAATGAGAGCTGAAGAAAGATACTGACCGTGGCGCTGCATCACCGACAAGAATTTGACCACGACCTTGGAGGATGGTCGGATGAGGACCTGGCGCTTGCCGCGGCGCTCGGCATTGACGATGTTGTTCAGGCAGTCGTTCTATAGTGGATCAGGAAGGAAACACGCTGGACTCTGACGGACGCACAAGAACGGATACGCGGACCATTTTGAAATTTTTATCTACTTTTCAAGCGTTATGTTGAAGAGCCCAGGAATGAGTGTCGTGCTATGGAGAGCGCGAGTCAAACAGGCTGTCGGATAATACATGAGAAAGCGACGAAGGCCAGTTCTGGTGAAGCTGGAGAGGTCAGTTACCTTGTCGTGGAAGCGGAAGACGAGACAGGCAGAAACGGATCCGGCAGTTGAATAATTTCAGGTAACGATCGAGTGTCACGTTGGAACTGCCCAGCTCAGTCACGACTACCACGTGATTTCACCGTCCTTTTGCGCCGTGCCCACGATTTCAATCGCTCTAAACCACTCTCAAGATGGTGCGTAGATGCCGACGTTGCCCACGATAACCCACTCATTTTGCTCTAGGGCCGTGTCCGAACCAAGACCACCAAGCGTGCTTCCCGTGTTCTCATTGAGAAATAGTCTGTCGCCTTCGAAAACAAGAATCAAAGACTCATGCTCTGTTAGCTACCCTCGACTCACCCTCGACTTCCACACCAACAAGCGTATCATCGATGAAGTCGTCAGTCTTCAACGCCGTGAGATCGCAGCCGCATTGTCTCATGATCTCCTCAGGCTGTTGTCCCATCGAAGCGTTTGCGCAACAAAATTTCCGGGTTCACGACCCACTTGATGAAGCGCATTCAGAAGGGTCCTGTCCGTGGCATCTCCTTCAAGCTGCAGGAAGAAGAGCGAGAACGCAAGGACAACTACGTTCCCGAGGTCTCTGCTCTCGACACCTCTGTGAACGGATTGGAGGTGGACCCTGAGACCAAGGTGCGCGTATATGATCTATGCGGTCCATCCATCTGCTCATGAGCCTGCTATTTCAGGCTCTCCTCTCAGCCCTCAACTTCGACTCCATCACTGTCAACGTTGTTGTGCCTCAGGTCGCCCAGCCAGAGCGTGGCCCCAGACGTGAGAGGCGGAACGTGCCGGGCGCTGCTCCCCGGTAATCACCTCCACCCACTCGTTATTTTGAAGTATGGTACATGTTCCCGCCTGCCAAAAATGATATGCTATGCCAACTTCCTCCTCGATTCGTTGTCACGTTCACTTTTAGCCGAAAGCCCAGAGCTACCGAGGATCTATGTTGCGCATGATCACTGCTATACATCGCCTTGCAAATCATGTACAAGCTGCTGCTATCGAACAGGTCTGCGGGGCATAATCGAGGATCAAGAAAGGCCAACATCTGGGTCGTGGATGGCCCATGCCTGTATCATAACGTTGGATTGGCCAACAGACAGTTAACAAGAATAGTAGTGGGCATATGTAGCTCGATTCCTCTCGAGTCCCCTGCAAGGATCTCCGCTCCCGTTTAAGTCGGAGCCAACCGCCATTGACGCCAAATAATGGAATTGGGAAAGAGCGCGGGTTTACGGCTCCTGGTCAGCATCATTGCCCGTATTTGCTCCAGAGCAAGGTCGAATCAATCATTTCCTAGCAATGCCGGTCTTTCCCTTTGCGGAGGCCAGGCGTTGGATAAGGAGATCATGTATCAATGATCTTGCGTCATGCATCAATGATCTTAAATCAAAAATTTCCCACAAATTTCCTTGTTACTTTTTGTACCAACGCTCACAGTGTTGTAACTTGTGACCCTCATTTTGGGTAACACCAAGGTCGCCAAGTCCTCTGAAGGAGGAGAAAGAATGCGGAAGAATCTCATGCCAAGTCCCCCCAAAGTCCTGGCTAATTTTATTAGCGGACACGTAGCGATTCAGACATGCACAGAGAGAGACGGTGCCTGAGTCCAAGCCGCGTAGAGAAGCGTAGACACCGCAGCACACGGGGAAGCGTTACAGCGGTTTACACGTGGTATGCACCGGGTGTCATCAACGGTTGCTGGAGGATAGATATGTCGGATATGCCGTGCTTATGACTGCTGTCTGCAAGGCCAGTTTTAGTACTGCTGAGCACTGGGGTGACTTGCCGACACGGAGATTATATCCGTGACTGCCGGGAAGCCGATCAGCGTCAGAGTCCATGATTTTTGATGCTCTGGTCTGCTTTAGTCAAGCTCACTGCTCACAACAGCCCGCTGTGTCCATCGTGGGGTAACAGAACAAGCAGGTGTAATAGTGTTTTCTCCCCACGGAAAGCTCTGAACCGCTTTGAACAGGACTGTCCGAGTCATACGAAACATCCTGAATCGCTCGCACTACAGTGACTACATAATAGAGCGACATCGGATATGTTTCACGCGCAAACTTGATTCGAAAGATATTGCTTCCGCGGATCGGAGCTCTATTGAGCCTAGACCGGCGGCGAGTAACCTGTTATTGTGAAGGCCATCTCGTCTCTTTCTGCCGAATATGATCCTTTCCTATCTGCCCTTTCAATGCCCCCTTTGGCTTTGGAGAGGCTACAGCTCTCAATTCTTCCGCTTCAATGGGTTGCGGATACATCTTCTGCATGATTGTCCAGGGCTCTCGCTGCAGGCTCAGCCCTTGAAGGGGTGCTGGTCGGTAAAGACTTGAGGCTCAGAAGCCGAGTTCGCAAGCGATGGGCGACAGAAGACAGTGCACACACACAAGAACATGGTCGCGTGTAGTCGCTTGACGCGTTTGATCGTCACCGTGGGTGCTTCATCCTTCCAAGCCGCATGCTGCCAGATGCTTGCAGCGCGCTTATTTTTTTCGATTGCGGCATGTTGTGTGGCTATTAGCCACGTCTTTCTTTCTTCCACTTCCTCACGAAACGATGGACGCCCTTGATTTTGTCATTGTGGGAGGCAGCATTGCAGGTCTTACTGCAGCATATGCACTGCGGCAGGCCGGACATCGGGTTTTGGTCTTGGAGCGCCGGGAGCGGGACGCGGTGGTGGGTGCTTTCTCTGGCGTCTTCTGAATTTTATTTGACACCATTCAATTAGATGGAAGGCGGTCTGCGAGTCCCACCCAACATGACATGCCTGCTCAAAACACTGCCACAAGGCCCAGAGTTGCTAGAGGCTTATGGCTGGAGATGTTCAGCGTAAGCTCATCCAATGCTAAGGTCAACCTCGAGCTGATATGAAACAGAATCACCTTCATCAATTGTTCTCTTTTCTCCTGCTACTTCCGGTTCAGACGGTTGACGATTGATCAGGCGAAAGTCAGCAAACTATCGGTCGACTACAGCTCATTGAAGAAGTGATGACTGACTTGGGCTGTTACTACTACATGGTTCCTGTCAGTTTCCCTTACTTTCCGAGAGGCGAGGAGACTAACTGATCGGGTTCTGCTGCAGTATGAGAAGTTGTATAACTTCCTACGTGATCTCTGCGAGTCCAGTGGCGCTCAGATACGATTCCAGACCGATATTGTGGCGATTCAGCTCGGTCGGAATGCCAAACCCACTGTAGTGACTTCGACAGGCGAATCTATCAAGGCGGATATTGTGGGACCATTTCTTGACCTTCCACCACTCGAACTTACCTGGCCAGCTTGTCGGTGCTGACGGACGAGCCAGCATTGTCAGGGACGCTTTGTTGGGACTGAACTTGGACGCTGACAGCGCAGACGAATCGGATTTCGATGATTGCCGCAGCGAGGGAAGCACACTGTCGCTTCCCCCCGATCTGCACGAGATTGTCGGGTAAGCGTTTTTTCTGTGCATTTGGTGTGTATGCTCATTGACATCATCCACAGTGGAACGTGCTGCATCAATATCTCTGCCGTTCAAGACCAAGCAGACCTTATGGAGATAGCGAACTCGACGGAGGTCGGCGCACATGTTTGCAGTTCCGACCAGTCCGTCAGAATAACACGCTCTGCAGTTCACCTACTGGCCGGGCACAGATCTGTTTGTCAGCGGTCACCGAGTACGTTGTCTCATGATTCATCTCACGAGACATTACCAATGACCACAGTGCGGTCCCGATCTCTTCGTTGTTTCAATTGTATGGACGAACGGTCTGCATACAGAAGACACGGATTCGGACTGGCGGCCCGAGCCTCTCATTCTGAATGACAGAGACGCGGAAAGTTTTCGATTGCAGGACGCCAGGTAACCTCGTCACGTGCCGGATTCGAAATGCTTACTGGTTGAACAGACTGAAAAGGCTTGTGTCATATGCCACAACGTGTCATCGTACAATCCAGCAAATCCCCAAGATTCCTCGAGTCACAGACCCGAACACGCGGGTGATAATAATTGGGGACGCCGCGCATTCCACCCCGGTACGTCGCTATCGGAAAGTCTTCGGTCTTTCGATCTCAACATTTCTTCATCAGATCCACTGTTCGCACAATTCGTGAGTGACCTGCTTAATGCACTGATTTATGACTGATTTTCTCTCGAGGTCCTTGGCGGTAGGGCATTTTCAGCATGGATGAGATCTATGCAACGCTGACCCTTCCCAGGTCGAAGATGGATTCGCCCTTGGACGCATTTTCTCGCGCATCAAATGCAAAACCCAAATTCCGTTTTTCCTGAGTGCATTTCATCAGATTCGGCACAAGCGGGGTCTTGCTGTTGAGGCTGCAGAGTTGGCAGGGATAGCGGCAAGCACATTCGGTCCAGGACCTGCTCGAGACGCCCGAGACAAACAGCTAGCGCTGATGAGCTCTGCCAACGGAAACGGCGAGGTCGAGGACGAAGTTGTCGCGGCAGTCTGGGCTGATTATCTCATGCAATTCAATTATAACGCCATAGAGGCGGTAGAGGATTGGTGGCTGACATGGGGCAAGTTGAATAAGGACTGTTGAAAACACGGACATTGCACATATCGTACATAGTGTACGCACTTCTTTACTTCTCCTTCCGACATAATAATCAATCACCTGCGGACCCATCACCCCACCTTAAATCTTCGGCCGATTGGAGTTATGTGCGCATCATCGCAAGACAAGGTGAGGCGTCTCATCCATGTGGAAGCGAAGAGGGAGAAGACGGAGATGAAGAAGGATGCAGTCAGACGTTGAGTAGAGTTTGTCATGTTTCACGTGAAACCCTGGGATTCAATTGAGTTTCCGGTCCTATCGCCTTCTCCTACCCTAATACTTAACGTCTCCCTCGAACCTTCCAAAGCATCCCTCTCCTTCATGGCTAGCGGCTCTAAGCTTCCCGTACTCCCTCTCCCCCACCCGACAATTCTCTTACCGGGCTCCCGGCTAACCATTCCCGTTTCCAATGACATCGGAGAAGCCTTGGTCGGACTCATCGAGGAATCCGATGCACTCCCCGTCGTCGCGGCGGTCCCAGTAGCCTCAGACGACCCAAGCACCCCGACCTTGGCTGAATTCGGCACTGCCGCCCGGATTCTGCGCCTCGTGCGACCGTCCGCCCGACAAAGCCGACAATCCTCGGGCTTCTTGCTCACCCTCCACGGCCTGACGCGCGTCCGACTGCTTGTGCCCTATACCCCCGATGCGGAGCATTCATTCATTCCCTGGGATATCCAGTATCCTCAGAACGTCAAGGAGGTGCCACCTCACAAAGTCGTTGATGCCTTCAAACACAGCGCTCTGCGGTTGTTGGACCGGCTGGCGCAAGAATCAGGACAACAGAGGAGGGACGGGTATAACAAGGTCTCAAACATGTTGGAGGATGTGACGGATGCTCGGGCAGCGTGGATGGCTGATATCCTGGTGGGTACAGTGAACGCCAGCTTCGAGGACAAACTGGGTGCGCGCTTTCTCTCGTCGCGTGTTCCAGTACTCAATCTTACTGCCAGCTATCTTACCGGTCACAAACCCCGAAGCTCGTGTCATCCATGCTACAGAAATATTCAATAAACTCGCCTCCATTTCTGAAGTTTCCACCAAGATTGCAACCGAAGTGGAAGAGAATGTGTACAAGCAACAGAAGGAGCACTTCCTGCGACAGCAACTGGCAGCTATACATAAAGAACTTGCGTCTCTTTCAGGCTCTTCCGGAAACTTAGTCAATGGGCCGAGCTCTGAACTAGATGAAGACGAGCAGCATGAAGCGGATGACCTTGCCGATCTCAAGCGTCGCATCGAAGCTATGGAGCCAGGGTCTGAAGAGCGCAAGATGGGTGTCAGAGAGTGGCGCAGACTGAAACGCATTCCGCCCGGCTCTGTCGAAAATGGAGTGATACGATCTTACGTAGGTGGCCCATTTACTTTTCCTCTCATTAGACTAATTGTCGTATCCAGCTCGAGTGGTTGACAGCGATTCCCTGGCCCAATTCGACGACGGAATTGGTCCGAGGTGTGAAAGACAGGTCATTCCTGGCCGCTGCACGCGAGCAGCTCGACGCGGATCACTTTGGATTGGAGAAAATCAAGAAGCGTCTGATTGAGTACCTGGCCGTGGTCCGACTGAAAGAGATGAATGCCGAGCGAGAACGGCAAACCGCCAGCACCGCTCTTGTCGTTGTTGAGGGAGGCGAAAGCAAGGATCTCGCCGCTCCTCCATCACGGCCACCCCGGAAAGGCGTCAAAGGCCCGATCTTGCTGTATGTGATCTTCGTTACTAGTTCTTCCGCGTAACCGAGTCTGGACAGTTTCGTTGGCCCTCCTGGGACAGGAAAGACGTCTTTGGGTCAGTCCATCGCCAAGGCCCTCGATCGACCATTCCAGAGGATATCTCTGGGTGGGGTGCGCGACGAAGGAGAAATCCGAGGCCACAGGCGAACATATGTTGCCAGTGGACCAGGTTTGATTGTCCAGGCCATGCGCAAGGCGGGTCGATCGGATCCTGTTCTTCTCCTGTGAGTACTATCTCGCACAAGCTTCAGGTTGTTTCATTGGTTTCCAGGGACGAGATCGATAAGATCGGTGCGAATAACTTCCATGGCGATCCCTCTGCTGCGCTGCTCGAGGTCCTGGACCCAGAACAGAATCATACTTTCAGTGTGAGTGCACTCTCGCTCGAAACATATGCATGCTAATCCGGTTCTAGGACCACTATATCAATGTACCTATCGATCTAAGCCAGGTTCTGTTCATCTGCACAGCGAACAGTCTGGAGACGATTTCTGGGCCGCTTCTAGATCGATGCGAGATCGTTCAGCTCTCCGGATATACGTACGACGAGAAGATGCACATCGCCAAGCGATTCCTACTGCCCAAGCAACTCAGTGCCAACGGGATGGACGAAACTCATGTGCAGATCACGGATCCCGCGCTGATGACCATCGCCACTCAGTACACTCGGGAGGCCGGGGTGCGGAGTTTAGATCGGGCCATTGGTGCGGTCGTCCGCTACAAAGCGGTCGAATGGGCCGAAAATGTGGATCAGCAGGCTGCCGAGAAGAAGTCTTACACTGCTCTTGTCGAGGATGCCGAGTTGGAGTCGATCCTGGGCCTCGCCAGATGGGATCCCGAAGAACGCGAGAGAGAGGAACGGCGCGGCGTGGTCTACGGCCTTGTGGTCATGGGCCAGGGTGAAGGAGGCATCCTCCCCGTCGAGACGATCTCAGTCCCTGGAGCCGGTCGACTCAAGTTGACGGGAAGTCTGGGTGAGGTGCGCCACCATCCGTTCCATTGTCCATTCGATCTCGTCAACTCCGTCATAGGTCATCAAAGAAAGCGGAGAGATTGCGCTTAGTTGGGTGAAGACTCATGCATATGACCTGTGCATAACGGAATCGCGCGCCCATGATCCCCTCAAGATTCCAGAGCTGATTGACATCCATCTTCATCTTCCCGCTGGAGCTCAGAAGAAAGATGGCCCCAGTGCCGGGATTGCCATGGTGGGCTGGCTCGCAGTGACAATACCCCAGTTCTGACCCGAACATAGATCTGCGCGTTTGTTTCCTTGCTGACCGGAGCCCGTGTGCCTACAAATGTAGCGATGACGGGTGAAGTCACACTGCGGGGGCGAGTGACGGCCGTCGGTGGAATCAAAGAGAAGGTGCTCGGTGCTCATCGCGCGCAGATAAGCAAGGTCATTCTTCCCTGGAGCAACCGCAAAGACGTCGAGCACGACGTGGCACCAGAAATCAGGCGGGCGATGGAGTTTTTCTTCGTCCGCACCGTTGACGAGGCTTTGACTGCTGCGTTTGGTCAAGGCACTTTGGGTTGGAGGAATGCAGCCGGACTTCTGATGGAGAGTCGTCTGTAATTGTATCTGAATAATATAATTGTATGTGTCACATCAATGCTATATTTACGGGAAGTCATCCGTCAGCACGAAAAAGACATACATCGACAACCAGACCAAGGTAGATAGATATATGACGACATAAACAAGCTTCCTTAGTTGGCAGGCTGAGGAACACGATCACGTGCCCGTGTCTGCCCCTATCTTCTCAATCGCGGCTTAGCTTCAATCGCAAGCTTGCTCCGATGGAACCGGCATGTATGTTAGCTTATGGCGCGTTTGTTCGATTTCATACCGGAGACATATGATAACAGTGCATCAGGACTGGCCCAATCTGACTTCCTGCTGAAGGACTAGAGTAATCACCCGTTCAATCATGGATGTAGGATCATCGAAGGTCACATTTTTGTCACTCTTAGGGTCATGTCACGCACTACTTACCTTAATCCATTACCACCACCGGCTCTTAATTCCTAATGCCCTATCAATCTCTACCCACAATCGATGAGAAGAATCCTCTCTATTGCCCTGCTATCACCGCTTCCTCATATATCAGCTCTCTCCGGCGTCAATCCCGACGCAAATACTCCCGTTCTTCTCTACGTTCCCGGTCGCAAAATGAGCAATATGTGCACTCCTTCTCCCGCATCCTTGACAGAGCGCTCAAGGACGAAGAATTTGAATCGCGCTCTGCATTCCCACCTGCAAACTCGGATGATGCATCTACGCTGACTTCATCAATTGTCCTCCGCGAGAACCTATCTTTCGAACATCGCAGCAGTACCACGATAGTCAAGACGACAATGAAGACCACGTCCTCTAATCTGCGGTCCAATGCCTCTCTCAAAAGAAAACGCGCCGACTCGGAATCTACTACGTTTAGTGACTTGCGTGGACCTGCTCTGTATCAGCCCTCCGTTCAATCATCGCATGATCGCTCGTTCGATGTCAGCGTCAAGCGAGAAAGACTAGACTATTTTTCTCCCAAGCCGCAACCGTCTCCTCTTATTTTGCGGCCCAGAAACATGAATACCGCTCCGAACCAGAATACCAAGCCTGCACTCGTCGACGATTTCAAGACAAAGATTCGGTCTCTGGAAGGTACTTCTTGCCTATTTCATCAATTTACGACGCATATATTCTCCCTCTCAGACGAGCTGTATGGACCGCCCATAGGAACCGAATCACCCCGCGGCCTAATGCCATTCATTAAGAGTCTGGACGAGATGATGCCTGGGATTCGTCTGCAAGAACGTCTTCTCAGGCTTCCCAATCTGAGTCATCAAGCGGTAACTGACTTTTTGGCTGACAACGGTGATTACCTTGGGTCCTGGTTGTCAAACTCACTGACGCATCTGAGGGTTGTTGAACGTTCGTGTTCTTTCTGTGCTTCGAACTTCGGAAATCTGGCGACTGGTGCTCTCTGAGTCGATGAATGATGAGGATGGGCTGAATCTCGCGGGCAGGGACATTCTGCCTAGTGCGCGATCATCCTTTCTCGCGTTTGCACCGTGTTTGATTATATTCAGTCTTCAGCAAACCCAACAGCTTCTTATTCCTCTCCGAGCTCTGTCTCAGTGGAACACGTGTTCATGAATCCGACCTGTTGCACGTCCATCATCTGCCTCGCCTTGTTACTTTGCTCCTGAACAACACTGGAATTGGCAACGAAGCGTTGGTTCTTGCTGATCGCGGTGAATGACTGCTCAATAGACCGCAGCATATACCTTCTTGTTTCCCTCAAGCGCACTCTTCTCCAACTCTCGATCGCAACCAACCCACACATCGACGACGACGCTATTCCCGCTCTGCTCTTGTTTTCGAAGCTTTCTTTTCTCACCATTCTCGACACAAGCATCCACATGGCAGGTCTTCGCCGCCTCGCCCGAGTCATTTACGACGAGCGACGCATCATCGACATCGAGATCCCATCTGCGTGTGAGAACTACATCGATCGTGCGTTGCGTTCGTCATGAGCTGCGCATGACATACTCAGGACGGCCGAAGACTTATCATCAAGATATCTTCTAAATCCTACTCCTCCGCTTATTTCGAGTCCAGAGCTGGTACCTGAGCTTTCTGCCGCTGCTCTCAAGCGCAATCTCACTGCCCATTCCGACTGCAACTCGTCCATTGTCGCGACAGGCACCAAACAGGAAATGGCTGACAGATTGCGAGGTATTTTGGAGATGCGCGGCCAAGATCTGCTCGTACGTAATATGATCATGGGCGTCGATGACTCTGTTATGCGGAGCTTGTAGATGGATGGCACGCTGTCGTTAGCTGTACCATAATGTCTCTGTAATTCTCTCCCGCGCTACCTTAGTAATCAGCTAATGTGTTATCTCTATGTCTGTCCGACGCTTTTTTGGTGTCTAGAAACTACTACTTCAACCAGTTCGAGTACCATCATTCCCTCGACCCAGAGAGCGGTAGCATGTCTGATCTTATCTTTTGAGATGATAAGATAAGCGTCAACTCTTTCCCTCACCACAATGACGACTGTTCTTCGCTGGGGAATCATATCAACGGGGAAAATAGTGAGGGACTCTCACTGGATTCATTCCCAACGACTGATGCGTTTGAGGCATCTGTGTTTGTCAAGGTATGGGGCAGCGTTGCCAGGCGAAGGCCGAATCCCTGACATCCTCTTAGGATCTGCTCATAGATCCCAAGACGTACGATATCCCTCATTTGCACAGAACCATGATTCATTTGTCAAAAGCCGTCTCGTCGATGACATCGCGCACAAAGTTGTTGCTGTAGGCTCACGCTCCGTCGAGTCTGCACAGAAGTTCGTGACCGCGAATGCCGCTGGCGATACCAACATCAAGACGTACGGGACCTACGAGGAAGTGTACTCAGACCAGGTTAGCAGAATCCCACACTGCTGCATCCGATAGCCAGCCTTCAATCCTGATAAGGACGTCGACGTCGTTTACATCGGAACCCCGCACACCTTCCACTACACGAATGCCCTAGACGCGATTCGGGCCAAGAAACACGTTCTGTGCGAGAAGCCGGTCACTACTAATGCGGCTGAGCTGCGCTCGCTGCTTGCCGCCGCGAAAGAGCACGGTGTGTTCTTCATGGAGGCTATGTGGACCAGATTCCAGCCACTGCCGCGTGCCGTGCTGGAGTTGCTACATTCGGGAGAACTGGGGCAGCCTATTGTCGTGCATGCAGATCTGTCCGTCAACTTCGATATCCAGAGTATGTCGCTCAACCATATGATGGGCCCCCGTTGATGGAGCCTGCAGACATCCCCAAGACTCATCGGATCCTTGATCCTGCACTTGGAGGTGGCGCTTTGCTCGATCTGTACGTCCTGTCGACGGCTTTCCTCAAGGAGTATCTCACTTCTTTTCCAGAGGACCATACCCGCTTGTTTGGGCCAGTGGATTCCAGTTTTAAAACGAGACCCCACGACTGACAAGTCACAACAGGCCATCATGACACTGTACGAATCGCCACTCAACTCGCTGGCCCTGCCTTCTCCCGTCAGCGGTAACATGGTCAAGACACCGCTGACCGGCGTAGATGCCAATACCTCCTTCTCGCTCGCCTTTCCGTCTCTCGGATCCGGTGCGCAAGCCATTCTCAGCTGCAGCCTAAACGCAGAGACGGTCACTCCCGGGGTGACCATCCGCTGTGAGAAAGGTGTCATCCGGATTGCGCCGCCGATCTACCTCAGTAAATCGTTTTCGGTGCAATACCTCGGGGAGGGAGGGAAGATCCTTCGCGAAGAAGACAAGTCGTTCGAGTACGTTGGCCATGGAATGCATTGGGAGGCAGACGAGGTCGCCAGATGCATCCGAGACGGGAAGATGGAGAGTGCTCTGTGGGGTTTCGACAAGAGCTTGTTGGAGATGCAAGTGTTTGATGAGGTGTGTTTCGTTGCGCACTTGAGTTGGACGTCATTCAGCAGAAATAGGTGCGCAAGCAAGGTGGATATGTGCTGCCCCCTGGTGTCGAGAAGGTGCAATAGATCAATCCCGTCGGATACATACAATGTACATGTATTACAAGTTACGAGGTCGGGGCTCACTTGTCATCTTGGGCTCCGGATCGTTGTGCTTCGGAGGCTGGGTGTTCTAGTTAATCCAATACCTTCACTTGAACGACTAGAGGAAGTAGAGGAAGCCCGGCGATGACGTCTCATTCGTGCTGGATCGACGTCTGGCAAATGAGCTAACCGGGCAAACACAGACAATACTGCAAAGATCAGGATCCCATCGAGAGAAAGGTCACAAAACATACCGTCAACCACAGAGACGACGCCGGATAGAGTGCCAGTCTCATGTACTACGAACATTCGATGTGAGTTGGCTGTGTCGTCGATCAGTGTTTGCTGAGGACGGAATCCGTCACATACTGGTCAACAGCTTCTGAATGGTGTGGAAGAGAGGAGACGTTGGCGAAACAGCATACACTAGTCCATGGATTAGTCCCTGATGCAAAACTGCTGAGCGCCAGCGTACCAGGAAATCTGTCCACGCCATCCGTCCTTCCATGGGGATCCTTTATCTGCATAACAAACTGCTGCAGTGAGGTACTCAAGACTTGGTTGGTCTCAGATGGCACCAAAATCCTCCCTATATCCGTAACGCTGACAGCGCTGAGCAGCACACCACTGTCATCGTCAAGCACGGCGACGCTGCTGACACCTTCTTCGCTCATGAGTTTCATGGCGTCGAGAACAGTGGCCTTGCTGTTTGCAGTGATGACAATGGTGAAGACATTCAGTGACGGCAGGGATAAATGGGACAGAGGCGTTGTCAGAAAGGATTCGATGGGGCTATAGGCAGCAAACCACGCCAGAAGTTGTCGGTCAGACACGAAGCCCAGATAAGGTTCGCTGGCATTCGGAGAAGATATAAGCGCCCGATGAGCTCCCTTGGAGAACACCTCAAGAAGAGAGACAATCGTCGCATCGCTGGGCAAGATCTCGAGGGGATTCTTGTCCGACAAGTTGCTGACCAGGCGAATGGGAATGCTGCCGTCGCGAGCAGCAATCATTATTGAGTTTATGCGTGGGTTTTCCAGCACTTCATCTTTAGGAAGCGTATGCCGCGTCGCAGCAAAAGTCAAGAAGGCATTGACGTCTGCGAACTGCAGCTAGGCATCAGCGGGGCAAAGCGTCAGCACAGCAGCGTGGCAGACATCGAAGAGTCCGATGTACGGACGAGCGGGATCGGCTTGAGTGTCTTTGACAGCGAGACAGAAGATGTTCTCCGAGAGAAGGAGCTGGAACTTCGTCGGCTATCGTGTTCCTTTGATCTGCATTCGAAACACACCTCACAAGCCCCCTCGACAGTCATATCCGCATCCACATCTACAATCCTCGAGTCACCATCGATAAGGTCTGCACGCGTTCAGAAAGCCGTTCGCCATGCGCGAAAGGAAGCCCGCCTTGAGCAAGGACTGTGCTCCACTCCTCTACCCATTTATCGGCGCCCTCTGGGTCATCTAGCAAGACCTGCGAATTCTCTAGGGTAAATGACTGGGACATGCGTCTGCTCGCCATAGCAGAGGTTAAGTGAAAGGAGTGTCGCGGTCACGGGTTCTGCGTGGCACTCCCAGTTTCCTTTTCAAGAACAGGTCTGTAGCATTCCAGAATTACGCTATTAGAGCTCTAACGAATACGCTAATATAGACAGTGTGGATACCAAAAGTGAGAGAGAGATCCGGTGACTCGGTGGTGCTGCGCTTTGGGCTGAAGTTACGAGCGAGGGACAGAGCCCGGCCTGGGCAGTGAGCATGCTCAATGGAATAAGAACCTGGGGCAAGCCTTGCACAGCAGTCACAGAGGTGTCTCCGCCTGTGCCATTGACGGCTACTTTGCGGCAAGAAAGGGTGTCTACCAGAGTGCTGTTGACAGGATACAGTCTGGCCGGGATGGTCCATGTTGGTTGACGAGACGACGCGGTCCCAATGTTCGTAAACAGCGACAGCATCGGTGGTTTTGAGAGCATGATAGAACTCGGGTCCGACTGCGGGATCCACGTCGCCTGGATCCGATGATGAGTTCGCGAGCTATGTGATACTAGCAGCACACTGACCTCGCCAGACAGGAAACTGGCATTGCCTGCGATGGCAAGCTTGCGAGCGACGTTCAAGGATTTCGCATGTGCAACAAGGGGCTTGCCTGTCGCATATCCGCTGAGCCACAGGCTAGCTTTGGGTTAGATTGATGGCTACGAGATGAGTGATAAGACGACACTCACGCTTCGCGATTCGAAGGGTCCGAGCCTCCTTCATAGCCCTGCTCTTGTCCGTAATACATGATCGGGATCCCGTCCCCAACGAACGGCCACGCCATGGCGTTCTTCGTGAGAGAGATATCCGATGTAGAAGACGCGAATCGGGCTTGGTCATGGTTCTCCAGAAAAGCAGCTGTGCGCACAGGCGAAGTTGTCGACGAGTTGGAGAGACGATACAAGGATGGCGAGTTTGTCAGAGCAGAGAGATTGCCAGTCGTGTTCACAAAGGCGCTGCGAAGGTTGTACCAGGTCGGGTAGTCGAGCACAGCATCTACCGAGCTCATGTAGGGAGCGACAAAGTTGGGATCGTCAGAAAGAACCTAGACGCATTGTAGCAGATACAAGGGGTGAGTAGGCACGACACACCTCCCCCAGAGTAAATACACCGGCGTTCGAACAGAAACTGGGCCAAAAGTCCCGCCGGATGTGCTTGACCGTGTCGATTCGTAAGCCATCGATGTTGTAGGTCGACACAAGGTTCTTGATCCAGGTATTCAGAGTGGTCACAACGTTACTATCCTCCGTATTGATGTCCGGCAAGGGCAGAGCAGCATCGCCCAGCCAGCATTGCTCAACATTTGTCTGGTTCGTGTAGTCCGAAATGAAGCATAGCGGATGATACTGTGCCTGATTATTGAACGGAGCTAGTTTCGAGTAGTCGAACGTGAAGCCGGGGGTTGTATTGGTCGGCACGGAAGCGAAATGATTCACAACGACGTCGAACATGATGTACATCCCTCGAGCATGTACCGCATTGATCAAGGAATGCAGATCGTCACTCGTGCCGAAGTGAGGACTGATGGTATTGAGGTCTTGCGTCCAGTATCTAGCGCTGGGTCAGTTTCCACGCAATGGGGACCTAGTGTACGCACCCGTGATACCCATCACCATAGGCCGTTCCATCCATGTTTTCCACCACCGGTGAGATCCATAACGCATCAAAGCCCATGCCCTGGATGTAGTCGAGGTGATTGGTGACTCCCGCCCATGTACCTCCACAGTATGTCCGTTTCGACGTGTCACACGGCGCAGAAGAGTTGGTGGACAAGGCAAAACGGTCTGTGACAATCTGCATTAGGCGGGTTAACGCTCTATCAATGTTGTCCACGTCGAGAAGGAATACTTGATAAATGGACCTGCTAGACCATTCTTCTGCAGACGCAGCAAAAACGAGCGGAAGAAATATAAGTGAGTGTAAAGCTTTCAGCCATGCGGAACGCATTTGAGGGGGTAGGTGGGAGAGGCAAGGTGGTGGTGGTTTGATTCAATAAGAGGGGGCAGGTGCCACAAAAAACAAAGGGGCGCCTGACTGTCTGCACCGTTGACGCGTATCCAGGAACTCGGGAAGAATATTTATCACGAAGAAATGGACGCTGAATGATGAGAGACAAGGCTTTAAGTCTCCCGGGTTACAAAACGGATGCGCGCATCGAGTCGTAACAGTAACATAAATGACATTGGATTGCCTGCAACAGACGTCGCGACGAATTATCGAGTGAACGAAGTGGATGTCGGAGGTATGTAGGCTTTAGAATGAGGTAGAGTGGAGACTCGTCTTGAGGTTGTCAAGAGGATGGGGTAAGACGATGGGCGCACAAGTACGGTAACAATGGATAGAGCCGACAATGTAGTCGATCAGGTCTAGTAAATTCCTCACGTGCTTGAACGAAATCCCCTTTGACCTCTACCTTCACCTTCGCCTTATGCCCGTCTGCGGCGGATCTAAACGCGGTGGATTCGGTCGCGGAAAGCCAGTATGCTTTCTACTCTACTGCTCGCGACCGTATATTTTACATTCTGCCTAGATCCAACGAAAAGTTGTCGGTTAGTTCTCTAGGTCAATAACTTTCTCCAGCTACTCATATAGGCCCGAAGTCTGCGGTGACGGAGCCTGCGGTACGTGGTACGCATATGTTGGCGCCCCCGAGCGCACATCGCGCGTCCATTCTCATCTTAGCACGCATTTCTGACAGGCAAAACTTCCCTGCTGAACGTCTTCACACGCGGTTAGTCCCCCAAATATCTCCTTCTTTCTGCACCTCCGGCTAATGTGGCACAGGATTCTTCAGTCAAGTCTAGTGCGGCCTTCGTCTCTTCTCATCTAGAAACGACTGATGTTCCATTGTCAGTGAACCGACCGTCTTTGAGAATTATGTGCACGACATCTATGTCGACGAACAGCAAGTGGAGCTCAGTCTATGGGATACAGCAGGGCAGGAGGAGTTTGATCGCCTCCGCTCACTATCTTATGCGGAGACCCATGTGATTATGCTTTGCTTTTCGGTACGTTCTCTTGCATATCTATCCGTTCATATCTCCGATGTCCTCCAGGTAGATAATCCAGTGTCTCTAGAAAACGTCGAAACGAAGGTGCGTCGGACCAAGCTTTGGGACACCAACCTTTATTTACGGTGAATAGTGGCTGGATGAGATATTGGAGTACTGTCCTGGGGTGAAGGTGACTTTCTCCCAGCGCAACGTCCCGTCGATTCTTTCTGACATGGTGCTTATCAGCTCGTTCTCGTGGGTATGTGCTACTGCTCGCCATTCAAGCCGTCTGTCAAACCGTGACAGCCTTGAAATGTGATCTTCGGGATGATCGGTCAATACGAGAGCGACTGCAACGACATGGCGCGCATCCTGTCCAATACGAGGAGGGACTGGCTGTTGCCAGGCGAATACGTGCTTCGCGGTATCTGGGTGAGTGTTGCAGCATCGAGTCGCGCTCACGACCAACCGCAGACAGAGTGCAGCTCAAAGCACAATCGTGGTGTGACGGAGGTGTTCTACGAGGCAGCTCGTGTATCGCTGAGCACGCGTTCGAAGAGCACCAGCGAGGGATGCGTTGTGATGTGAAGACGCGAGTAACCCGTCGGAGACGATCTACCTTATCACGACCGCAACTAATGGGACTGGACTGGGCTGTCGCTTTCTGTTCTACTTTTATATATAGCTGTGTAACTTTCTGAATGTAAATCGCAAGAGTCAATCGTGGATTCATCATAACACTAAGGCGCACGAAGGAAATCAAGATGTAGGCATCGGTGACCAGAACGCAGGATGCAATGGAGTCTGCATGTAGTTCTAGAGGTGAGCGGGGGTGAACGGCATTATCAGATATTGAGGCCCCAAAATCTGAGGCTTAAACTGACGCGACGAGCAGAGCAGAACTGAATACGATAGAGGGTTGGTTGGAAATGTGTGATTCGGCGAAGGTTTTACTGGATGCGGATACTAATAGTTGTTGGGGAGAGATGGGTAATATTCCGCAGGATGCACATGTTGTGGCTGTGCATCTTGTAGCCAGTTTTGCCCTTTGGATTGTGGCCAATGCTGCGGCCGTTGTCGTTGCCTTCTCAGGGGACGCGGCGGAGCTATAGGTAGCGATGTTCCCCCAAGCGGCAGAGCCGAAGTAGGAGGTGGAGGCAACATGCCATACCACGGCGGCGGGATTACTCTTGTCGCCATCAATTCGAGGATGAGCGGACGACAGAGCCCCAGACGATTATATACCATAGTGCAAGGCATGACTATAATACTAACGCACGCGCGCACGTTGCCACATCAGTAGCGAGGGGAAGAGAGAACAAGGGCATAAAACAGATCACGAGGCTAGAAGTTGCACGATGTTACGTTGTGGGTCCAAACGACAGTTTGGTTTGAAAACGGACGATAGCGCGGGACACCCGGCTGCTCAGTCTCTGGACGTATGGTTCCGGATCGGAGTGGAGGGCGTTGTCATTAATAATTAGCGTCATTATATTAAGATACTTTATGCGTCGATGAAATCCCGGACGTTTTTCAGCCATTGGACATATTCCTGAACCACGGATGTCAGCGAGAACACGTAGAACAGACACAAAACAGACCTTCTGCTCCTTGAACTGTGCGTACTCAGGAATGAAGAACGCCGTCGCTTCGCCAACATCCCGCTCCTGCAAGAACTTCTCAAACTGCTCCTGCAAGTGCACATCCAGCGTCGTGAACTCCGGGCCGATGTAAAGGCCGCGGCGCTTCCAGTCTCCCTCGACGCTGATGTCTTGTCCGAGTTTCGAGTCGTTGTAGAATGTGACATTCTCCACCAGGAACTGACCACCCTGCACGGTCATGTCGATGTCGAGGGCGCCAGGTGCGTTACCCTGCAGACCGAAGTCAGAAAAGAACCCACGCGTTGGGGCATATTCCCGGCTCACCTTGGTAATAGACACAACAGCACGCATGGCATCCGACCCAGACTCTTGTTCCTCGTCACTGCGCTCCTCCATGTCCTCGAATTCATTGGGCTCCTGGTTCGCCAAATCAGAAACAGAGAAAACCAGTCGGATACTATGAGCGCGTTTCAGAGAAGACAACAAGTGAAATCCCGAGAAACGCACTTCTCGTTGCCAAATTGACGGGTGAGCGTCACTTCGTTGTTTCCTGCCTCGTCAATGACCTGGCATGTCGTGAGAAAACAGGAAGCAATTATCAGGCGGCACACATACAGTCCATAGCCCCTGCTTCTTGAACGAAGTCAGGAATTCGGGTTCCGCGCTCTCCTGCTGCTCGTTGAGCTCGAATGTGAGCTCCTGCTCAAGCTTAAGCGAAAGCGGAGCATCCGCTGCATAACCAGTCAGCAGGCCACCAGCATGGTTCGCTCAAGAGACGCACAAGAACCGGCCTTACTAGCTCGGGCGGAGGCCGAGAACGCACGCAGTGTGCTCGGTTGTGCGACCCTCCTTGCGAGTAGTGTGCGTGTGGAAGAGACGGCAAGTTGTCGCGAGGACACGCGGCTAGAAACGGCGGAAAGTTGGCGAAGGGTGCGTGCAACAGACATGATGTAAAGAGGAGAATAGGCTGGACAGTCGGGGACGCGAAAAAAAAGTGGAGGAGACGTGAACGTGACATTGTCACATGCGGTCACGCGCGATGTATGCGACCGGCGAGCGCCGAGACTCTCGGCCCGCCAGTCGCCGCCGCGTGCGGGCAAGTCGGCGTCAACGGCTTCCACGGCATGGTGTGAGAGCGGAGTTTCGGCGTAAAGATTCGACTCATTGCTTAACTCTGAAGCCGAAGACACAGCTAGCACACAGAGACTATCATTTGCCCTTCGAATAGTAGTTGGTTATTCGCAAATACACTAGCACTCAAGTCATTACATGCAGGCACGTGATCGTGACTGATCGTGACTGATCGTGTCATGCCTCAGAATGATCTCAACGAAATCTGAGGTTTCCCACTAGCCCCGGATCCCTTGGCGGCGGCGTTCCCTGACCCAGCGAGGCCGGTTCCCCCAACAACAGCCTTGCGGATCGCATTCTCGAGCACATCTCTGACGGCTGGATCCAATTTGGCTGCAGCATCCTTGAACGCCGCGGGCGACGCTGAAGCGTATCCGAGCAGTTCTTTCACTGTAGACGCCGCCACAGGCGACTGCGGCGAGGAAAGGAGAAGCGTCATCGTCGGGAGCAGCACTCCCAGCAGCCGAGGCTCTGTTCATGTCAGCGGCGAGGAAAGGGGTAATGGAGTGGACACTCACTGAGCTCCTCAGGCACTGAGGCGTAATAAGCGCTGAATGCCTTCCAGACTTCTCCGATCGCAGCTACATGTGTCTCGGTCACCGACCCGTCCATCACCATTGGCGCGATCTTCGCAATGAACTCGATGAGCCCAGGAATCAACAACTTCGTGCATTTTTGCAGCAGAAGGTTGCCTGAGGTCGCCGCTGTGATCAAAGTCCGCGCGCAGTGGGATGCTGGCAGAGAGATCTGACGTCGCTTTCAGGCGAGAGTTTAGAGCGTCAGATCTATCACCCGCACCTCAGTTCCATCCAGCAACTTTTGCGAAATCAAGAAGCAACAGTGCTCAACCACCGCCTCCCCGATTTTTCCAGCGCCGGGTGGCACCACCGTCAGTACAAGCACTGCTGCAAGTAGGTTGTTCTTGACTTTGCGAAGAGAAAGAACACCCTGTCGGCCACCCATCTCGTCGACGTTGAGCAGACACGCAGAGAGCAGGCCGTGGACGAGTCGGCTGTATCGATCACTCGATTCGGCTGTTCTGGATTTCGAAAGTGGAAGATCGAGCAGTGATTTGAGCGCCGGGAGCGTAGGCCCAACGAAGTCTGCTTCGGATGTTTCATCCGTAGCAGTTCTGCAGGGGAGGACGTCAGTGCGAGTCAAGAATTGACTACGAGATGCGTACCGCTATACAACAGAATCCCAACTGACCGTACATCCTCTCTCTGCAAGCTCTCGATTGACGCTCCAACAGTGACGAACGCGGAAAAGGCCGTCATGATCATCCTTACTCGGTCGGCAAAATCACCCTCTGCCTCCTGATTAGCATGCGATGGAATAGGCCATTTACGAAACACTCACGGATCACCGCACCCCGCTTACTCGAGGTCGCATGCTGTAGTATATGCGCACATATCCTCAAGCAGTGAGCCCTCGGTGACCCATTTCCAAGCGGATCTTGATCGAGCCCCTGGGTAGATGCCAGCACGGATACCACCTCCACTAGATGCACCTGCACAGCGGCATTCTCCGTCATGGCCATTCGATAACACAGACTGGTGAACTCGTCGAATATCGGGGGCTCCATTATCGCCTTGCCGGCATACTCGGGCCGCACGAGAGACTTCAGCGTCTGCAAGGCCGCAATGACCGTCGTCTGTCGGTTAAGACTAGATGTGGGACTTGACTCGGTGGAAGCCGTGGCCAAAGACTCGTAGACCAGCCCGAAGATGACATAGAACAACATTGTGGGTTCGTTTCCGGTGGTGGGTGGCGGCGCGTCGAGACCGTCCATGCAAGCCAGTATGTTAGGGTCCTTGGCTTGCATCGCGGCGGCGACGGCTTGCAAGATCACGGACCACGAGCTAGCGTAATACTTTTGTGCTGTCAGAAAAGCAAAGCCCGCGTATGAGTCAGAAAACAAACGCACCGGTAACAGAACCTCCTTCCCCAAGCTCGAGTACGACGAGTCCAAAGCCACCGACGAGGTATCGAGCAAGAACTCGGAATCGATTCTGATGCTGGCATAGTCGCGCAGAGCAGCAAGCCAAAGCGAGGCGAGCGTAGCCCGGTAGGGCTTGATCACATCCACAAGATACGTCTGCTGGATGCTTGCCGTCTCGAGTTGTGCCCAGGCGGAAAGGGTGGAGATCCGGAGCATAGCAGATGCGTTGGGGCTGAGCTCACCCGTATCACCGAGGGAAAGCATTCCCGAGTCTAGATCAATATGTCGGATTCGTGTACCGGAGGCTTGAAAGCAACAACGCACCTTTGGATTGGTCCAAGGCAGCGGTCAATAGCTTGAGAATCCTACCCATCCTGCTCACATCCTTGACGACTCCACATCCCACAAACACAGCACAGGCATGCACAGCAGACGCGAGAATCTCTGGTGTCGAATCAGACGAGAAGGCGGGTGTCAGGGCGGCAGTAATGGGGGCCTGATGCTGTTCTAGCAACAACGCGTCGTCATACGCAGGGTCTGGAGAAGCAGCGAATATCTACAAAACGATCAGAAACGATGAGAACTGGAGAGAAGAGAAAACACCTCAATGACATCCCGCAGCACAACCAGACCTTCCAGCCTGATCTCTGTGACATATGCGGTGGAAGCTGTAAATGCCATCCGAATCAAATCGGGCACCCGAGAAAAGAGCAGTCCGGAGGCAGAATTAATGCCAAGATTGCGGGCGTGTTTCACATCGACATGCTCCCTGCGACCGCTCGTGGCGACGACCGTGCATATCTTGTGCAGACACTGCAGCGCAAACAGCTGCGTCCTCCAGCGCGACGTCGTCATTTTTCGAGTGCTGCCATCAGCAGAGCCTCCGACGTTGAGCGACTCCCCTTCATCGTCACGTGGGCCTTGACCAGCTGCGGCATCTGAGGCCTGCTGGGATGCGGTGGTCCGTGACATGATGCGTTGGCACAAGTCGATCCAGGCCGACGGGTTGTGTATGACAGTCTGGCCGAGCCAACTCGTGATCACATCGCGGACGCCTTGCACCGACGAGTCGTCGTCCAGCATCCCGAACAGATCCTCGACCAGCCGGTCTCCACCCAACTTCGACATGGCCAACGCGTCTTTCTGAACGAGCTGGTACAGTGCGTTGATGGACGCCAGCTTCAGCGGACGCCTAGACGAGCCGAGATAGCCCCGGAACTGGTTCACTAGGGCCGGGATATCGACGTACTCGGGCGCAAACATGAGCAGATGCTGCATGCATTTTATAGCCTCAACCCTGATTCCCTCCTCGCTCTCGCGGGCGAACTCGTGCACCAGATTCAAGATCAGCGTTCGAGTGCGGGCCGAGTCTTGCATGTCGGGCCCTAGGATATTGATGATTGCATCCGTGATCTGGCATGCGACAGGGTAGGCGGGGCAGTCTCCGCTGAGATTCGCATTGTGTTGGGTACCGCCTTCGCGCTCATGTGATTCCATCGTCATGACCTTGAGCAACATCCCGAGGGTGCTCGACACGAATGGAGCATACGCCAGACTCGCAGCGCGCATCACTCGAGCCAGCGCAGTGAGTGCCCAGTAATGCACAACGGGATGGGGGTCGTTGCTCAACGACATGAGCACGTTGACCGTCGTTTTCAGCAACGGGCCAGCGGCCAGTCCGCCTACGTGGCTGTAGATGGCACCAAACGCCAATGCGCATCCAGCCCGCCCCGATGGGTCACGGTTGTTGACGACCTGATCAACGAGCAACTTGGTCTCAGCAGTCAAAAAGTTGGTGCCACCCAGATTAGCCAGTCGGCCGATGGACTCGCTGCTCGCTGCTCTGAGCACTGGATCGCCATCAATCAGTGCATCCTGTTCGCACATCAGCGAGAAGCGGAGAGATCACTGGGAGACAAGCAGACCTTTAAAAAGGTCGACAATAGGCTCGTGACCTGGGAGCTTCCAAAGGTATCCTTGGCCTTTCTGTTACTCAACATGGCCTGCCTCAGAGCCAGTACGATCGAAACTGCAACGTTCACATTCACAGCCGCCTTCCGAGCCACGTTCTTCTCCAACTTGGGAGACTTGAGCGAGTCAAGGAGGAGAGCCAACGTTTTCGTGATAGAGGAGAGATCCTGCAGCGGAAGAAGCTGTGCGAAGAGCTCGATGGAGGTGTCGACAACAGACGTCAGGGCAGGCGGGGGTTCTTGAAGTTGATACTCTGCATCCGACACCTGCATAGCGTAAGAGGGTCGTGCTCACAGGCGCCAATGATCGGCCTTCGAAGCTCAAGGAAGATAAGAACAATTACAAGGAAAACGCGCAGACTCACCATACTGTCGATCGCTACTTCAATAGCGTCACGATTCAGTGGGTCCCTGTCCTTCCCTTCCCTTTCTAGATCCTCATCCAAATCGTCTCCAATATCAATGAACGTAACACCATGGGCATACCCATCTCCACTCGCCCAGACGTTGGTGAATGTACCAGAGGACGACGCGATGGCAGCTTGCATGGCGCTGATCGACCCAGGATACAAGTCGGGACTCGCAAACAGTGTGACGCAAGATTGAAGCAGGGTCGTCTGCGTCGAGTCCGTGATCGCGTTGAATCCGAGCGCACCGAAACACTGATGGACTCTCCTCCTCAACAGAGCCTCGCGAGACGAGAGCGGGAAACCCTGCGGGCCAGCGCCACTCGCGTCTGCTGTGCCGCATCATTGAGTCCCAACGCATCCTGGACCGTAGGGCTGACAAAGTTGTTGGCAAAAAGCAGCGCGTTGCTGAGCAATGATGCAATCCTGCGCGCGACATCCAGCGTGACCAGTGTGCCGGAATTGTGGCGCAAGAAACAAAGAATAGCGCCCAGCGCGCATTCTCTAACGTGCAAAAGGAAACCCCATTCAGCATGACTGCGCCCGGCGGCCGTGCTTGCGTCTTTGCTCGTTGGTTTCGGCAGCGCATTCCGCCAAAGAACGAGCAACTGGGGCAGATGGGGCCGGACAAAGTTGGGCCCAAGGGACATGAGGGCAGCCAACGCCGTCCAGGCAACTTCGACCTCGGTTTGAGCGACCCGGACATCGTGCTCTCCGGCCCGCTTCAACAGCGTGGTCGCCATATCGAGCACTTTGGCGGATATATCGTATGACACATAGAGCGGCCGAGATGGGATGATTGACACAAGTGCAGCCAGTCCATAAGCGTGGCCCAACGCGCGGAAAGGCACTTCGGGTGACGCAGTCGGTGTCAGCAATTGAGACAGATCGCGCTGAAGAAGCTCCATGACGACAATAACGGTCTTCGGCAAGCGAAGTGGCGTGGAATAACAGAAGCATCGTAGAGCCCAAGCAGCATTGACTCGCACTGTGTGATTAGGGTGCGCGAGTAGAGTCACGAGAGGCTCGGCCACTGCATCCTGGACGGGCGGAGGCGCATTTCCCAACTGCTGCAAAAGCCCAGAGACTTCTCTCAGCACGACCACAAGCACAGTCTCGATGGGTGCTGTAGACCCGGGCATCATCGCGGGCCAGCGCTTCAAATAAGCGCTGGCCAACTCCCGAATAGCCCCGATTTGGCCTTGCTCGCTGAGCATGCGCTCTCCGATCAGGTCACGGAGAAGCGTTCCGACGAGTGAACGGAAAAGAAGATGCTCGTATCTCGTTCTTGCTAGCCGACCAGGAGGGCCAATGATGATCTCGTTCGTGAGGTGTGTGATGATGAGCCCGTACTGGGACTCGACGAAGCTGCTGCCTAGCTTGGTTATCAGAGCCGCGTAATAGTCAAACAAGCCAATTCGAGTTTTCCGAGATAATCCCAGACGGTTGAAATGTGAAGAGAGACAGTGGAGCATCTCGGTTGGGGACAGTGTGGGTTTTGTTTCGGTGGTCACATGCGCCGAAACTGCATTGTCGTCTTCATCGTCGGGATCGCCCTGTTTCTTATCTTTCTTGGCTGCTTTTGGCTCTGGGACGACGACAGCACGGGGAACTTGGGTCAACGCCAGAACATGGCCAACCAATTGAGCCAATGCACTGCGAGTGATCTGATCTGCTGTCTCCAAAGACTTGACGCATTGGGAAATGATATTCTCACATCAACAGCAGACGGAGGGGGATGAGCATCGGGACCAGAATACAAGGCAACGATGACCTGAATCATCAGCGCCAGATTTCAGGGAGGCTGTAATAAGACGCACTTCCGCAGCACCGCGTTGCACGGGGAGACATTTGTCAGTGAGAGCTGAGCGCATTTGTTTTGAGACATCTTTGAACAAAGTGTCGGTCACAGCTCTAGCAGCAGTCGAAAGCGATTTGCGAAGAGCTACCAGTGCGTGCGACCGCAGCAAGGGAGTCTAAGAGTGATTGAGCGAGAGGGGGAGGGAAGGCAGATCAAACTGCATACACTTGATGATCGCACAGTTCGCACAGACACAGTGGTTATCTCCGCCATGAAAGACATAAACTGGTCGTGACGGGTTTGAGCATAAGAACGAGCATTTACCCAGGAGAAACCACACCTGGGATCCAAATGTCTCCATAATATCCCCTATGACAGAGAAGGCGGCACTACCGGAAGATTCAGCGTCAATTCCTTCCAATCCTCTTGACTGCGTACATCTTGTGCGAATCGCGATCGGGTGTCTTGAAATCAATGATGACTTTCATGAAGGCTTGGAGCGTATCAAACAGTGTGCGCGTCTCGCCCCGCGTATATAGGGCAACGAGACACCGCGCGACACTGTTACGCAGGACGCGGCCTGGCATGGGATATGGATCCTGGGCGAGCACAACTTTGACGAGAGTCGATTCGAGGTCAGATTGTTTCGCTTTCAGATGATCCTGAGAATCGTCAGCAATGGTTGTAGGGATTTGAAACCGGCCGCACCATAGATGCCCCAGAAATACCCTTCTCTGCCGCCGACAGCCATTGAAACAGATACATCTCGCCATTCTCGCCTTTAAGCTCAGCCTGAGTCACTACCTCAGTGAAAATCCTTTCTGATGAGAGATTCTATTGCACCTCTTCTATATCGACGATGTCTATCGGGTCTCCAGCCATTGCTACGACTTCAGTAGACTCAGCGATGAACGACCTGCCGATTGTCAGGCTGCGTTCAAATTAATGAGATGCTCATACCAGGAACGGTCCGACTATACGTTATGTTCTCCCGTGACAATTGAGGCGATGGTGTAGAACGGTCGAGAGATGAGTGAGAGACCGTAGACGTAGGCGCAAGACAGTGACAGTACCATGAGATCGGCCGAGGCCCGACAGCTTCCGATCGTGATGACTCCGATCACTACATCATTGATATCAAGAAACCGCGCAGGCGGAAGTCCGGCCCGCGAACACCGCCAACTAAAATAAACATGTCGATTCCCTCATCGCGCTTCCACCCCCATGACACAGTCATCCCACCACATCTATAGGTATAAGAATCATGCTTTCCCCGCATTGGGACCCCGTATTTTTATCCTCGACCAAACATGGCGCCCGAGGTCAAGTCTTTAACTGAGCTTCTTGGTACCGCCGCCTTTGCTCACTCCATTAGCTCGATCTAATATTTATTGATCAGAGAAACGCGCACGCGAGAACCCTGACCAGCCATTTTTGTACACAGGCATCCCTGAGAGCGACAACGCCATCGTTCTCCATAGTCTCACGTACTCTCAAGTCAAGAAAGCTGTCGATCGCCTGGCATGGCATTACTTATCGCTCGGGCTTGTTCCCCCGGCTGATCAGGGGGGCCTCCCACTCAATCGCGTAGTTGCTGTCTTCACGACCTCCTCGATCGACGAGACGTTCCTTGAAATTGCTTTGGCGAAATTAGGTGCGCCATGCCTTGCTGATAACGAAAGCTTCCCTATACGTATATTCACGACAGGGCTTTGCGCATTGCTCCTCTCTGTGAACAACTCCGTGCCTGCTGTCGCGCATTTGTGCAAGCTCACTGCGTCCACCCATCTGATCTACGCGGACCGCTTCGCTGCGGAGGCTGAAGAGGCCAAGGCGATCCTTGACTCGCAAGGTCACAAGATAGTCCTTGTCCCGGACCAGCGATATCCACTCTGGGGCACCGGTGGAGTTGATGAGTCGGAAGTGGAGCCGATGACTCCAACTCTGTCGCCCGAGCAAGAGGCGTCTCGGACGGCCGTAGTTCTGCACTCGTCGGGATCGGTCAGTCGTGCGAAGATGCTCTATTTTCCCGTACTCATCCCTATTTATAGACCGGCTTCCCCAAACCAGTATACGTCACACACTCAGGTCTCATTGCCAATATCGCCATCAACCAGAACAAACCCGGATTCAGCACGCTGCCCGTCTACCACGGTTATGGCCACTTTTCTATGTACGCTTTTCGCTCCAGCATACGCTCAATTAACCGGCCAACAATTTTCGCAGTTTTCGATGCATGTATTCTTTGAAGACCGTTACTCTATTCCCGGCGCACCTGCCGCTGACGGCGACCAACATCACCACGGTCCTCAGCGCCTCGCCACCAGTGAAGCAACTCGTCGCTGTTCCCTACGTCATCAAGGTTCGTGAGGGGCCGTCAGGATGGAACCTGCACTGACGCCGCATAGCTTCTGGCCGAGACGAAAGCAGGGACCGAAGCCCTTGCCAGCTTCGACGTTGTCAGCTATGCAGGAGCCGCTCTTCCAGATGATCTCGGAACCCGTCTCGTCGCTGCCGGTGTGAATTTGCTCAGCATATATGGCACTACCGAGGTCTGTCAACCCACACCATCGCTCAACCATCTAATGTCGTGAAGACCGGCAGTCTGCTCAACTCCGACCGCGAGATGGCGACTGACAAAGATTGGAACTGGCTGCGTGCCAAGGGGACTATTGTCGACTATCTCACCATGGAAGCCCGCGGGGACAACACTTTCGAGGCTGTTGTGAAAGACGGCTATCCACCCAAGGTTCTTGCTCTTTTCCTGACTGCGCAACTGCTGTCTGACAGTGCGAAGATTGAAACGAATCGGCCGGATGGCTCGTATGCCACGAAGGATCTCTTCCTCCGCCACCCGTCCCACGCGGATTGGTACAAGTATGTCGGCAGATTGGACGACACACTTGTTCAGACTCTCGGAGAGAAGACGAATCCAGTGCCGATAGAACTGTGCATTCGGGGTAACAGTCCCTATGTGGCCGAAGGTCTGTTTGATCAATCCATGATCAGTCGGAAGCTGATTGTCACGCTGTTTTTCACGATTGTTCAGCCATCGTATTCGGCGCTGGCAAACCTCAGACCGGATGTCTTATTCTTCCCTCCGAGGCAGGTAAAGACCTGTCGCAAGCAGAATTGTTAGAGAAGATCTGGCCTGTCGTGGAAGAGGCCAATGCAGCAGCTCCCACTCATTCTCGAATCTTGCCTGATATGATCGAGTTCCTCCCGTTTGTGACTTCCTTGTGTGTTGATCGACATCTGATTCATGGCTAGATATGGTACCGCGGTCCCTGTGGCTACGAAAATGTCCATTCTTCGACCGGCATGTTATGCCAAATTTAAGGATATCATCGGTCGGTGCTTTCCTGGTTTCTACAGAACCTGTACTCATGGAATCAGAGGGCGTGTATGCGCGCTTCGAGCACGAGGACGACGAGAGTAAAAAGCTCAAGCTCGGCAAAGCTGAACTCGAGGAGTATATCATGCGGACAATCGAGAAGACCCTGGGACAGGTCAAAGCAGCCAATCTGACTCGGACTGTCGATTTGTTCGCGTTTGGCGTTGACTCGCTGCAAGGCACGAGAATCAGAAACGTCTGCCAGAAGGAACTCGACCTGAGCGGACAAGTGCTCGGTCAGAATGTGGTCTACGAGTACCCATCGGTCGAAAAGCTGGCCGATCACATGCTGGGTCTGCGCCAGGGTGCGGAGACTGTCAACGCCTACGAAACGGAAATGGTCGCTATGGTTGAGAAATGGCTGAGTAAAGTCGGCCGGCATTCCGGTACCCGACAGCGAGCGGATGCCTCTCGGGTTGTTGTACGTTCGCATCTCATTGAATGACCGGCGCCTGATGTTTCGCCAGCTCCTGACCGGTGCCTCCGGGTCATTGGGTGCCCATATTCTCCACCAGCTTGTTTTGTCGCCTTCAGTGCAGCGCGTAGTGTGTCTATCCCGTGCCGAATCCCACGAAGATTCTCTGCGTCGGATCCAGGAGTCGATGGCCGCGCGTAAACTGCCTGATCCAAGCGCCAAGCTGCAGTCCCTGGCCGGAAATGCGAATGAGCCGTTGCTTGGCTTGACGGAGCAGGAATACCAATCGCTGTGCGAGGAAGTGACGGATGTCATCCATGTCGGCCCTCTTTTGTGCCAACTGCCTCGAACCAACTGACGTTCCACCCAGAATGCATGGCCCGTGAACTTTGCCCTCGGCCTTGCCAGCTACGACGCCCACATCGGAGGCACGGTGAACCTGATCAATCTCTGTCTCTCCTCGCCATTCGCGAAGCCGGCATCCTTCTTCTTCAGCTCGTCGATCAGCTGTCGGCAAGGCGGCCCGGAATCTGAATGCTCGGAGGACTTTTCGGAGACGCCGAGCTCCGCTGCAGGAACGGGATACGCGAGAAGCAAATGGGTCGTAGAGAAGCTTTGCCAGCGAGCGGCGGAGCTCACGGGACTATCTGTCGGGGTACTGCGCATCGGCCAGATGGTTGGAGACTCTGTGAACGGTGTCTGGAACGAGACTGAAGGTATGCGACGCTGCTCTAAGGATTGATCCTAGGCTGAACATTTTGCAGCATGGCCGTTGATGTTCAAGGGCGCTCAATCGTTTGGGGCGCTTCCCATGGTCGATGAGGTGAGTTTCCACGTCGTATATCAAATTCTCGCGCTCACTGGCGAGTAGCATCCGTCTTGGCTGCCTGTCGACTACGCTGGCAAAAGCATCACTGAAATTGTACTTTCAGCCCCACACACAGCCACCGTCTACCACATCGTGAATCCAGACACGAGCACCTCCTGGAATGACATGCTGGCGTTCCTCAAATCCGCTGGTCTCAACTTCGACGCTACGGATCGCGGGGTCTGGCTCGAGAGATTGGCGGCATCTGACGCGGATGGAGAGAAGAATCCGGTCATTAAACTGCTGGTGCGTGTCTCGTATGTGGCTGACCGTTTTCCACATTGACTCGATTCCAGTCCTTTTTCCGATTGCGCTACACAAAGGCGTATCGCAAACCTATGGATTTTGTCACGACGAACACCGTCAAATACGCGCCTAGTCTCGGCGCTGCGCCCCCGATAAATGCCGACTTGGTCAGCAAGTGGGTGGACCATTGGCGTCTGACCGGATTCCTCCAGTGAACCGCTGTATCTACTAATCTGTATGTGGATAGATCTGTCTGAATGTATCTAAGTATCGTCTGTCCGACCTCGTTTGCGCTGAGGTTCACCCGAAACCGCGTCCGGCTTCACAACCTTGTGCACGACGGTTTCCCAGATGGCATCGTTGATACCCTTGGCTTTGCCGAGCTGCTCTCGTAAGCGCGCGACCTCCGACTCCAGTTCGGTGACTTTGGACTGCAGAGACACGGTATCGCCCCCACCAGTGGCTTTGACAAAGAATTCGTGGTCCCGAAGCAAGGCCTCCGGTGAATACAGAACCGACTCGTCCTTGGCCTGCGATCTTGCGTCAATAAGATGCACATCGTCCCTATGCAAGGTAAAACATACCGGAGTAGACAACGTCATCGTCACTTCGCGAGTCTCTCTCGCCTTCGCATCCTTCATGCGCTGGAACGGGGCAACATGTCTAACCGGCACCATGGACGACGTCCCCGCCTGCAGGCTCAGGCTCACGTGTCCGATCAAATCTGGGGGCTTCAACAGTGTTGCCAACTGCGTTATTGAACTGCCTTTGTGCGTCGATACACTGCGCAGCAGTTGGTGCGATGGGATGTCGTAGATGTGGATCAGCCCCGTTGATGTCCCAGCCAGAAGTAAAGTCGACGTCAGGAGATGGCGATCGATAGAACGGGTTCCCTGCATCGAAATTAGCACAGCTATTCGATGTCAGCACAGTATATGCAACTCCACACACCCAACAGAATAAGCCGCCGCTTCTGTGCCTTTCGCGTGTCCTCCTCTCCTGCACGGATGATGTCCGTTACACCAGCACCGCCAATCGCATCCACGCGCGCTGCGCCACTCTTGTCTTCGCGCTGCTTGAACAGATTCATCTGGTGGATGGACCCGTCCTTCGACGCAGCAAAGAACAGTCGCTCCGTCGCGTCCCACGCCAGACACGAGATCGGCTGGGGGAACTGGAACGTGGTGAGGAGTGACTGAGACGCAAGGTCCCATAGCTGTGGAGGATGTCAGGCATCTCCGGACAGCGCGGGCACTCGAACTGGCCTTCACAGAATGGTCCACAGAAGCAGACAGGATCCGGCAACGTGGAAACGCGCCAATTCCACATGCGATGTCCGTCACAGGCAAAGTGTGGTCCGAGAGCACGCAGTAGGGGAGAGGGAGATCGTTCAATACATCGTCGTCCAGTAATCTAAGACCAAGGTCAATATCAGCGACAATGACGAGAGCCGGCAGATTAACCTGGATACAGACCACACGCTGATCCCGGAGTCCTCACTGCCAGACACAAGCCCTGCGCCGTCGTGGGTGAATTTCAGCACGGTAACTTGACGGTAGTGCGCGTCCCAGGAATTGAACAGTATCCCGGACGCGATCTGAAGGGGCAGTCAGATCACCCGGTTCACGAATGTATTCAGTTGACACACCTCCCAAAGGTAGATGCGTCCTTGAGCAGTCCCTCCGGCACAATATTCTCCGAAATGGTCTATCGCGATGCAGGTGAGTTTTTCAGGCAGTACGATCTTCAGACTGATTTGATCCTGGTGGCCAGCAATCAGCATACAAGGCCGTAACGGAATTCCAACGATACCCACACCTTTTGGAAGTTGTAAACATTCATAATAGACTTATCCTGCTGTGCTGCAAAAAGTAAGCCGCCTTGACCATCTCGAGTCTGGACGACGGCGGTCGAATGGAGAGCAGAGGTAGTCTGTTTGAATGACGCGAGTGTGGATCCAGTCTTGAGGTCGTGGAACGCGATGGAACCTGGCCCTGCGGCGGGCGTTACGCCGCACAGAATGGTTTCCTGCAAAATCATTTTCAATTTGCGCGCGTCACGCGTCAGATCACATCGTGAATGATCTCATCAGAAGCCGTTGGGGTTAGGGCTTGAGAGTTGTATGTGGCCCAAGATAAAATACAAAATACACTATATTAGACAGATTCCAAGGCGTAATATACTTTCGCTGCACCCATGCGAGCCTACTCTTGGCCCTCCAGTGCTCTAACGATCCCAAACGCTGCAGCGGCAGCGACACCGCCGACAAGAAGTGTGCTCACAGCACCCCAGACATAGCCTTTGGCACCTGTCCCTGCACCCGTGATGTGGGCCTTCACGGCGCCAAATACCAGCAAGACGAGACCAGTGATGATGGCACTCCACATGAGAGCGATGCTGGCCCGTGGGATGAAGAAGTACGGGATGAGGGGGATGATGCCGCCGATGAGGTAGCCGGCACCAATGGTAGCCGCAGACGAGTATAGCCGAGAAGTCGGCACCTCCTCGAGACCCTCTCCAAACTTGAGCAAGAAGGGCGTCAATCCAACTTCCTTCGACCATCGCAGAGAGTCGTTCGACTCGAGGTCGTGTGCTTGCACGCTGTTGTTCGAACTGGCCGGCAGTTCCGCGTCCCGGAGGCATCTTGCGACGGCGCGGCAGGTCTTCGCATCGACGCCGATGGGCCCAAGCACATCAGACACCTCGCGCTCCATCTCTCCGTCGCAGGAGCGGACTACGCGGGCCGCGGTCGAGGTGCGCTGGAAGCGGTAGTGGTCGCGTTCGGCTTGCGATGCAAGGAAACCGCCGATGCCCATGGAGATGGCACCAGCGATGAGTTCGGCGACACCGCCGAGTACGACTAAGCGCGACTCGCCCAGTGAAGAAAGGCCCGCTGTGAGGGCGAAGGGGACAGTGAGACCATCTGAGAGACCGATGACGCTGTGTGGAGTGTTAGGCAATACATACAGACTTCTGGGCCAAAAACGCGTACATGTCGCGGACAATCTCTGGGTTGATGAGAGTACGATCGTCTCCTTTCAATTCTTTGCAGCAGACGCCATCGGGCCGATTGTGTCGCGCGCAGAGAGCAGTTGGCGGGACCTCTTGTGACGGAGTGGCGGTTTGATCAATGGACCAGACAGGCGGTTTACGTGCCGATTCATCGGTAGTAGCAGGGCGGGGGAGTGCGATAGCGGCGGCAGGCGAGGACGACGACGACGACATGGTGTAAGAAGGAAGTGTGCTTTCTGCTTACTGTCGTTTTCAAGGAGTAATATTCGATGTGGGAGCCAATCGGAGGCCCTCCGTTTGGACGAGCGATCATGTGATCTCTATCCAATCACAGAGCGTACATTAGTAGCGCGTTTTGGTGATGCACGCGGTACGTTCACTCGTACTAAAGAAACACGCGAGATTGATGGAAGCAAAGAAAAGAAAGCCTAATCTTCACCAACAAAGCCACCTACAGCCCTAATCCCATCCACTAATCGACGATAGTCCCGCAACAACTCGGCAACTTCGGCGAGTTTGAGGTCGTCCGGAGCACAGTCCAGAAAGCGCGGATTGGGCGGTGCCAATGCAAGCAGTTCTCCTGCCCGAACGGCTGGCGAGTTGGGTCGTGAGCTATCGAATCGGCTCGGAGAGCCCTAAGCAGCACCATCAGCAGGGAATCCGACGGCACCAGTAAGATGCATAACACACCTTGAATCCGGCCAGCCCCGCCGAAACATGAGCCAAACGATCTGACAGACTTTTCCTCGGCTTCCGTGCAGCTTTTCTCTTCTCCCTGCTCATCATACTCTCGAAACTTCGGATGCTACGGGTGTCATAAGAACTGGGTCCGTCAAAGGCCTCATCCTCGTCCTCGTCCTCGTCCTCTTCGTCAGATTCTTCGTCGGAATGGGCATCGCCCCGTAAACTCGCGGGCCGAGACACATCCTTCAGCTCTTCCTCGCGCTTTTCGACTGACCGACCGCCGATGCTAATACCGCCAATCGAGAATCCAGTCTCCCGACGCAGCAGTCCAAAGCCAGGGCGAGCCACGGCGTGCGGCAGATTCCACGGAGCAGCGCTTGAGGTGTTGTCCAGTGCTGGAGTACCCAACGGGGTCGGTACATTCGGCAATAGTTGCTTGAGCATTCCAAACGACGAGTCGACGACACCAGTTACACCGGTGAGCATCCGACCAGCCCCCTCCGTGAGAGTGTCGACCTGTCTTCGCAAGACATTCGTGTTGTCATCTCCCAGAGTAAGTGAAGGCGCCTTTGGACTGTTGCGCGCGATGGGGATGGGTGTCAGATCCGCAACACTGGCCCAGGTCAGCCAATCTCGATATTTCGTCCGGAAAAGGGAAATAACGCACCTAATACCGCTGTCTCCAAGACCCAAGGCCTCAAGGTCTACATTCTCCAAAAACTCCGCGACCGCCATCAAGTTAACTAGACAGAATGCCTCTTCCCCTTGGGCTATCCCGGATGGAGTGACGCGGAAACGCTGCGAGAACAGCAGATGCGAGACAAGCCTCGAGGGATTGGATTTGACCACTGCAAAGATGATGAGAGGAAGGAGCACATCAGACGAGACTGGTGTCGGAGTGGGTTGAGCGTCAACTTCAACCGTAGGCTCTGAAGTGGAGGCTTCAGTTTTTGTTTCTGGACCTTCATCGGGCACCTCAGTAGATGTGACGTCGTCGATCGACTTCGACTCATCCCCATCCTCCAGAGATCTAGGTACCACCGGTGCTGGTGAAGGACTCTGGGATTCTTGTGAAGGCGGGGGCGGATCTGCAACTAAAGGTGGTGCTTTTCTGGCCAGAGCACGTGTCCTCTCTTCCTCCTCAGATAGCAATCGAATCGGTGGAAGTCGAGACAGACCCTCTGAAAACTGTCAGACACGAATTGATTTTGAGGGAGGCTTACCAATCACTTCTCGGTGCGCTTGCACCATGATAGAGACCTTGTCCGCGGGTGATTGATGTAGCTCAAGTCCAGAAAGAACTATCGACGACCGTTGGTGTTGATCTATATGGAACGACATCGTCCCGCTGCTCACCTTGCCCACAAGACTGGACTACAAGGTCTAACCCCTCCTGTGCGTCAGCAGGGACATCGACACCAAGATGCTCCAGATTCAAATCAAGCATGTTGAGGGCTGCAACGCGACTGGAAAGCGCCTGGTCATGAGATGGGTCATCTGACGACGCTGGCGAGAACAACCTTCATATCCGTTAGCCCATGAGGCACTCCCTCACAAAGACCACTCACCGATCAAAGAACAGCACGCTAATCGCTCGTTCAACTTGTGCTAGCACTTGCTGAAGCTCCTCCTTCTCTTTCTCATCGAGATCCGCATTTTCTTCATCGCTAGATTTCCTGCGACTAGTAAAATCTTCTTCCAATCTCGCGTAGAAACCTTGGACCATTTCACCAATCTCTTCTGGGAGCATGCCTGCGAGCGGATCGCCCACAACATAATTGGTGCTGCCGTTATTGGAGGTGCTGCTGGTATCGGAACCTCGCTTGACGCGCTTGAATGGATACCATGGGTTGACAAACGTGTCGACGCGCTCTGCGACCCACGGCGGCGAAATAGAGTGAATCTCCGTTCTCAGTGCCTTCTCAATGGAACGTGCGACATCTTTGCGTACAATGCGCTGAGCGATGGTGAAAGCGGGGACGTTCACAGGGTGGTCTGAGCTCGACATCCCTTCGTGTATCGAGGCCGGAGAAGGCTTCGGGACTATTGGTGGGGGATGGTTTGCCCCAAATAACGACGCGAATGGGTTGGACAACCGAGAGTGCTGGGATCCAGTGCCTCTGGATAGACTTCCCACTGGGCGAGGTGGAAGGGGCGGTGGTATCCGCGGGGGCAGCGCGAGTGCCGGAGCGTGAGTGGGCACTGCAAACATGGGATACGAGGTTGCCGTCGGAAGATGTGGAATCGGAGCCAACATAGCTAGTGTAGATGGACGTGTTGTTGGTGAAAGCAGGTCGAGGAACGCTTTCGATGACGGGTGGAGGGTCGAACGTAATGTCAGTGTGTTTCTGACGATCTGGTCAGTATCAGGGAGCGATAATAGGCACCATGTACCCATCCAAAGTTCCTCGTAGCCCAGAAAGAGTCACGATATGGGCGTTTTTGCGAGACGGCCCATCGCACAGGACGATGTGGTCCTTGACAAAGTCAGCGGTAATCCTGTCGCTACTTGCAGCAGGCTCAAGCGGCAGCAAAAGCGTAGCCTGAAGCTTTTAGCCATAGGCTCAAGCAATTTAAACCTCACGCACCTTCCCTACGGCAAGCGCAGACCATACGTCGGTCCACTCTCCACCATCAGATCCTACAAGTTTCTCTAGGATCGCCCATCCCACACTACTTGTATCAAGCCCAATATTCTGTGCCTCTGCCTTGAGATTCATGAGTTGCAGTTTACTAGTCGCGCCGCCTTGCTGCTGGGGCGCAGAAGCAACGGCAGAGGAATGCGTCGTTGTCCCAATAGTAGTCGCTGCTGTAGGCGCACTACGTTGCCGCGGAGTATATGGGACATATCGGGGAACAGGACTTGGGATCCGTTGTGTAGGGTCGGGCGTGTTGGGGGACGAGGGAGATAGTAACGGGTGCGCTGTCAACAGGTCGGATGTCGCCAACCCTGAGTTGCGCCCAATTGAGACTGCGGGGAACAGACGCTCCCGGTCTCTGTTCGCGCTCATAGAGAACTGGATTATAGGTCTTTTCTATTGCCAAAGATGACAGTAGGTGGATGCAGGTAAAATCAACACCAGTGCATCTGACGCGAACGGATTGGAGACAAGGATACGCGCTCCTGATCGGCATCACGGGCAATGCCGTGCCACTCTCAAAGGTTCCATGGCCAGGCAGGCAATGATGCACTATAAGTAACTTGCCTGATACCTCATCGAAGCTGACCCGGACTCTTGTAACCCCCATCTTGCTTCACTGCAACTCATCCTCATGGACTCGACGTTGTCGTTCTACGCTATCCTTCAGATTCCTCGCGATGCTTCGACTGAAGAAGGTGCGCCCACAACCCACAGACATGCGGCAGCCCTTGTTCACGCGGTATCTCTGCAGTGAAGAAAGCCTATAAGAAGCAAGCTCTGCTCACCCATCCTGACCGTCTTCCTGCTGGACATACCCCAGCTGATAAACTCGAAGCTGAAGAGAGATTCCGCCAGGTGTGCTGTTCTGTGAGTAGCATCGGCGCATCTCACGCATTCCTTGCCGAAACAGGTCAGCAATGCATATGAAGTCCTCAAGGATACGGAAAGTCGGCGACTGTATGACACGCACGGCGTATGGCCTCCGCCGGCGGATCCCATATACGAGAACCGACGCCACCGTCACGCTCACGGTCGATCATCCAACGGTTCTCATGGAGTCCCTTTTGCGTTTGCGGGACCTGATCTCTTCGCCAATTTCTTCTCCGAACCTTTTGATCTCTTTGACCGCATGTTCAGCGACCAGCGGATGCACCCCCATTCGTCTTCTCGCAGACATGTCAATAGCCACCCTTTCGGCCAGTGGCAGCACGATCCGTTCGAAAGCATGCATCGGATGCAAGATATGATGGATGAGATTCATAACAACTTCATTTCCTCTCCCTTTATGCACCCTCCTCTGCCCATGTCACACCCGTGGGGCGGCTTCGGACAGTTTGATGGAGGAAATTGGGTGTCGCAGACTACGACTATCACCAATCACAATGGCGTCACGCATAGAGTGGACACGCGTCGGGATATCAATGTTTGTTGGTGTCTACGCCGCTCGCTTGTCCTCTAAACGTATCTCGCAGGGGAATGAGCATGTCACTCGAATCTCTCCCGACGGACGTGAAGTATACACTGTGAACGGGGTTGAACGCCGGGATCAACTACCCGCTGTACCAGGCTACATATCGCCGCCTCCACCATATCACCCAATAGACTATCGTGCGCCATCTTGTTTTGTCGAACACAATTTGCTTTCTAACCCAGCTCAGATCCAAATGCCCACATGCACAGTGGGTAATTTTGTCCTCTGACTGCTTGTCCGTCTCACTCGCACGCAGATCTCCAGAGCGCGTCGCGTCGGACTCGGCGTCCGAGAGGGCACTAGGTCATGTAATCGAATGTACCGCTACTATGTTTGTATCCTTGTCTTAATGTATCCACCGATGATTGTATCCTCATTATCAGGTTTTCCTTGCTGTCATGAGCAATTGTATACGAGGTGAGGTCTCTCCTCAAATAAGATTGTCAGTGGGCAACGAGGTACCATTCTCGATCACGTGATCAATTGAAACCCCGCGTATTTAATCCCCGCTCGCGTTCATCTCTCCATATCCTTCTTACACTTAACCTTCACGACCCACAGCTCCTACCGAACATCACTCTCTTTTCCTATCTAACGCCATGGTCGCCATTCAGTCCCGCTTCCTCGCTCTTCTCGCCTTTGTTGCTGCTGCATCTGCTGCTTCCCTCCCTGTTGGCCTACCCGCCCAGATCCGAGATGTATGCGCTCTATCGCGCCAGAGAACGCGTCACTCACTTGACCTCAGAACGTTCCCGCTGTGCGCGAATTGCCCGTGACCCTCCCCGCTCAAGTCTCGGGCGTATTGAATAAGGTACCTTCGACGGTAGGCCACCTCGCCTGGTGCTCCTCCTCCTCTCTGACATGATCTAGAAACGAATGATTAAACGCGCCTTCCCTCCAGCTGTTGTCAGTGAAATGACTAACATGGTCCCGCGAGCTGTGAATGTGCCAGTTGAGGTTGCGAGCTCACTCCCCAGTCGCGGACTCCCCGTGGAGCTCCCGGTCAGCATCCCTCCAAGCAAACGCGACTCTACCCTCCCCGTGGACTTGAAAGTCACGCCCCGTGGGGACTTACTCGATCCTGTCGAAGAACCTGTCTTGACCTTTGGCAACGCAGTCGCGGGACAATCGCTTAATCACGAGAAGGAAAGACATCAAGTACGGCAGTGATGCCACCTGCGCTGATTCGGGTAATTGATCCAAATCCTGCGCCGCTGCAGCAAGACGACACGACAACTGAACAGGACGGCTCCGAGATAGACGACTCGACGATCGCTGGTACGAGCCCCGACTACAAAGGCCAGACGGGGCATTTCCGGACCGAAAAGTCGGCAAGCGGCAAGACCAGGCATGAGGACGACCTGGTAGGGGACCGTGTCCAGTACAGCTCGGAGAAACGGCGCGACGGCGGGGTCGTTCTTCAGGATAACGACACGAAGACGTCTCAGCAGGAGGATGACGACGAAGATGCTGAAACTCCGGCTGGGCAGTACCACCAGCACGAGGAAGACGACTATTGAATAATGACCAAACATGTATACAATACTGTATGATGGATGCGATCACGTTACCGTTCATGTCCCGTGACTCGTTGCAGCACTCGAGGATTTAATGAGGGCCACTCGAACGATGAGGAACGTGACAGCAATGCCACAACGTTCCGTCTCCATCCAAGATCATACAACCGCTCCCCGGGCAGAAGGGCCTTGCAGGCACCCTCCTCAGGAATGCAGACAAAGCGCGCACTGCGTTTTTGCTTCCAGGCCTCGATCTTGCTCGAACCACGGGCGAGGTTTGCCACCGTCGACAAGCCCAACACCTGCGAGACAGTCAGTGCTTGTGATCGCATCGCTGCATAAATCTGCGTACGATGGCAAATACAGCAAACAGCAATCCACCAGAGCAGATGGCGAATATCCTCAGACTAGGCTGTTCTGCGAGGGGGAGATCTGCTCTGCGGTCTCTTCCGATGATCCAGAATCCGAGCGCGACTCCGAGCGGCCATCGACCTAGTGGGCCGCCGAAAAAGATCCACGAACCCCACCAGTTCCACCAGACTCGCGCACTCCAAGCATCGGCACGCGAAGCGGAGAGTGCGAGCGAGGTGAAGTGCATGAGTCTTGGGACAATGGGCGCAACGCCTACAGCGACGGTGGCTGGAACCAGGAGCATGAGACAGAGGAACGCGGGCATGCGCGCCAACGTGACACAGTTTCCCAGCTATTAATGTAGTAGTAGTACATGCGCTTCGCGCGAAGAGGCTACGGGCACGCACCCAAGGGCAGTGGTGGTCAAGTCCCACCCTGCAGACACCGCATGTTCCGCAGTGATGCGTTCTCGGCGGCTTCCACGCGCCGTCGCACTTGGCACACGTCGCCAGCTCGCCGTCCTCCGCGCTGCATTCGTATGGGTGGATGAGATCGTTTTTGTCAGGCTTGGGATACCGCGGGACACCGTATGTATATCTTCCGCTGCATAGATAGACGTAGGTTGAACCGAGTGAGAGGCAGAGTGTGGTGGCGGAGACCAAGTAGAGTGCTGCTGCGTGTTAAGGGATGCGGGATGTCGTACGGGACGCGCAACGGACTTCCAACGAATATTTGGCCACGGTGCACGATCAAACTCCTCCCTAATCGTTAGGATGAGACGCGGGTTGAGTGATTTAGGCCGGACATACACCCGATCTCGATTGCCACGGTGTGCAGCGCAAAACTGCGCACAAATGTGGTTAACTGAGAAGTCCAATGACGAACCCTGATTCGCGCACCCGATAAGAGCACCCACGGCTGCCTGTATGCCGCCTTCGAGGGCCCGTGTCCAGGGGCGGCCTGTCCGTGTGCTGGGTGCATGATGGGAGATGGTAAACCGCATTTGATCTTATCTCGCTATCACATGATCGAGTAATACATGCACTATCTATTCATCCTCTTCGTCCTCCCCAATGACATGTAGTGCGTTTTGCTCAGCATTTGGCACGCGGGAGTACCACTTGCGAGGCGTGGCTGGGCCTGCCAATCCTGTCAAAGGAATGTTGTTGAGGTCGTCTTTCGGTGCGGCGTTGCGGCCAGTGCTCGGGTACAAGCTGACAACAAACACGATCAGAGTATACAACAGGAAGGCGATGCTGGATAAGCGGGTCAACGGAGCGTAGAATAGCAAAATGAATGCATACCTGTACATGATGAGTACATAGGTCACGTGGTCCATCTCGTTGTTGTGGACGAATTCCAGTTCCTCATCTGTGGCAGACATGAAAAGCAGACTGAAGAGGCCAGGTGAGTAATTTCAGGGAGTTGATGCATGCAGAGACGAACCCAGCTCCGACAAGAAACTGGGATAGATGAGCCAGCAGCCTTTGATCAAACGAAATGAGCTCACCATGGGCGGCATATGCCGGAAGGCCTTGCCGAGGGTCACTTTGGCACTCTCGGCGGAAAGATCGGAGCTGTGAGGTGCAGTCGGATATCGGGAACTTGACTCAGCAAGCGTGTGATCGCTGTGGCTGTCGTCATCCAGCACTTCCAACGGTCTTGTGGTCCCTGGGAAGAAGCAGACTTCCCCGATTCGGGTGACACCAGCCAGCATCAGAGTGATACCAAACATCGCATGCACCTAACCCCCGTTAATGAAAGACAGTCGGCGAGTGATAGACCTTACTTTGGTCGATATCATGAGGGCCTGCGCGTGTTCTGACATGGCCCATCCCGTCAAGATGAGGCTGCGATGGTCCATAAGCATCGATCCATACCACCCAGCAAATGCACGCACATGATTGCAGGAACCACGTTGCGCTGAGACGTTGATTATCAATGCAAGAGAGTTGACTGAACAGTAAGGCAGCGCACCTTGTTGTTGCGGGCGAGCAATATGCCCAACAGACCACCGGCCCACCCTACTCAGAGGTTGGATTCGGTTTCTACCGAGAGAGAGATGAACGCACAGAGAACACCCAGAATGGTGTGCTGCATATCCTTGACAGACCAGTTGCTGCCCCGATGCTCAGTAAATGTGTTCACTGCAAGAGTCAGCCCGACAGCGAGGCAGCGGACAGACTGACACTAACCGACACCCCAGACCATGATGACCCAAGAGTCCCACCACTCGGGACTGCGCCCGCTGCGCCGCACCCAGGCCTCTCCGACCAGCAAGATGATGACCATGATCACTGCGTACGCAATGAAGCCCGAGCCCATGATATAGTGCGCCAGGCATTGCGGCAGATGCCCACCGCGGCAGTACCCGCGGAATGCGATAGCTCCAAATAACATCTGCGTCCATCCGAAGATGGGATAGCTCTTGCCGACGATCCCGTGCAGGCGCACTGCCCATACGCGGAGGGTAGTGCCTTCGTGGATGTGCAATTTGAGGTAGACACCAAGCACGATCTGTGCGGCCAAGGGAATGAGAACGATGTCCGCAAAGGATCCGTGGGCTGAGGGGAGGAACGGGCGACCCTTATGGCTATGTCCCAGAATATACCCGCCCGCAGTCAACACGATCCCGGCCGACTGCAGCGGCACATGCCAGCGACTCCTTGTGATCCCCAGCACCATCCCGACCGGAAATAAGACACCCCAGACCGCCGCTTGAAGAAAGATATGGATCCATAGTATCGCATCCACAGGTTTGTTCCTCTCCTCCTCACTCAACTCGTTGTGGTGTTTGTGGGCCCAGACGGCAGAGAAGCAGGCAGATAAAGTGAGTACAGTGAAAGCGAAGGTGTGTCGAGAGGCCATATTGGAGGCCCAATTCGGGCGCAACCGTGGTTGAAGAGAGAAACGAGAGGTTCCGATCGGGGTCCGGCGGTGCCTGTCATCCAAGACTCGTAAGAAAGCTCTTTGAAGACATTTACTTATGTCAGCAGTGCAAGAAGAGATTAAGTAAGCACAAGCACTGAACATAAGTACAATCCACTCCTCTTGATTAAATTGCTACAGTCTACTAAGTACTTTACTTTGTGATGATAGGGTATGACTATTGGTAGCAAGACACAATGTTCGCATCTCTAATAGGGATTCAAAGACCGCATCCTTGAACTTTTCTGTCGAAGTGTGTGGCGAGGAAACCTTGGACTCTATGCCAAACTTGATCATATCAGGAGCAGCCAGGTCTGAGAAACAGGATCAGTCAGGTTCATCTATTGTGACTGGACTCACAGTTTATGCCATAACCGTCGTCGTACGAAGCTCCGAAACTGGACGGCAGTGGTCAATGCATCAGAGTTAGGCAGTGCATCTGGAAGCTCACCCAGTTCCTTTGAACAGATTTCCGGCACTCAAGCCGCTCGTGCTGAGCTTCCACGTCTGACTGCGCTGAAACAGCTCATCCTCGAACAAAGGCGCTTGTTCGCCGCCAAGCGGACGAAGCATGAGCCGAAGACCGAGCAGATGCCGATCCACTCCCCGGCCGGTCATGGCTTCGCGAGTCAGGGTCGAGTGGGCATGGAGAGCATCGTGCAGCAGATTCCGTCGTGTCTGTGGCTGGGCAGATTGTTGGAGAGCATTGCATTGGAGTGAGAGGGCTCTTACTGAAGCGTTGTCATCCACCATACCCAGTACCCACGCTCGGCTCTGCCGTGTTAGAGACCGTATGGTCTCTGTCCGCCCACGCTTGAACATCCGGGTCAAAGCCGTCTCATATGTCGCCGTGAATTGTCCGCGAACTCGGTAGTAAGCCAGTTGCAGAGCCAATTGCACGTAAGCATCGGGAGATTGGTTTACTGCGAACCACAATTGAGCCGTATGGTCGATGCGAGAAAGCGAAATTTACAGTGACTCTTGATCCAGTCCGTCCCGTAAGCGTCGAACCAGAACACGTCGTCGTCCGAGTCCTCGATAATGGCTTTTGCTCTATCCAATGCACCGTCACATTCGGAGCGGATCTGATCGTCCACGTCCCAGTCCAGACGCTCCCATCCGTCATCTGGCTTAGCGCGGGATTCAAACGGCTCCGGTTCCAGTGACTCGAAGGCAGATGGATCAACACTTTCCACCAGAGCCCATTCAGCTACGATACTGGGAACCAGCGCATCACACGGTGCATGTTCACCCGATGCTCCCGCGCGAGTCGAAGGATCCACCATGAGCGTGAACGTCTTGTCGAAGATGCGGTTCGAGACGTTGTTGACAGTCGAGCGAGTGCCATGCAGGTGCGAAGTGAGTGAGCTTAGCTCAGAAGCCGCAATGTGATCGAGACTAACGCCCAGTAACGACTGGCACATGATGCGATGGCTTTTTTGATTTTTCGAGGAGAGACTCAACAGGTGACGAAGATTCTGGGATCGGTCACGATTTGCAGACATCACAAATTAGAAGCGACGAACCTCTGTCCAGCGATCTCTATCGTCTGCGGTCAGAACACCGATGGGAAATGCAGTTTCTCCTTCCGCGAGCCGGCGTTCAACATCGATCACTATAGAACGCATTCGTCGCTCGATCTCTCCGACGTCTATGAGTGTAGAAGGGGATCCAAGCTCGTATATCGGCATTGCATAACACCAGTTGTGGATCATGAGATATATTTTGAGGCCGTCCGGGTTCGTCGCCGAAGGCGGTTTCGACAGGATGTCGCACGAAGGTTTAGGTATTCGGGCCATGTTGAACATCTTTGCCGTGCTATCTCGCAGCCATAGACCTGGAATTGGCTGAATCAGCTTCTGACGTTGGTGCTTGTAGTGTGCGCACCAAGCCTGGTTGTTTCCGGATATAGCTCCTGCCTACAACCCAGCTGAGAGTATGTTAGATTGTCGGGCACAGAACGCACTTGTCCAGTCCATCTTTAAAGCTCAGAAGGCGATGCACTAGCCAGGCGGCACGGCGCACTTGCCACGGTGTGATCCCTGGTGTGGACTCTCTCGCGTGAGCAGGTATCATCGCATCGTCCTCGAATGCAAGCCACCAATTCGAATTGACGAGTAGAGGAGCGCGCCATTCAAGGTACGCCTTGTTCATCCAGAAGTTGTCATCGAGCCAGTTGTGGGGTGATGCTCTGTCGAGTGCTTTCGATTCATTCAACGGACGCGTTAGGCTGCCATGGGTGATACGGACCGAGCAAACGTTCCTGACACAGCTGGCCTACTCCGGACTCAAATTCATTAGCCCACTTGACACGCAGCGCATACGCGGACGAGAAGCTGGTCCCGCCCCGGGCTTCGTCCTCCAGAAGAAAAGGTTCTAGGGATTTGAGATAGCGATCGAGTGTTTGACGCAGCGTTGGGATGGGTAGACGGGGCAGGTTCAGCGGTTTGGACCTGGCCGCGACTGAGGACATGAAACGACCCGGACGAAGAGCACGCAGTCTCGGGGAGATCATTCTTCAGCAGACAGCATACGGCACTCCGCTGTTCGATAAAAGTGGCAGAGTGACCGAGGCCTGTGACGCACTGGCCCGAATAAAGCCTAACAGTGCGCCATCATGATCTCTGCTCTCAGGCTGTGCTCAAGGCGTCAGCGGCTTTTCAGGTACATATATATCTCAAGTGCGAGGATGATATTCCACGGGGTGGGTAGGCCATTCAGTCAATAAGGTATTTACGACGGAAAAACGCGCGCAGATGGAAGATCTGCCATACCCCCAGACCAGCCAAGGATACTATTGTGAACCACGCGAAGTTCTGCACACGTTGTTGAGTCGAGACTGGGCATAGTTTAGCACGGAGTAAGGCAAGACAGAGAAAGACCCACCGTTGGTATCTGAGAAGCGCTCTTCGCGCTTTTTGAGGTAGCCCATCTCGTCCACGATCTCCTTGACCAGGCCTTCCAGCTTCCGCATCTCAGTTTCCAGACCGGACAGAGATTCTTGGTTCGCAATGGCACTAGGGGAGCCATAAGTTCACGTTAAGAGAAAGCGCTCGGCGTGCGCACTTGTAGTCCACTGCCTCGGCACCAATGTCCACGTCCAGGTCTACCACGCGAGACATCTTCGCCGCCTTCTCCTGCGAGATTTCTGCATGGCCCATTCATTCTAGCGAAACGACCAAGAATACAGCGCGTCCACGCACCTTTGTCCAGATGGTTCTTGAAACACACTCCCACTTCACCCTCTGCGTGCGTCGTTATAGCCAGCCGCGTCTCGGCGTTGATATTCCGCTTGCTGAGATACACGTTCTTCTGCGGGCTCGAGTCGATGATCTCAATGTCCACCCGCTGTCCTGCCCCAGGGCCGACGTTTGCCGTGACGATGACTAGCGCGTTCTCGTGTGCGGGATTCCATATGCATTTGCTGGGCGGGAAACGGGATGTCGGCAAGTTGAATTTAATAGCGCTGGCGCTGGGGAACACAAGTAGAGAGAGAAATGCAAAGGAGAGGAACAGAGAGGAGCGCGGTGCCATGGAGGCGGGAGACGTTATGGACGTTAGACGTGGAAGACGAGGTTTTGGTTTATTTGGTCTGTGATCCGGCGTCGTTGAGCAGCTCTCACACTTTGCTCTCACCCTCCACGTTGCACTTTGATTCTGCGCCACACGAATCGAGCGTATGGATGGTCAAGGGCTTCCCCGACCATAATGCTAGGCAGCGAAGGGCACACATCTGCTGTGGCTGTCAATAATTGATCTCAAGCTCTGGAAAGCACAAATGTCATGTCGTCAAAGCCATTAATTTCTTTCTGGTACTTAGATTGTACTGCTAAAGCTACACTGAGGGACCCTACGTCGGCACACACTGGGAGTAGAAAGGATTCGAGAAGACGCATTGGTAGCCCGCCACACAAGTAGTGCTGCCGGTCCAGTTACTGCCACCGCACTGGCCGAAGGCGGGGATTTGGGCGCCAGTTCCGGTAGGAGACGAGCTCGAAACGGTCGAAGTGGGGGGCGCCTTGGTTGAGGTTGGAGCCGAAGTCGACGAATGGACGCTCGAGATCGGGGTTGTGCTGGCACTAGAGCTCGCAGTCGAGGAGTGCGCGGTCGTGGATGTGCTCGCGGCAGTTGAGGTCGGAGGAGGGGCCGCTCCAGCGGTGTCGCCGTAGAAGATACCGCGACCGTTGGTTCCGACGTAGACCTGGGATGATTCAGCAACAATTGGGGAATCCCTGTGGTAGAACTTACACGGCCATAAATGCGTGGGTCAGCGGTCAGGCAGTTGGCGGAGATCGAGCCCTGAATGACACTGTAAATGAATGCTACGCAGTTCAAGTCAAAGCACCCACAAATCCATGAGCGGCGTCGTCCACCCGAATCCAGTTCACACCAGAGTCATCAGAGCGGAAGTAACCGGTGGTTCCGCTGATGGTTGCAGCAGCGAACACCGCAGGATATCCTCCAGTGGTCTTGGGGGCACCGAGTCCAATTGCCCAGGCAGCAGAGACTCCAGAAATGGCAGTGAAAGTCGCTCCGAAATCGGTCGTGTGGAAAAGTCCGGTGTCGGTGGAGACCCAAGCGTCACCGCTGACGGCAGTGTTTACGACGATCTTGAACGGAGCAGTGGAGGCACCGAGCGAGCCCTTGGTAGCCGCAAATGACACAGCGCCGTTGTTGGAGAAGTAGAACGAGTTGCCGGCAGCGCCGTAGAAGAATGAGCCGTTCACCTTGTCTGGAATAGATTCAGATTAGATTGCGAGGAAGCGTGGAAGAAACTGACCGGAAGCAATAGCCGCCGACGAAGGAAGCGTCGGGACAGCGGTAAAGGCGTTGGTGTGTTGAGAGACGAGGACGCCGTTGCCGTTGGTTCGCCACAAAATGATGCTTCCATCAGCGGAGATGGCGACTTTGCCACCCTGAACATTGTCTGCAGCGCCGTAGTCTTGGAACTGCATTTCATTTTCAGCGACCTGCGCACTCTCAGAAGGTTACTGTGAACGCACCCAAGTATTGCCTCCGTCATTGCTGAGCGCGACCTGTTTTCCGGTGGAAGAAGTTCCTGTTCCGATGCGAACAAGACTCAGGGGAGCCTTGCCTGCCCAGTCCAAATCGGCAACGGTGGACCACTTGGGCTGTGTCCAGACCTGGGCAAGCGTCGGGGCCGTGGTGAGGCTGGTGTGGACAAATCCTACATGGATGTTCAACAAAAGAAACGCTGGCTGGAGAGGGGAAACACACCTTGGACATCACCGAGCCCGGAGATCAGGTTGGCACCGGTCGGTGGGGAGATCAGAGACTGGACCGAGGTTTCTTCGATTCCGTCCGCAAGAGAAGAGATCGTGACGTTGTGTACCGTGTCCCACTGGAAGATGTTCAGATCTCATATGACGAGAGGCGTAATTAGTTGGCGAACCTTCAGGAGATCGTGACCTGATAGCCTGTGATCAGTCATGATGCTGGTTGAGACTGATGACACTTACCGCCGTAAATGGTTTCTCCAGTTCCGTAGAGCCAGTGGTTGCTGTGGTGCAAGGTGAGAAACAAAGATCGTTTTCGAGACGCGTGTGCTTACGAATCAAACGGATCGATGGCCAAAGATTCCATCATCCAGCCGATTTGGAGATCGCCCGCCAGTCCATCAACGTAGTTGACGCCGATCCAGGGTGCAAGAGAGTCGGAGTACGAATAATACTTGTTCATTGTTGGGTAGTTGCCCCAATCCCACAGAGGGGTCCACGTGGCACCGCCGTTCACCGAACTGCAATAAAAAGTTGGAAATGCACGGAGAAGACCGGGCGTGACAGACTGACCGGTACATTTGACCATCAGGCCACCTGTCAAAATATGAGGAGGCGCAAGAAAGAAAGCGGAAGGAAATACCAAGAGTTGAGCGCAGCGACCATGACTGTTCCCGGATTCAAGTGGTCGATGGCAATCGCTCCAAATCCAAAGTACAAGTTGGATCCAGACGCTGGGGTAATGTCGGTCCCTGGACGACGATCAATATTGCCTCAGTTGATTCGGTCCACGGAACTCACAAACGGAGGTCGAGATGTTGTATTTCTTGACAGCTCCGTTGGTTCCGTCATAAGGTCCAACTGTTTTACGAGTCAGAAGAAGTCGGAGGTGAACAAGACGACCGGACCTCCGTCTGAGTACGTGATGTACAAGGACTGTTCAGCGGGAGAGATCAGACCCTTGTGCGGGAAGAAGGTGGTGTTTTGGCCTGGGACCGCAGACCCTGCTCGAGTGTCAGTCCCTGATGACACAACCTCAACTGAAACCGGGATTACATGTAGAGCCAGCGTTGTTCGAAACAAAGACGTTGCTTGTTCCATTGCTGGCCACTCCAACGAAGATTCGGGGAGTCGGCGAGCCAGCTGGGCCGGAAGATTGATCGAAAGTAACCCAGACGACACCTGTGCATAGCAGTCAAGCACTATTCCGATCAAGCAGCGTGAAGCAAACGTATATCAGCTCGGAGTTGTAGCCAGTCGTGTCAGCCGGGTTCTCGGCGTAGTTGCCTGTTATGAGATCAGCCCGCCGTCCGCTGTGGCATTCGGCGTTACTTGCCGACGTTGGGGAAGTTGGCCACTTTGGTCCTGTTTGGGTGATGAGCGTTTTCCAAGTAGACACAGAAGAGCAGCTCACCAGGTCGTACCGAAGTTGGTAGATTTCCAGAGACCCTTTCCGGACGGAGCACCGATATACAAGATCCCGTTGCTGTTGGGATCGATGGCCAAGCGCTGAAAGCAAGTTGAGAGAACGACGGCCCGACACTGCTAAAGCACTCACTTCTCCCTAATCATGTAATCAGTCATCATTGTCGGTCATATAAAGCGCCAAGGCTCACCATTCCTCGTCCCGGCATGTTACCTGTCACGAGGTCACTCGGTTGTTCGTCGTGTCAGAAAACGCTACTCACCTCCGAGCTTGAAAGGAAGAGGTGAAGGCGTGAAACTCGATCCGTAGTTGGTCGAGATGAGAAGCGTTCCGTTGTTGGGACTGCAGTGGGATCAGAACGGAAGTGAGAGTCTGCGAGATCAAAGTGCTCACTCCCAGCTGTTAGTGTATTCTCCAACGGCCTAATCATCGAGCTCAGTGAGCGTGTCACCCAGTCAGCCAGCTCAATCTCACCAGATACAAACGGTTCGTCTGCACGGGATCCGTGGCCAAGGACGCAACACCCCAGTAGTTCCAGTTGTCATCTAGATTTCATGTAAGCCGTGGTCGGGAGATGCGACGAAATCATTACTGTTGACAAAGTCGAGCAACGGCGTCCACGAGTCATCAGCGTTCAGTTTGTATGCGCCACCGATATCGGTCCTGGCATAGGCCACGCCCTGTTCGACCATTCAACAACAGCGATCTCGAAACGAAGGGCAGTGCCAACCTTTTCCTTGGGGTTGAAGATGATCCCAGGGACAAATCTAGAGAGATGCTGAGTGACGCTCTCTTGCCTGGAGTCAACAGCACTCACCCTCCACCACCGCCGATCTTCACATTCTTCCAAGTGTAGGCTTGAGACGATACTGCGTGCACCAACGGCGCCGACAACACCGTTGCCAAAGTGGCAAGAGCACAGAGATGGTGCATGTTTCTCTCCGAAGGCCTTGTCGCCGCTCAAGGCCATGTGCAGCATCTTAAGTAGTCCGCGCCCAAGCATTGCAGACGCGAACATCCGAAAAAGATGCGCAACGGGGGCTTTCCTCTGCGGTTTCGATCATTCTGTCAAGTCGCGTGGCTTGTCTGTCTTCCGTGCGAGGGCCAATAGTGATCACAGGCCACATTATTACGGACCGTTGCCAATGATGAAACCAGTCGAGGGGTCAATCTCGGTGATTCGCCCCTTCAACAGAGCAAATGGCGAGTGACCACCACGCGCTTGGCCCGCATATGCAGTCAGTGGGCGGACGTATCATGTCGCGACCCGCCGGAAAAGTATCGGAGAAGGACTTTTGACGGCTCAATAGATCCCGCGACCTTGAAACCCAGACCAAAATACGACACGTCTCCCGGAGACTGCTACTTATAGGCGTCCCTAGATGTCTCCAGTCTCGGATTTAGCAAATGTGAATGTCCGGTCGCCAGCTCTGTTCGAAGTGGCAGACGCAAAAGGCCCAGACCGGTCACTGAACCAGTCATTGGACGGGTTTTCCGCGGACAGACGCTGGTCTCGGGAGTGAAAGCGCAGTTCGAGATTTGATTCGAATCGGGAACAAGGGGAAGTGGAAGCTGAGGGAGAGCTGACAATCGCGTTGTTGTTGATGCGAGTCATTGGTGGGTGGTAGAGTATGAGCACATGAGGCGAAGGAAGCAAAGATTCTCTGACATGGACGTTTATTGCGTGCTGTCATGGGCGCAGGCACGCAATGACGTCGTCGTCGACTTCAGAGAAAGGCAATGGCACTAAATAGGTATCCATCATACGGTACAACTTGCATGAGCACTACCTTCCATGACAGTGGGAGGAGGTACAAGTCAATCGCTCTTCTCCTTGATCCCCACCGAGGTCGAGTCTCTAGAGCGCACAGCGGTCCGCCACATGGCGCTTGCAAGATAGAAGAAGCATACCATTACAACTACAGCCGTCCCAATCTCCACCGATCGCACGTCCGCAGCCTGCCCGACAGGTGTGCGCAGGGTTTCGAAGGCAGCCGCGTCCTTTACGGGTTTCACTCGGAGAATGGGCTGCCCGTCGAAGGAAGGTGAGAGCTCCCGCGCCATGGGTGGGAGTGTATCGTTCGCGGATGCTGCAAGGAATGTGTGAGATCGATGCGGAATGCATGATCGAAGAAGTACTAACAGGACTTGGGGCACGCGTAGAATACGTCTGGCCAAGCGACATCGGTGTGGATGTAAGATCCGGATGCACTCGGAGGCGAGGCAGATGCGACGGGTCCATATCGGACATGCAGCGGTACTTGGATATCGATTTCTTCAATCTTCGTAGAGCGAGCTACCCGAATCAGTAGCGACGCATGATCCTCTTGTTCCAGTGCGAACACGGGCAACTCGAGATTGCTTGGCCCGGTATATTCGAATGCATAATCGTTAGACCGGTTCTCGAGCTCATAAGGATCCACAAAAAGTAGTGGAGGAAGCGAGTAGTGCAGGTTTAAAGAGCATCCACTCAAATCAAGAGTCGCTGGGACTGATACATGCGTGTGGAACACTGGATGAAAGCTCTGCGGATGTTCAAGGAAGGAGTTTTGCATCACAATGTAACGTGACATAAGACCTAACCCCAAGCCATCCACCAGGAAGGACAGACTGATGGTCATGGTGTCACGGTTGTCGCTCCCACTGGCCCACTTGTTTGATCATTCCCATGATCGTGGTGGGAAGGTTGGAGTCCACAGAAGACTGCAGCAAAGGACTGCGATGTACACATCACGTTCCAATTTCCACGCTGCTGTTCCGAGAAACCCATCCACTCGGTCTCAACGCGTTCTCAATCAACCTCAGCTTCGCGTGGGGCTGCCCCAATCGACCCTTCGTATTCAACACGACATCTAAGTACTTTGGGAGCGTCCTTCGACGATGAGGTGGACTACGTCGGTGGCGACCAGCGCAACTACGGACATGGAACCCCAAGTAAAGCCCTCGCCTTCAACTGGGCGGGTTATCTTTCCAACAACCCGGAAACCTCCAACCGCGCATCCATTGAGATGGAATCCTCTCTGAGGAAAGCGCCCGTTTTCTTCTTCCTAGCGTTGGAGCAAAGCACATGGCTAGCTTTTTCGCCAGATTGTAACTCGAGCATATGCAATAACGACACTTGGTTGCTGACGACTTCTTAGAAATCTTCGAAACTCCTGCGCACATCCGGTATTATATCTGGTCTGTGTTTATCATGGTGGTATTATATCATCAAATCAGCCTTTGAGCTAATCAGACATGTCGCCCTTGCTGGATGGGAGAACATATCTGTTTCATGGAGCGATACAGTTTCGCTCGATGTAATTTCCACATCTCTCGCGGGCTGTCGCGGACGAGTTTACTCATCTGAAGGCAAAAGTCGCAGCTAGTAACTCGAATGAGGCTGGCATGTCTCCGCCCAGATCGAATGTCGTCCTAATTTCCGACTTGCACTAGTAACGGCGCGGTGGGTCACCTTCACCACAGATCCTAGTTTGATATTCTACCAGTCTCTGGCATGCTGCTTTGCAGTCCCAACTGAGCCTCAATCTTGCTGGACGCTGGAGAAGGAACTGAAGTCGCAGCCATATGACCCGGCACTTTGGATCTTCCATCGAAGAGGTTCTCCGCGATCTCAGCGCACAGCAGAAGATCGCTTCGTGGCACAGTGTCTGACGTCCACCAGAGTGTATCTCGCACATCCTCCCAGGGGACCATCACATTGGCAGCTTCAAGATCCTCATGCGTCGGCAGTTCAATCTCCCACCGGTATGTCGAAGGCATCCACAAACTGTCTCTTTATCTTTGGGAATGAGCGTAGATCGAGGACCTGAGTCTGGATGCTTTAAACGGCGTCGAGACTGTCATCAGCGACGCGCTGCACGTCAAAAACAAAGACGAGTACGACGATCCTAATTTTCTGACTGACTAGAATGAACGTAGAGAACCTACTCCTCGCATATTTCTTGGCCCGTCATCCCCAGATTCCCCTCATCTTCAGTCCCGAAGATGGTGAAGATAGCACCGTCGGACTTAACGGATTTGGATGATTGAAAGAGAGACGGCTGAAACTGCTATGACGGTGGAAGCGAGTTTACATCGGACTGGCTCACAATAACCTGTAGACCACACTTTCAAAATGCTGACAGATAGATACCTACGATCTCGAAGAGGATGCCTCATCTTATGTACTTGTCATGTAATTCTGAGATCCACCACTGGAGGAGTCCTCGAGCTCGGAAGTCCCGGCCTGATCAATTCATCGGCATTTAATCTTACTCTTTAGTCTCAGAGCAAATGGCCAGTCTAAATGTATGTGCTGATTGGCCTACTGGAGAGGGCATGAAAAGGGCACTGTTCGCGGTTTTCTTGACGCCGAAACCAAGGATAATGACAGAGGCATATCCAAATGTATACAAGGCAGGCCTCATCAGGTCATCACCCCCGATATTCAACAGAACTGGCGTTTATCCATTGATAAATGCTTCTAGGTAACGGATTTCGAGAGACACGTGAACGTCGTCTCTCCACCTGAGCCAAGAATACTCAGAGGCTCTCCTCGCACCAGGAATCCACGGTTTTGGTAGAAACGAATCTGACAATCATCTAGGCGAAGAACGATCGAGCTGTTTGTGCTCACATTCTCGTCTGTGGTCGTCTCCAGAACCATCATGACATTGTCCGCCTTGGCCTTGATCTATTGAGCGCGTGAGATCGATGCTCGCACTAAGGAGCTGAACTTGACTTCGATAGCTTGGATAAGCGCAGCGCCGAGACCTTGACCATGGTGTTCGGGAAGCGTGCCCAGACTGTTAAGACGCCATGACCGGAGCTTGACTCCTGGTCCCAGAGAAGCATCGCACCACTGTCCGAATCGCGGGATGAAATAGGACCACCACTGTTTCAATTCCGGCGTGAACTTGGCTTGCAGCTGATTCCAGCCGGCCTCCCGCTGTTCCTCGCTGCCTTCCATTCAGCCATGCTGGATACAACTCATAAAGGAAGAAATGAGTTTACGTTGCCAAGTATTCCGCTCCCGGCCCAAACCATAACGCGACAGCGCAGATATCTGATACAGCAGCATCGAACCCCGCTACCCAAACTTGGCCCGCGATCAGAGCCGCTCGGACTGGGGCGACGTTGATATCGAAGTCTAGATCTCGGTTGCCTCCAGTCAGACTATGCGAGAAGACATCGTTGACTGTGGGACTCGTCGATCAAGGCTTTAGAGCTCGAGTAGATACTCAATACGGGAATTGAATGCGGCAAGGAGGACGGATGCACATCGCTCAATTTCATCCTCTAATAAGAGTGAGAGTCCCGAGGCCAATTACGAGGCTCTATCTCACCAGTCGGATTCTCGAGTCGGCGAACGAAAACAGGCGCCATGGATGCTGGAGCCTGGAGTGGCTAGATCACAAATTGAGTCGCCTTCGGCACCGGGAACTGATGTCGTCACAGTATGCACCCAATTCGTCGTCGATCGCCAAAGGTGGACAGTGATAAATTCTCTCAATTCTAATGTGCCAGAGTCCAACGCGGGAAATAGTAGCAGTAAAGCACTGGGGAGAAACTTCAGTATCTGAGACAAGACGCGACTAATCACGTGTGTTTGATGATTGTGACGTTATGAGGTGACATCTCGCGTCTGCCCTCGACAATCTAGTTCGAGCATGGAGGTTCTGCATAATCGTCTCAACTCCTTCAATAAGCAGAAACGCGGCAAAGCATTGACATGGAACCACCCGAAACACTGGCACGCGAACCCCAACACCCTCGCCGAAGCCGGATTCTACTTCGATCCCAGCCCTGAAGATACCGACAATGCTACCTGCTTTATGTGCGATAAACAAGTGACGGACTGGACGGAAGAAGACGATCCATTTGAGATCCACTACAAGAAATGCTCGAAAACGTGTTCGTGGGCAATGGTGCGGTGCGGGCTGAGACACGACATGGACTCTGACGGCAAGTGAGGAGGTGCTTCAAGTGTGTTTTGAGTCGTCCTTTGATGCGTTTCAGTTACAACTTCACGGATAAAGCACGCATCCCGACATCCAAGGCTATGGAAAAAGCACGGCTGCTGACGTTCACCAGCATCGGTTGGAAGCATGACAAGAACAAGCAGCATTCAGCGTCGTCGAAGAAGGTGGACACACTTGATTGTTGCATATCCAAACTCTGATTTGTTTTGTCTGCCCTGAAGATGGCTCATGCTGGTTTCGTGTTCACGCCAGTTGCTTCCGGTGACGACACAGCAACTTGTCTCTATTGCAAAATTGCACTTTCTAATTGGGATCAGGATGACGACCCTATGTGAGTAGCAACATCTCGCTCATACAGTCAAATGAGAACATCTCCATTGTTGCAGGGAGCATCATCGGGAGCGCAGCAGCAAACTGGACGAGGGCTCTTGTCCGTTCGTCTCACTCGTCCCTGATGCGGCTACCGGCAAGTCTACCACGAAACAACCAAAAACCAACAGAACTACTACAAAAGAAGCCCCTCAGACTGATATCGTACAGCCCACGAAGACATACGATGGTTCGGATGACGAAGCTCCTGCTGCCCCTCCTGCGAAATCATCTCGTAAAACCACGACGACAACCAAGACGCCGAAGAAGACGACTCGCTCTGGATCCCGAGCAAATTCGAAAGCGCGCGAGTTGATCTCGGAGGTCGAGGAGGAAGACACTGCTCCGCCACCTAAGAGGCAGGGGAGGAGCAAATCTGTTTCACGTATGAAGGAAAGAGAAGAGGAAATTTCTCCTCCAAGCGCTGCTGCAACCTCTCGGTCTGTTTCTCGTGTCAAAGCCGACGACCCTGCTCGGCTTTTTGACGACGAGGAAGAAGAACCACTCAAGTCGAGTGGGGCACCATCCAGACCTACCCGATCTAGGGGCAAGGCTGCTGCCGAGTCTGTCGTTGCGACAGTCGTTGAAACAGAGAAAGAATTGCCTCCCCGTCCGCCTAAATCTAAAGCCAGATCGAAGGCACCAGAACCCGTAGTGTCCAAGAGAGTCTCGTCTCGCTCTCAAGCTAAAGTGCCGTCTCAAGAGGAAAACAACTCTGGAGATGAGGACGATGAGGATGGAGAATGGTTCTCTGCGCCCTTGCCGCCAGCACCAGATCCAGGCCGGGCGGAATCCAAGGCAGCGAAGGCAAAAGCGCAGCAGAGCCTAGGTGTTAAGAACGACTCTGGCAGCCGTCGTCCCCCATCGAGATCGCAGAACCGCGGCCCCGCTGCGGAATCTAGCTCGATTCGCACATCTCGTTCGCGTTCGAAAACAATCGCGGCACCGTCAGAGGAGCAGACGGATGACATCCTGCAATATGTTCCTCCGGAGCCTGTTCCTGAACCTCCCAAGCCTCGCTCGAAGCCCGCGTCGGAGACGACCCGGAAGCCATCTTCACGCTCCGCATCAAAGAGCAAAGCACCTGCGACTGACACGGAGGCGGCTCCACGTGCCAGCAGACCAGCGGTCTCGCGACCTGTTTCCCGCGCCGCGCTGCCTACTAAACAACTGGTCGCTGTTGACGGAAGTGATATCGATCCTCAAGTGGTTGATATTTCTACCGACGAGGACGAGCCTGCAGCAACATCTCCCCCAGCGAGACATGTACCGACAAAACCGCCATCCAAGGCTAAGGCGAAAGCGTCACCGCCCTCCCCAGAACCCACAGTTGTCACCCCAGCTGAAGATGTTTTCGAGGAGCAGGTGAACGAGCCTGTTGGAGATGAAGTTGCCGTGGATGAGGATATCGAGATGGCGCCTAACGTTCCCGTTGACGACAACTCGGGGCCCCATGAATCTCAGCTAACGACCCCTCCTCGACCGCAAGCCGTTCAGGCATTCCCAGCTCCGAAGACGCCGATGTCGGTATATCCTGCTCACACACCCGCCAGTCCGGAGGGCTTCAGTTTCATTCCCCCGCTGTCGAGCGATCCCTTCCTCCCCACGCAGTCTTTGACGGAGGAGGAAGAGGAGATGACAGTCGAAGACTGGATCCGTCACCATATGAAGATGGAGTACGACCGGTTCAAGGCTGATGGCGAGAGACAGCTTCGTTTATTTGACATCCGTGCTGAAGAAGTGCGCCAAGCTATTGAGACGCTTTGAGGAGATTCTTCGTTTTGACTTTAGCTATAATGTATTCGTTCTCGAGCAGATTTCCGACGATGACTCATCATACATAGATACCTCTCCAACTTGTACAGCAGAACAAACAAACTCATTCACTTGGAAGTCATCATCTGTCACAGAGTAGTCAGTACTTGGCGCAGCAGTGGGCAGATGGAGAACATACACGGAGGAACTCTGTTCACGCACGAAATTACTATCATCACACGGAGTGTTGGCACGCGATACTTACCTTGGTAGTTGATCTCTCCATCGCCGTCCTGGACGGCGGAATCAGCGCCCATCGGACGAGGCGATGCATGCATGTCAACTCACCGCGTCCGCCTCCTTGATCATCTCCTTCACCTCATCCTCTGAGAGCTTCTCACCTAGACTCCGCATGACATGGAACAGCTCATCAACGCTGATCGTGCCGTTCCCGTCCTTGTCGAACACATTGAACGCCTGCCGGATCTCCTCCTCCGTGTCTGTGTCCTGGAACTTCTTCGCCATCATGGCAAGGAACTCGGGGAAGTCGATCGTGCCGTTGCCGTCTGCGTCGACCTCGTTCAGCATGTCTTGCAGCTCGCTGTCCGTTGGGTTCTGTCCGAGAGAGCGCATGACCGTGCCGAGCTCCAGTGTAGTGATCGTGCCGTCGCCATCTTCGAGCAGCGTAATGAACACGCGACAATGGGGCGGAGAATAGCACTATACCTTTATCGAACAGGGAGAATGCCTCCTTGAACTCTGCGGCGACGGTAAATCTATAGCACTGTCCAAAAGTGGAATCACGCACCAGCAACCTGTTCTGATACAGCGTTCGCAAGCAGATCCACTGATTGAGAAGCCTCTTACCTGGGGACTACGAGTGATACATGAGGGAGAGGAATATTGAGCAGATAAGAATACATACTAGTTGATCGCTCATGGAGATAAAACAGGTGGTGGTGGTAATCAAGAGAAAGTGGTGGTGCAAGCGCTTATAAGGTTCTAGGTACTGATAAATATAGCCATCTCCCTCGGGCCTTGCGTCAGATTCACTGGGGCGCGGGCTGTGCGCATGTACGCGCCGGCGATGCGATGCATTGAAGCAGAGGAAGACAACAGAACAGGTTCAAGGCTGTACATTCGGTTGTGATTCCGTTATCGATAACAGTGATTATACAGGGGAGATGGTACAGTAATGTCCGCAGTGATAGACCAAGGATCTAGTCCTTGTTCAGCTCAGCCTGTCGAGCTTTCAGCTCTTCACGGCTCTAGAGATACTTAGAATCTTATCGCGAAAGTATCACAGGGATGACGCACTGAGGGTTGTTCCATGCCAGCCATGACCTGGGCACTGGGGATGTGGGGATCGCGAGCATGCAAGGCCTGCTCGTTGGGGTTGCTAGCCAGACCTCCGGTGGGCGGAGCGAGGTCGGCGGGGTCATTGGACTTCTGCAGATGAGCAAGTGTCAGAAACATTACAGCAGAATCCACGATGTGACTTGCAGCAGGATGAGGCTGGATGGAGAACGCAGGCTCTTCAGCCTTGGTCTCAGCAGGTTTATCGGACTTTGACATTCTCTTGAAGAAGTTGGTAAACTTGGAGGGCATCGTGGGGAAAGAATGGATGAAAGAACGTACTGTGGTCTCGGCTTTATAAGATTGGTGGTAGTGGCGCGGAGCGAGACTGGTGTGTGACATCATTGGCCGGATCTAGAGTGACATGTTGCTCTAGCTGTGGCGGAGCCATATATGACTGGATCCAAGTTTCAGACATGCTCCATGGCGCAGTTGGTTACCGCGTCCGACTGTTACCGCTTCGGTTGGTCATCGGGAGATCGGGAGTTCGACCCTCCCTGGAGCAGATCTTTTAGTCGCTTACTTCAAGCAATACCACTTTTCTTTTGTTTTTCCATGGTATCCCTTTGCAACGTTTCTGTAATTCACGATCATTGAATCCATGCATATACAAAACTACTCGGGACATAAGGTACACGCTACAAAAATGTGGTAGAATAAGACATTAGATGGGATGCTTTATCTCCAGCTAGATCCTGAAGCCCTGGACGGAGATTGAGGCGGGGAGTACGACGTGCTGTTGTGGGACAGGGGAGGCATTGGGTGCGGTTTTTCCGGCAAGAAAAGGGGAACCGTGGGGATCAGCTCGAAGACATGCTGCGCCACAGGCCGGTTCGAGCGACCTCCGGGGGAGTCCGCCCCGTTCATCACGGCATGGACCTGGGCCTCCTGGACCTGGGGCTCACCATTTGGAGCAGGGGTGGTGACAATGCTTGAGTTGACACCGCGTCCGTCCCACAGACAACGGAAGTTGTTCCCCGGGATGATCTGGGCCAATCGGCCTGTCTCGATGTTGCGGATTTCGATGAACCGCGGGTCGAAAAGGAGAATGTACGGGGAATGGAAAGCTACTTTTTCGGCATTGCCTTCCCATTCGATGGTTTGCCCGCCACGACGGGGATCTCCGTGTTTGTTGACATACACCCCGAATTCTAGACAGACAAAGGATGAGCCTCAGGTGGAGAAACAAGATCTTGATGTGATTTACCGTTGTAACACAACAAGAAGCCGTCTTCGTTTGACCGGAACATGCCGATGGGTCGACATGCTTCGCAGCGCTTGGCCAAAGCGGCCAATTTGGGGTCATCCCGCAGGGGAATCGTCACACTCTTGAAGCTAGGAGAACCGTCAGTAACAATCAGCTTGAACCGCAACAGCATACTCATTGAGATCCATGATTTCGAAGCCCTTGGTGCACAGAATCACGATTCGCGTCTTGGTAAAGTACAAGTCAAATGATTCAGACGGCAGGAAAAAGTCCTATATGGATAGGATAGGCAATCAGTCTGTAGCAACTTGTTTCATGCGACGAAATTACCCGGTATATTCGGAACCATTCCGATTTCGCGGACCGGAATCCGAGCCTGGACGACAAGCCCGCAGGGGCCTTGACTTTCTCGTTGATCTTCTCCCCGACCGGCTCCAGGACACGAAATATGCTGTCCAGCTTGTGACAAGTGGCGTGAGTATGGAGCTTGGAGCACAAACAAAGGGAGGCTTACACCCTTCTTCTTCATGTAGATCACGAGGGTCCGATTGTGCAGTGTCCCAACGCTGAAGAAATGGACGTCTTTGGTTCCATTGAGCTTCTGAGGGACTTGGGAGGCCGCTGCATGGCCACCGCCTCCGGATGGAACCAATGCCTCGATGTGGTACGCGAACAAAGCTTTGTCAGCAAGCACCAAGAAGATGCCGAATTCCTCCAGCATGGCGCACTGTGTGACCATTTTGAGATGTAGCACACGCCGCATCGCTGTGAGACACGTAAGACGGCAGTCGTAAAAGGCAGATTCACGACACTCACATCGAGGATCGTGACGGAATCCGATCCAGACACCTTCAGCACACCCGATCGCCACCAGTCCCCTGCCGTCAGCGGTATCTTGGACAAATTAGCACCCGCATCGAAGCCCGAACAGATGACCACATACTGAATGGGACAGAACAGGTGACTTTGCCTGTGAAAGAAGTATCTTGGCTCCATTGGGGCGATTGTGGCCCAAGCTGAACGGAGGGCACCAGGAATGTATCAATACTGAGCGTCTCCACCTCAAACACCCGATTCGACTCCTGCACAACTTGGCGGATGCCGAGAGCTTCGTCCAGCTTTTGCTTCCACTCCGCTCGTGCTTGCTGTGACTCGGCAAACAGAATATGGGCGCCGCCGAGTCGTCCGTTGTGATGGATGGTCCAAGGATAGACAACGCGAGAGTCACCTGCGCTGTCAGGATTACCGGTGATAGGCGTGTTGCCGGAGTCGTGTCGTTCGACTCCGCTTCGCAAGTTTCGGAGCAGCCCAGCACCCCGATTCATTGGCGGATCCGTGAAGTTTACGAGCGTCAACAGATCCAAAGGTATTGGCTGACAAGAACGTTCAGATGTCGGAATAGGGAGGTGAGAGAGCCAACGAACCCTTCGGTTCACCTGGTACTTGGTCACACCGTCTCGCTCCTTGGGCTTAGTCATAACCACTGCATGAAGATTAGCTCCCCGAGAGAAACTGGCACGTCCTGGAGAAACGCACGGTAATTGTCGAAGAGCACCACAAACAACTCCGTCCATCCGTTCCACTCGATAGTAGGTATAGTGTTATCCGGTTGCCGCAAAACCTTGCCTGCAAAGATGAGAGATCGATTCTCGTCCAGCAAATCCATGTCCTATGACACATCAGGATCATGTGCACACGCGGAGCAAGAATCGACGAACCACTGCTTCTCCAGGCTTGAAGGCAAGATTAGAATTGTACCGCCAGAGCTCGACCTTTTGTTTGGCGGACACAACACCAGGCTCCGTGTCCTTCCCCAAAGCCTTGATGACCTCCAGGACCTGCGGAATCTCTTTGCGGTCGTCATGGTTCGCAGGGGTCTCATCCAGGATCCCTTTCAGCAGCAGCTCGTACCGCAACAGTCGAGGAATCGGGCGGTTGATGAAGTTCTTCATGTCAAGCCGGTGGGCATCCGGATGCCGCACACATTGCTAGCAGAAGCCAATCAGCACAAGCTGAAATCTCAAGGAGGAGGGGACACACATCAACAAACGTCTTGAAATCTGGGTTGCGAGCCATCTCGTCATCGATCCGGTAAGCAGCAATAGGATAGTTGGGGATGTATTCCATATATACATCACGGAAGTTGAGCGCAGCATCGAACATAGCGGCAGTGATGCTGCGAATAGTGGGTGTTGCTCCCGTTGGATCTCGTGGAATGCATTCACAAGGCTGAGATGATGCGCGTGCAAATCGGCGAAATTGTGGAATACATCCGAGATGAACTGTTCCAATCGGTGGGCAGGTATGACGGATGGGTTGGCCTTGCGAAGAGGTGTGATGTAAATCTTGAAGGATACCATCGTTAGCAGCAAAGATAAGCAAGAATGAAAATCTACATTTTGGATGTTTTCCAAGTCTTTGACGTAGGCCATTTCACCCTTGATCAGCTCAAAGATGATTCTGATGGACAAATCAGTCACCGCAGCGGGCATAGATCAGATGCGTCCTCTCACGATTGTCTTTTCTGTTCCTCCTTGGGCAGAGCTTTCCGCACATCCTCAGCGACCAAGTCGTGCCACTCCCATTTCCCAGGCGTTCCCTTGCCCATGGCAACTTGGAACGTCCGCAACTGTGCCACACTCTGCAGTTCTTGATGGCATCGATAGCCTCGACGAGATAGTCGGCATCCGGGTTACCCTCCGCAGTTTCGTGCAAAATGGCATCAAGCAGGACGGGATACTTCTGTAGATGCTCTGCGGGCCGATTCAAAAAGTGCTTCAAATCGAGGCGTATAGCATCGCCGCCGCGTGATGCATGCCGAGAGCATTGCTGAAAATGGCTTGAGTAAACAGCAAGTCACACTTGTGTTTGCGAACCACGCACCTCCAGGAACAATCTGAATTCGGGGTTTGAGTCCGTCTCTTCTTTCAATCTTTTCTCTGCCAGGGGATACTGTCCAATGTAGATGGGGTAGGCCAGCCGGAAATCCGCCGCCGCCGATAAAAACACATCGCCTACAGACAGGCCGTTGAGAAACAGGAAGCAGCAGCCCCAGACAATGACTCGCCTATTCTCTGGATGACAGGCGCTTGTTCGCGCTGTCGCACGTACATCACCTCCAACAACCGCCGATTGCATTCCCGCAAGCTGAGAATGTTGCCAAAAACGTGACCGATGAACTCATCCAGACGGTCCGCGGGTATGACAGGCGGATTGGCGGCACGCAACGGCTTGAGAAACACATTCTCAACCGTGTCGAGGTCTTGTATATATTGGTCCTCCTTGGTGATCAGTTTGTGAATGATACTGCAAGTAATTGTGAGACCTGCGACGAAACTAGGGAATGTAGAGGACGCACGTTTGGCGATTGATCTCGCTTTCCGGCAGAGAAGAAAGCAGCTCCTGAGGAACATCGTGCCCCCATTCAGCACGGGAAGGTGCGACTGGGGTTTCAGTAGGACCTGAGGATGCACTGGTGGGGATCGTCGAGTTCTGGAAGTGATGAGGTCAGCACTGGGTTCATATCCTCGGCAACAGTGGACTCACCCTTCTGGGACACGCGTAAGCATAACAGGGTGACTCGTCAACACAACTCAGTGAGTAGCATTTCGTCAGCATGGTGACAACACCCGTCGGCAGCTCTTCTCTCTCTCTCGCGGCCTCTGCCGCCGAGGATCCTTCCTGATCGTCTAAAAACATGTAGACCTCCTCGACGCCATCTTGCAACACGCGGCCACCCCATTCAACCTCGTAGAAGAACAGCTGGCTCTGCAAACTACGTGCAACCTGCAGAGCGGCACGGCGGTCGCTCGTAGAGATCCCGTGCTTCATCGTGACCCCGCGTTGGATGAGTGACTGAATAGTGCTGACGATGTCCTTGCCGGTGAACGCCCGAGGGTACGGGATGCTTCCTTTGACATGGGTCCCGCGCGGAACTTTGTCTCGGAGCTGTACGGCAATGTGCGAGAGCAGCGAGAAGTTCACGAAACGATTTTCATCCTCCTCGTCCTCGTCCTCCCAATATTCTTCATCGGCATCCCCGTGCAGTTCCAGCGGCCGACTGGGGGCATAGCTCGCAAGATCGCGAAGCATTTCGCTTGGCCTACGGTCGACTCCGGAAGGCCCAACCGAGAGATACTGCTCCGAGTCAGGACTGGGAATGCTTGCGGAGGCGCCCGTGCTATTGGCAGATGTGTTTCGACTAAGGGCCGCTTGTGAGGATCCCGAGCGGGATACGTGAGAATCCACATCTAAGCTCGCATTGAGTTGAATGCCCACGATGAAAGATGCAACGCACTGAATTTGTAATGCTGGCTATCGGCCAGCGTCCGGTCGTACGAATCTATGGATGCATTCGAAGATCCTCGAATGACAGGCGCCCCTGCGCCAGGTGGACGAAACGATGCTGGCCGGGACATTCCACCATAGTGACTCAAGGAGTCCCCATTTCGGGCGCCCGCTGGAGATATGCCGGGCGCAGAAGGAAGACGGCGCATATTCGTCGTCGTAGCTTGGCGGAGAAGATCGGGTGAGTTTCCGGTGGAATAGGATGACTCTACACTGGGTCTCGGGGATGGCGCGCTGGGATTGTACGGTTCGGGTTCTGGCATACTGATGCTGATGGATTTCGAGGGGGAAGATGGAGTAGGAGGCAGACGCCGCACGGACGTTCGAATAGACTTCTGCGAGCCATCGCCATCTTCGGGTCGGAAAAGGTTAGGGAGTAGGGACAGAATAGAAACCGAACTCACACTGTGTGCTCGTGCTCGGAGACGGAACAGTAGACGAGGGATCGTGGTCCGAACTATACACGTTGAGAATAGTATCTATGTCCCCGTCTTGCGTCCCGTTTTCTTCAGCGAAACTAGCCCAGACTTCATCGTACAGTACTTGAAGATCGTGGTCCACGGGAGAGGCCGGCCGTCCTCCCGACATAGTCGGAAGCTGGGGTATCTATAGACGTTGGCAGCGATGAAAGCCCAGTCTCGTTGACCGTGAGCAAGGAGGGCTGTGTGCACGGAGCAAAGCCGACGGCAATATGGATTCGGTCAACCCAGGTCAGTGTGACATGATCGTTGATACAAACTGATTAGTGATAGGGAAGCCCAGTGGTCATCGGCACCAAGCAGCGACCGAGTGAGCATACTTAGGCGGTGAGCATGGAGACTCGAAAGTGGATTTACATCACAGCGGTTCGCCTAATATATGATATACAATGCAATATGCTCTACAACGCTGTACCCCGCTCGAAACTGGCCCTGATCTCAGCCGTGTACTTATCGTAGAAGCGACCAATCTGTTACGAGAGTTGAGTGCTGAGCAATGACTTATGACTTATTCGCAAGCTTACCTTCTTGTTGAACACTCTGTTCTGCTCATTGATATACGTGATGTCGCCTTCGATCTCGTTGGTCCTCTTCCTAGAGAATTTGCTCTTCTTGTCGATACTAAATTGAGGAGCATCAGCAGGCCGCTGAGGAGCACATGCGGCATTACGCACTCTCGGTTGATTTTGCTAACGACCCGGTCGATCGCATCTTCCGAGGGTTTATTGTCCCCGTAAATGAGCGTGTTGGCGTCTCGGTACAGATTCTCGGAAGCTAAGCGTTGTTCTTCAGCGGTGGGAATCATTTGTTTCGATGATCCGCTGGGGTCGAATGTGGTCAGAGAGCCCGGAGCCAGACCCATTGCCAGCTCTTTCTGACGATTGTAAGCTGCAAGGTCAGGCTTAATATGGTCCAGGTCTTTTTTATAGCGGCGTCGGGCAGCGTGCGCGTCGTCTGGCAGAATGAGCAAATGAGATCAGGAGAAATGACGAGCCAGACTCACCATGGAACTCAAACTCTGCTCTCCTCTTCTTCCGCGCTTGCTTCTTCTCCCATTGGTCATTCTCCTCGATGGTCCACTCCCAATTCTTCGCTCTCTCAACAGCGTCAGGTTCGCCCTTCTCCTCAGCGTCCGCTTTCAGTCGCAAAGTTTCCGCCAACTTTCGTTGCCGCTCCAGCCGAGCTGCATCGCGCGCCGTCGTTTGCGCCTTGGCTGATTCTTCCACTAGAGATGCACGGTTGGCTTTATGCGAGGCAGCTCGGCGTGCGCGCAGAGCATCCAGTTTCGCCTTGCGTTCTTCCATTGTTAGCCCAGCTTTTCCCTCTTCTGCCACTGTTGGTTCAACGCTGGTGTCCTCTTCCATTTCTTCCTGATTCATCTCCTCATCTTCCGGGTTAGACTTTGAGGTGCGGACTGCAGGCATAGAAGAAGAAGAAAGCAGGGGCACGATGCTCGAAGGAGAGGCGACAAAGCAGTGCGTGCTAGATCACAACATGGGACGAATTAGGGTTAGGAGTTACCACTGAAGTCGATAAACTAATCATAATGATATAGACAAGAAACGAGGTCTGGTACACAAATTGCTTTCAACTAGAATCCCGTAAGGTGGTCAGGAACAATAAAACAAGGCGAACATTCTCTGCTTCCTCAGAGGTCTTCGAGTCCCCATCGCGATATATGTATGCAAACTCTTTAGCATGCGCCATGAGCATGTCGACCTTGGCGGACTCTCCAACGAAATGGGATCTGCGACTAGTCGTTGGGAGATTTTCGAGCAGAATGCGGCGATTTGGCGCATTGTCCAGCATGAGAAGACCGAACAGGAGTGATAAATGCGAGAGCAGAAGCCGTGTCTCCCCTGCAGCCAACAATGTGTCTGGGTCTGGCACGGCAGGTTGGGATTCTTGCTTGATACTATGATCGGATTGACCAACAGTTCGCGATAGACGCGAACAAACGCTTCGAGCGAGCTGACTCGTCCTGAGGAGCATTTGCAGGTGACAAGGCAGCGAGAGACGACGCATTTAGGGGAAACGACTAGCAGACAATCAGCAGCCGTTGTTGTTCGATGACAGTAGACACTCACAGACAGTCCGAAATGCGTCCTTCACCTGCTCATCCACTTGGACTAGATTTGTCAGCAGCCCGAGTGTAAGACACAGCATGTCAAGTGCATCTTCGACGTTCGTTTGCTCGATGCTGGCGGAGGCGTCAAACTGCTGATCCTCGGATTCTTCTCTCTTGATGAGATTTTCCTCCTGCAGGTTCTCGGACGAGGAATCCAGTCTGTTGGAGTGGTGACGAAGGACCGATCGAACGATGAAGCCAAGACACCGCCCATCTTCGATCAACCGCGTGCACCATATCTTGTCGGAATGAGTCAGTCCGACGAGCAAGCGCAGCGCTATCGGAGCACACGCGCGAGCTTTGCCCACTTTGAAGGGCCATGAGAAACGAAGAGGCAGAATATGGAAATGACTATACCTGGTCGGGTTTCAAGAGAGATGCAGAGGGAGAGCAAGCCCTCAGGTAGCCAGTCTCGGGCGCTATGAACGAGAGCCTGAGTGTCAAAGGCATCATCTTGCGTTTGTGGAGCCCACGCAGAAAGAACGTGGCTGTCAAGCAGCGACAGAAGATTGAAGAGATGGTCATATGGCAGCGAGACGTGGTCTAGCTTTGGCGAAGACGACAGCGATGATAGAACCGACTTGAGAGTCGAAAGAACTGTATTGACATTGACTGCGGTGGGCTGGAGCGCAGAAGCAGGGAGCGCAGCTAATGAATGCGATATCAGAAGCGCGGCTGATATTTCAGCATCTTGGAACAGAGAAACAGCTGAAATGGCAGAACGAATGGTTCCAAGCTAGCCTTCATGAGCAAGTAGGGAAAAAGTGGCCCAGATGGGCTTACCGTGATCAGATCTTTCTTCGAGAGACCTAGTTTTCGCAATTCGATGACGTCTGTTACAGCAAGTGGATCCGAGGCACTGAAGCACCCTAGATGTCTGAACAGAACAGTAGAAAGAGGAGGAGCAGATCGTTGATCTAATTCTGACAGTAGCGCAGGATCTCGGGCAATGAGCGACAGGTAAAAAGCAGCCAATATGCCCATTATCTATGGCGAGTTAGTTAAACAATCTCGTCAGCGGCGATGGGCTGACCGGATCCTGACCGGGGCTGCTTCCAGCTTCTAGGAAAAGATCCCAAGTGGGTCCAATAAAATCAGCCGCCTTTGCTTTACGTGAAAATTCCGAGTCGCCAAGTTTCGATACAATCTCGAGAGCACTGTACCGGCATGAAATCAATGTCAAGGACTCGTGAAAACAATCACCTTGCCCGACGGAGACCAACGCCACCAGAGGGATCCAATCCTTCCCACAAGTAGCCCACTTCGTCCAGAAACCGTCGACTCTCCCCTTGATGTCGTAATTCGGTAATACTTTTCAACGGATTCATCATCCCATTCTCGAGGGGAACCGGCTCGGGGCGTGCTTTACCCCGCTTGCTCGGAGAGGCGTTGGGGGTTGGGTTGCGCGACCCAGATCGCGCGGGCGACACCGCGTTGAATGGATCGTCTTCGGATGCATCCACCCCCCAGCGGGTTCGGAGTGATGAATACGACTCTCTAGACGCGAATTCGTCGTCTAGTTCGTCCTGGATTTGCTCTAGAGACGCAGAGTGTGACGGGATAGGGACAAGGAAGGATCTGGAGCTGCCAGCATAAGTTCGTCCGACGTTCTTTCCGCGCGCTGTTGGACCGGATTTGCTTTCGGAAACGCCAGGCTTTGGATCCGAAATTGACGCTGAAAACTTCGGAATGGCAAATGGATCGGCAAGAGACTGTGTCTGCGACATGCTGCTTTTGCTGGTATTTGTACTGGACAAACCGCTGCCTTCGCTGCTTCTACTAGCAATTGAAGGTTCTGTCCGTGACCGAGACAGCATTCGCTTGGCCAGCTTTCTCTGAGACTGCGAGGCGACTGGAAGAGGTATTTCCTCGAAAATTTGGGTAAGATCTCGCGGTGTTCGGAGACGCGGTATTGTATCCTCTTCGACATCGGTGGAACCTCCCCCCTGTCTCTGTCCGTCTTGATCAAATTTCCTGCGCTTCGACTCTAGTTCTTCACGCGGTTCTTCTGCTCTCCTTTTCGTGGATTTACGGCTGTAGGTTTTGGAGCGGGAGGTTGTAGGCATTGAGCAATGACTCTGAGATCGACGCGAAGGACGTGACTGCGTGACACCGATATGTCACGTGGCGCCCTCACGCAAATGATGTGTGGCTGTGACAACAAACGTCATCCATTCATCTTCGCGTCCTCCAGACTCTCTCCGACCATGGCTAACGACAAAGACGCGCTGCTTTCTATGGGCTTCCAAATTGAACGCGTTGAATGTAGGCTCAGAAATTCTCGCTGTGATCTTTCACTCATGGCGTCGCAGGGGCTCTCAAAGCTACCGGAAACAGTGGACTACAGCCTGCAATGGATCACATCCTAGCACATGAGGGGGAATCTGTCCCTGATCTCAGTGGCGTCTCCGAGTCTGCTCGTCCATCTAGGGATGCGATGGATGTTGATGACGATGAAGACGCTGAGGCTCTGCAAGCTCTGGGAGCGAAAGCCACAGAGATGGAGGCCAAAAGCATCAAGTGCTCGGAATGCGGCAAGGTCTTCCGTAATACTGCCATGGCCCAATTCCATGCCGAGAAGAGTGGTCATCAATCGTTCGAAGAGAGTACGGAAGAGGTGCGGATGCTCAGATCCGGCGCCCTCCCAGATTAACCGGGCCCCAGATCAAACCGCTGACGGAAGAAGAGAAGAAAGAAAAGCTAGCAGAGCTCCGACAGAAGATGGCGGAGAAACGTGCAATGAAATCGGCTGAAGAGGCCAAGGAAGCTAAAGCAAGCGAGGTCATCCGCCGGAAAGCTGGCAAGGTTGCTGTCGCCATGATCTTGAGTGTCGTACCAAATAACAATCATCCAGGACATGGGTCAGGTCCGAGAGGAGATGGAGAAACGTCAGGCTCTCAAGGACGCAGAGCAGAAGAAGAGAGGTCGATGGTGCTCACTTGCTTACTATCTTGTGCTGAACTTGAAGTCGACAGATAAACTTGAGGACGCAAAAGCTCGAGCAGCGATCAAAGCACAGATCGAGGCCGACAAGAAAGCACGAGCTGAGAAATTCGCTCGCGAGAAAGCCCTCCGACACGGTGAACAAATCGTTGACACGCCAGCAACGACAGCCGCTCCGGCTGCCTCTGTCGGTGTCTCTGGCAAGGACTACAAAGAAACCCGATTGCAGATTCGCATGTCGACGGGCGGCCAGCCGTATACAACGACGCTCCCGAGTGATGCGCGTAAGTGCCATCTGATCTCAGATGCGCCGGTCAATATTCATGTTTTTGACAAGCATTACGAGCGGCTGCTGAATTCCTAGCCGGTCAAACCCTGGCTGTCGATGTTGAGACCATTTCCTTCTCCCAACACTTCCCCCGGAAACAGTTTACGCCAGCGGACATGTCGAAATCATTGCGGGATCTTGGGCTGACGCCCTCTGCTGTGAGACCTTTGAACGATTTTGATGATGATCCTTATTTACCGTTTACAAGGTCCTCATTGCTTCCCCTCCATGAATGTATAGTAAATGTCGCGTGTGTACCATGTATCAACAATATTCATAAACCTTGACCTCAGCTGACGTTGTCGCCAAAGCGATCTTCCCCTCTTCTTCCAGCATCCCAATCCGCACCCAAGTATCATGCTCCTGGGCATGAAAAACTGCGCAAGTCCCAGAATACCCCTCGGTCACATGATGCGAAATGAGCGTTCCAGCGAGCCGTTGGCCTTCGATTGCGTGGTCAAAGTAGTCCTCTGTGTGTGAATCCATCCACAAAGCAGTTCCAAACGGGCCTAGACACATATCGAAACGGGCGAATAGTCGGACCGGCGATGCCAGGGTCCGCGTGAGGGTGGGCTGGGCCACGTAAGCTGTCGGGAGGAGTCTAGGCGAGTCGAGATGGTAGTGATGCAGAGCATTCACTGGCCAGGGGAAGAGGCTGGAGAATCTCACGAGAAGATCGACGGGTCGGGGCCAGTGCGACGCGGGTCCCGCTCGAAAAACCATGGACGCGCTGTCGAGCTTCCATTGCCAGACATGGGAGCTGATCGGTTCGAGGATGCGGTCGCCAGATTCCTGGGCGCGAAAGGACGAGAGTAGATAAATCTCGAGTGTCTCCGTCCTGGTGACCAGAGCGTAGCCGTCACAAAGGAGCGCATCCAGACACTCGCTTTGCTACATCGGGAAGAATTAACATCGGTAAGCACACGCATGCTGTTTTGCCGAACCTGAACATATGCTGGATTGGACAGCTCAACCACGAAGTAGGGATTCTCCAAGGTGCGCAGATGCAGCTGATTGTCACCGAACCTGGTTAGCAAAGTTGACCCCGTAAACGCAAAAGGGCTTTCGGTCACTTGATCCAGCACCTGCACCAGGGCAAAGCCGAGCTCCGGGTCCTCTGCCGCAAAGTCGACGGACAAGATCTCAATGCCGCTGAGCTTGGATCAGCTGGGAGCGACTTGCGCAGGCGACGGAACCCTTGGACGCACAGAGAGGATCCTACAGCCAGCATCCCTGGATGACCTGGGTCGGTGTTGATTCTGAGGCCGCGAAGATCGGTAAAGGTGCGCTGGGCGACGCAGTTGGGGTGCTCAGAAAGGGACCAGCATTGAAGACTGAACAGTCGGCCTTGGGGTTTCGGGGTGAGCGCCAGAGATATCAGCCACCTCCCTCCCATCCCAGGGAGGAACGTCAGAGACACGACTTGTGCTCTGGGATCGTCTGTGACGGTGAAAGCAGAGCTGTGGAGTGCTACAGGAGCGCGGGAGGTCCAGTTTCTATGCAGTCGTAAGGAATTGAAAAAAAGCCTCTCTAGTTCCTCTGCCGGGAGATCTTCAAGGCCGCGTCTCTTGAGACCAGGAATTGGAATTCGTTTGCGGACGATTTCGTTTTGCAGAAGAGAGAACCATAAACTCCGTGTTTGGGTGATGGCCCGAAAGTCTTTGCATGTCTGACGGTGGCGTTAGGCATCCGGAGAAGAAACGGAGACTGTCGAATACTTGTCGAAGTTGGAGGATTTCGGGAACGTGGAGATATCGCAAGACGACCAGTAAGACATCGATGGGCAAGGTGGGCACGACCATGGGGTGCCGTCCGACTCAACGGGAGGAGGTCGAAGATGGAACAGAGTGGGAAGCACACATTTCAAATGGATGTGTATGGACCGGATGAGCATATCTGATGTAGTCGACGTTCCCGGATCCCAAGAGATTCTCCGGATGATAGCGCCGATCTTCGCTATTCCAAAGAGCGAATGGAGCGGATCGAGGGATTTGAAGGGAGTCCCATGTCGTTCCGATCGGGAGAGTTTCTGAACGCTGTTCCACATGCAGATTTCATCTCTCATGGGAAAACAAATACATAATTATTGGGCGGTCGGTACGCCGTGCATGTCTTTTGAGCCACCGGGTTATATTTCGGAGGGTTGGAAGAGATATCAGGTATGGCGAAAGACTGGGAAGTTCGCATCAGTTCGGCAGTACAAGCCGCATATTCCGTTGCCCGGGACACATATGTATGTGCACGGTTCCAGTCTATAACCTTGACGAAACGTGGCCGTTCCGAATCAAGGAATTTAATGACTTGGACACCGGGCATATACCAATGCTTCTTTTTGAATGTTAGCTCCGCGAGATCCGAAAAATTCGTGGGCTGGTCCAAGGCAGGGGAAACATAATGTCAGATCTTTGTTACTATTGTCCCCGGAGGCGGGAAGCCTCGAAAATTCGGGGAATTTTCATCCACGTACTGGCAAGTACAGTTGACAGGATGCAGAGTATCAGAGTCTTGGTTGAGTAATAGATGGGGATAAACGTTGAACAACGGTCACGCATGTGTCACTTGTTATTACCGATTTTTCGTTCTTGATCTTGACCATGTCGGTGCCGACTACTGGGTCGTCCAAATCGAAACCAATTGCAATCATTACCATTGGGATGGCGGGTGCTGGTAAATCAACTTTCGTGCAGCGCATAAATTCGTATCTCCACTCTTTGGAACCACCAAGTCCGCCGTACATCTTGAACCTCGATCCGGCCGTCACCAAGGTCCCGTTCGAGGCGAATATTGATATTCGAGACACGGTGAACTATCAGGAGGTCATGAAGCAGTGTGTCGTTTTGTAAATCGGCCACAGACCACAAGAGTCATGGTGTTCGAAGATACAACTTAGGTCCCAACGGTGGAATCTTGACCGCGTTGAATCTCTTCACAACCAAATTCGATCAAGTCCTAGGTCTCGTTGAGAAGCGGGCGGAAAGCGTCGAGTATGGGCCCTGTGCACTCACTTCAACTCAGGCTGACGGCGTCCCCAGTTATGTGATCTTAGATACTCCTGGCCAAATCGAGATCTTCACCTGGTCTGCCAGTGGATCCATTATCACTGACGCCGTTGCCTCCTCCATTCCTGCCGTGGTCGCATATATTATCGACACACCCCGGACAACAGCGCCTGCGACGTTCATGTCCAACATGCTCTATGCCTGCAGGTATGCCTGCAAATCTGGCGACTCACCTATGCTTAGCGCTCACACAGCATCCTCTACAAGACCAAGCTACCTTTCATTCTTGTCTTCAATAAAACAGATGTGCAACCCCACGAATTCGCGCTGGATTGGATGCACGACTTTGAGACGTTCCAAGCCGCTCTGGCCTCTCACGATGGGACTCGTGACTCTGAGGGAGAGCCCACATACATGAACAGCCTGATGAACAGCATGAGTCTGGTGCTAGACGAGTTTTACAAACATCTGAAGGTATGAATATCACATGAAGTAGCGCCACTCACCGATCGCGCTCAGGCCGTGGGTGTTTCAAGCATGACTGGCGCTGGTATCAAAGAATTCTTCGACGCCGTCGATGCATCCCGAACAGAATATGAAAAGTACGTGCGTCTTGATCGCTGATGTTTGCCAGCTCTGATCCCTGGCAGGGAATATCTCCCGGAACTCCAGCGTGCCAGGCAAGCCCGGGAGCAGTCTCTCCAAGCCGTCAAAGACGACTCGATGAATCGCATGATGAAGGATCTCGCTGTCGACAGGGCGGCAAATCCCGAGGCCTTTGCTAACGACCGATGGGACGAGGATGACAACGAGGACCAGGACGAGCCCGAGATGAATATAGTCGATCGCAGTGAGTCGAACAGCGCTCGTTGTATTCCACCATCTCAGCTCGGCTCAGGTGATGATGCATATCCTGGAGAGTATATCGATTTGACAAGGCCAAGACGGCAAGAGGAGAACATCCACTGGCCCCGTCCTACCTAGATCTGCTGTATTGTAGCCCATCTTGTATCAATTACACCCGTATTTTGCTGTGTCACGTCACGGGACGGCTGATGACCCTGATCAACTGTGGCTGTGTCTCGCAACTAAACACCGACCCTCAAGACCCTCAGCGCTTCAAGCTCGCAAGCATCGTCTCTCGCTCAAGACCCGCGTTTTACGTGTTGCTGTACGACATCGATACAAGGCAAATCCGCCCAGTAAAGAACATGGAAAGGTGCATCCACCATCACCTGTCCTCACCCACTCCATGCTCATGCCACGCGTTGTAGGTACGAACGAATTGAGAAAATTGGTGCGTCCTTTCATCTGCGGCCTAAAAATCCAATATCGAAACCTCGTCCAGGTGAAGGTGCGCTCTTCGCCGCATGCGCTCGCGCGGATCTCTAGAACAGACATGGAGGAACGTATGGTGTCGTTTACCGGGCGCGGGACCGGACGACCAACGGGATTGTCGCACTCAAGAAGATCAGATTGGAGGCGGAGGACGAGGGGGTTCCCAGTACGGCTATTCGCGAGATCAGTCTGCTGAAAGAGCTCGACGACGACAACATCGTGAGGTGCGCTCTGACCATCGCTCTACGACCTTGACGGGTGGCTCATTGTGGGCTGTACACATCAGGCTTCTCAATATCGTGCATGCCGACCAGAAACTCTTCCTCGTCTTCGAGTTCCTCGAGATGGACTTGAAACGCTTCATGGAGGAGGCTAACCGGGAAAACTCGCCAATTTCCCCTGTTCTGGTCAAGGTGAGCTCGGAAGTGCACCATCATGATTCACCTTCGCGTACGCACGCGACGATTATGTTCCAAACCTCTGCCCTGCCCGATTTCTGACCCGCTCCTGGTGGTTGTTCGATCACGTGGTCGCATTCCACGCGACGCGTTGTGGTCTGTTGACGCGCCCTGCTGACTGACTGTTCCAGAAATTCACCTATCAGCTTAACCAGGGACTGGTGTACTGCCACTCACGGAGAATTCTTCATCGCGATCTCAAGCCTCAGAATCTGTTGATCGACAAGTATGACAATCTGAAGCTCGCCGACTTTGGGCTGGCTCGGGCGTTTGGGTTGCCTATGAGGACGTACACGCATGAGGTGTGTCGCCCGGCCATTTCTCGCTTCTCACTGCTTATCTTTCCAGGTTGTCACTCTCTGGTATCGGGCCCCGAAGTCTTGCTCGGCTCTCGTCATTACGCTACGGGCATCGACATGTGGTCGGTGGGGTGCATCTTTGCCGAAATGGCCATGGCAGGGCAGCCTCTCTTCCCCGGTGACTCTGAAATCGACCAGATCTTCAAGATCTTCAGGTGTGCTCGCCCTGTGCCCTTGCAACACAAGCTGATGCGTGGGCAGGGTCCTTGGAACCCCCAACGAAGATGTTTGGCCCGGCGTGACGTCCCTCAATGATTTCAAGACAACGTTCCCACAGTGGTCGGCCCAGGAGATCTCGCACGCGGTGCCGACTCTCGATCATGCCGGGATTGAGCTTGTGAAGGTGTGGATGCTGGCTCTTCCGGTGCGGATTGATGTTGACTATTTGGCCGTCTGCAGTCTCTGTTGACATACAATCCTGCCAAACGAATTTCCGGTATGTCGCTGGTTTGGTCTTACGGCGGCATCAATTGAAGATTTCACAGCGAAACGCTCGCTGATTCATCCTTACTTTTCAGATTATCTGGCCTGAGCGCGCATACATCTCGTGGGATATCATTTACTATGCAAGGAGTCGTGGACATCTGTCGAATATTACGCCAACTGAATATGAAGCCAAAGCATATCATCATCGTCGCCGTCTCCGTGAGATAATTCTTGTCGGCGAACTGAGTTCTTTTCGCCAGGCCCACGAAAGTGCTCAGATCATTCGGGTAATGTCCAGGTGCAATGGAAAATGCGCTGTCAAGGTGATCCGCAGTCAGTCAGAGAGCACGATTCTTGGAGTGCAATGGTGTCATGTCGCCTTGGTCGTGCGAGCAGGTCAGGCATTGAGCCGTGTTTCGAGCGTCTTTACATCTTGCTTCGGTGTTCGCAGGAACTGTTTATCGTCTATGAGGACGTGTATGAGAAGTAGGATTGGCCCTCGCGACTGAGCAGTATACTGATTGGCCTTCTTTCTTCAATCTATCCCTGATCAACGACCACTGCCTCAAGACTAGCGCCTATAAATGCGAAGAGGACTTCAGAATCTGCCGACTACGATCGCAGGTTGGCGCTCAGGCTATTCATCTGCAGATGCGAGAGATTATGGTAGCAACAAAGCTGTCAGGGCAATGCGCACCGTGACCGTGTCACTTGAACACATCGAAGTGAGATTCCCCCGAAATTGTCATTTCCCGTGCCCCAGAAAGATTCCGAGGGGTCACAGTCTACAGGTCCGACTGAAACGGTATTCAGATCCGTCAGGGGATGTCCGCCGAGTGCTGGAAATTACACAAAAAATAAGGTTTAGGCATGTCGCACGTATATCCAGACTATCGAATCTTTGGCAGATTTCCAGTTCTGATAGAGCAGACTCCGGCCGTTGGACAGTGAGATTGGCGCCAATCATGAGTGGTCATTCAAGATCGCGCAAGCCTAAGCGGCAAAAGGTGAGGGGACAAGAGGATGGGGCAGCTCGATAGGACAGGCAAAGGAGACCAGCCTTGCGCCTCGAACTACACCATTATCTGAGCAGTCAACCGGCTCAAGTTGTCGTTGAGAGCTCATCTCCGTAGACGAGTGAGCACCAGAGGTTAAGATCACAGCCATAAATTCAAGCAGTTTTCAAGCGATGGGAGCGCATGTGTCGAGAGGATACAGCAAACAAGTGCGAGATGCCGACTCTCAGAAATGAGTGAGTTGTGGGCACAGTCATCTCGTGGCCAAATCATCCCGTGACATTGGCAGATCCTGCGTTACGCGTTACGCACATCGCACATATACAATGCCTCCCCTACCACTCAAGTTCGACGAGGAGACTCTGAAACTCCTGGACGCTGTCGAGAGGCACGCGAAAGATATCGAAGATTTCCAGATTCCCCGTCTTCGCTCGTGCGAAGGACCGTTCGCAGTCCAGCAAACGTTGGCGTCAGAACTACGGGAGGACGTGGATGCATTGGCCCGGCAAGTGGAGGTACGCTCATCATCTCCTTCTTCTGTGCTCACTCCTCAAGGTCTCACAAGGCATTAGATGTGCTTGTCGATGATCAGCGGGGTGCCAGCAACAAAAGGGGCCTGCGGACTATCGTCGAAGAGCTGAGCGAAAGACTGAACGCGTCAGTAACGTGCGCTTCGTTTGCAATCAGGTCTTGATGATTTCACCAGAATAAGACGGGAATCCCGTGCAGCACTCTTAGCATCGAAGCGTACACTCGACTCTCTTTCAACTTCACGCCGCGACGAATTGCTGGGGTCCGCTTCTGTTTCAGAGAAGCAAGGATCGAATGGACGTTTTGCCGAGGATGCGCTCATGGCTGCGAGCGACAAGGTCACAGACGCAATGCAGCGCACAATGGAGCTTATGGATGCAGAGCTGAAGCGATCTGTGCTCGTTTCGCAGACACTAGGTACGGTCACCTACTTTATGGGATGCACGGTCTCTCACCGTCTCTCAGCCGACTCCACGGCCACACTCAAGTCCACTTCATTGACGCATGATACTCTCACCACCGTCTTGGATACCTCGAAGCATCTCGTGACGGCCCTCGAGAAGGCTGACACGCTTGACCGATTGTTGATCGGCGCAGCACTGGTGCTTTTCATCCTAGTTGTGCTCTTCATTCTCAAGCAACGAATATTTGACCGTGGAATGCGCGTGGCCTTCTGGTGGACCCGTTTCCTGCCTGATTTCAGCGGAGACGGCGATCTATTGAACGTCGGAAGGGAACTGGGACTTTTGAAATCGTTTCCAGCACGTTGGCCTCCACCGCATCTTCGATTCTAACAGTATCGACTGCGGAGGCAGCACATTTGGCAGAGAACACCTTGTCAGTACTTGCGACGTTGGAATCTCTATCAGCGACATTGGAGTCTATTCCTACGGCATCGGAGTCTCTTTCTGGGGCATCGGAGTCGGCGTCGGAGTCCCCTTCGGCGACACCGGAGGCTTTTTCTACGGCACTGGATTCTTTTTCGACGACGCAGGCCCGTACACCAGAGTCGACAGCTCGCGACGAGCTATGAAATCGTTCCTGTTTTTGAACACACGACAAATATATTTATTAGAATGCAGCAGATAGATAGCATAAGTCAGTACTTAGTGTATTGATACAAGTGTGAAGAGGACATTGCGGATACATTGGTCGCTACATGGCAAGGCGTGGATATGTGCGTGGAGAGAAATACACAAGAACTGGAGTCGATCCGGTCCGAGAGTGAACAGTCATGAGGATAGGCATGTGCGTGTGAGCGATATTCGGTGATCAGTCGCGGCGGCGAAAGAGGGCCCGCATGCCAAGTTTGGATTGCTTGGCTTTGGGATGGGGTGGGGCTGCAGAAGCCGGTGTGAGGGGAGAAAGAAGTGGTGCGGTGGCTGGCGCAGGGTCGAAGGATGCAGCAAGAAATTCATGACGATCTTCGTGGTTCAGCGGGCCCAATTTGAGAGGTGCTGGGCGTCGCCGGGTAATGAATTGAGAGGAATTTGTCGACGTCGGGCTGCGGGGAGCAGTGAATGCAGCATCGACGATGAACTCGGGCTTCAGGAGATGTTTGGCAGCACGGCGAGGCCTCGAGGGCAAGGCAAGCACAGACATGCCTGGGCGCCTGAGCACAAGGGGGACGAAGTTGGTCATGTCCTCGTCGTCAGCTGGCTGCACCAAGTAGCGGACGTCCAGGTCCGAGTCCTGAGTAGAAACACTGCCGCGGCGTTCCTCTCCTTCCTCGAACTGTACCCACTGTGTCTGTTCGCTGTTGGTGACCAGCTGCTGTTCACCGCTCAAAAGATGCGCAAACTCCCACTCTTCATCTTCGTCCCACCAGAGACCACCCTCACCGTCACGGAACACGGCGCCCACACCGACGCCAGGACCCGCAGCCTTGGCTTGGTGCGCCATAACGCGTTTCGCGTGCGACTCGATACTACCTCCGTCGGCGAACTGCATCAGTGCAAGCTCATTGGCGAGCGGCGCAGCATGCACAAACTTGTACTGCGCCTTCTTGCGGGTGGTCACGGGAACATTCGCAACCTGGACTTTACTTGGCTTAGACGGCATCGAGGAAACAGATTTCGATCGGCTGCGTGTGAGTGTGGTGAGAGAGCGGAAATGACTGAGGCCGCGTCGTGGCTTCACCGGGTGAGGTGAATCGGGAATGGGGGGAATAGGAATGTGCGAGTACGATGCGTTGTTTGGGGCGGCAGATTTAGGCTGCGGAGACGGAACAGATGGGGTAACAGGAAGATCGAGGAAGACGGAGGAGTAACCAAGGTTGGTCAGGTCAAAATCTTTGGGATAAGAACCTGCGGTCGTCGGCGTTTTGATGACGATGTAGGAGGTGGTTCCTTGCCGACCAGAGATGGAGGGGCGACGAGAGCTGCTGGTAGAGCCGCGGCGGCGGCTGGGTGAACGACGGCCGTTGATAGACCCGCGACGACGGGGGGAACTAGGCGAACCCGGTTGGACAGCCGCAGCCCAAGCAATAATGGCCGAGTTGGAGCGACGGCGGGTGACTTGAACGGTGACGGTCTCTTCGAATGGGGCCTCGGGAAGGAGAACTTGGATGGGTGCGACTGGGCGAGTCCTCTGGGGTGGCTTGGAGAGAAACGCGAAAGGGAAGGATTTATTAACGGGAATGACTACTGTTTGGCCGGGCATTTTAGATTCTACGACGGGATGTCAGCGTCATTCGATGAGTAGAGGGAATGAGCCGGCATACCGTGACAAGAGAGAGTGTGGAATGAAGAGGTCAGGATAGCAGGGGAGAACGTTTAAGGCGTAAGTGAGAGACTAGCTCTGAGATGGGGAGAAGAACTTACAAGACAAACTCTTATATTCTCAGGAACAAAAGACTGCCTGCCGCCGAACATGGGGTCAATAGCTTGAGCCAAGTTATTGTCCTTGCGCCGTGTTTGGACAGCTTTGTACAAGAAGAACAATTGTTGCTCGGAAACTCATTGTATCCCCAGGCAAAGCCTCGTGTGGCTTGTCGCTTCATCGAGAACAAGGACAGAGCATATGAAAGTACAATGGAAGGGACGTCATGATGGGAGCTCGGAAGAAGAAGATGAGAGAAGATGGCAAGTCACGTAGTCACAAAAACAAGGCCTGCCATATTGGGATGCGAGAAGTAATGCCGGATTTGGTCCCGCGGAACAGATAGGAGTCCTTCCTAGTCCTTCAATGGCCCTACAGGACCCAGGTGGTGCAGATAAAACCGATGCGGCGGGATCAGCATGAGACGACGCTGCTCTAGCCAGCAATGCGCGAGACCTCAGATCGCATTCTGACGATTATTTGTGTCGGATGGTTTACGAAACAACGCAATACAAACGGCCAAGAGTGTGTTACATACGTTACTTAGCAGCTCCAACCATATTTCCCGACTATCCCTGTCCGCTAAACGCCGGTTGGACACTTTGTGGATTGTGGAACAGATCGCCAGGGTCGATAGACGCTTTGACACTCTGCAAGCGAGGGAGGTTTGGGCCCCAGTAAGCTTCTTGGCCGTCCGATAGCTGTGGACTGCGCGGATATCAGCCATCGGCTGCGTTTAAACCAATCGCATACTCGACATAGCCTGCATAAGCACCAAATGCGACGCCCGGCATGCTTCTGATAATGGTATTGCTGATTCCTTCTACGAAGGCTGTGGTAGTGTTCGAGATTGATCCGATCCCCACAGCATAGGTCTGCATGTAGAACTAGCCGGCGACTTCACATGTGTTCGTTGTGACAGTTAAGGAGACTTACTTGAACATCCCGATGGGCATACGCCGTGCTGTTCTGGGGCACGTCATTCACGGCCCCTCCCTCCAGATCAAAGATCGCAAACCAGATCTGAGAGCCGCATTGTCACTGGACAGAATGCTGGACAAGACTGAGGGAGCGCACTAAAGTCCCCTTGGAAGCAGTGTCGAAATAATTGAAGAGGTCCTGGATTCCTGGGACCGGTATCAGGGTGGACGCTTTGAAAGTCAGACTCTTGGAATAGAACGGTCCGGGCTAAACGTTCAAGGTTAAATCAAAACAACTGAGTGCTGAAAGTCCCTTACAATGCCACCAACTAGTTTGAGAGCTTCATTCTCAGCCCAATTGCCCACAGTGCCCAGCCAATCGTTCAAAACCGTGACAGTGACGGTGGCATTCTGGCCCAAACGTCTCTCCAAATCTAGAGCGTTATATTGGTCTCGGGAGCCAAAGTACGTCCCCGAAATGATCATGCCCAGCTCGAAGATAATGATCTCAGACGCCAGTCTGCGATCGAGCTCTGGCTCAGCTATGATCGACTGCCACAACGCAAACGTTGAAGCGTGAGCTGCGTGACTCCCTAGCCTGTCGTTCATCAGCATGCCATCAGAGAATGAGCAGGGTACTGACTGCAGTCGATACGAATAGATCACTGCACTGGACGGTTCTGCATGCGTCAAGAAAACAAATTCGGTGACGATGCCGAACGAAGCTGCGGCACCCTTCACGGCCTGTGGTAATCAGCACCGGAACCGGAACGGAATCGAGAACACTGACAAACAACAAGTCTGGGTTGTGCGTAGAATTCGCCCGGGTAATGGTCCCGTTAGCAAGGACGACCTCCACCTCCAACACATGATCCAAGGTAGCGCCCCATTGGCGCGACAATGGGCCCAGGCCACCAATCGTCGCGTGGCCGCCGATACCAACCTGGGGACAGGTACCATGGGCAATCGCACGTCCTCCAGCTTCATGCAGCTTTGAAGTGACTTCTTCGAGGAGCATCCCGGCACCGATAGTCGCACACCAGGTTGTGGAGTTCATCGCGAATTGCTTGAAGTTCACGAGGTCCACAACGACTGCACCGTCTTGCCCGCCGATACCTGCCGCGATTCGATGAAGATTGTACGACACGCAAGGCGGAGTGAAGCGACAAAGACGCACCATAGTTCCCATAACTGTGGCCGCCGCTACGCGCCTGTACTTTCACAGAGCTGGCTACAGCGCATTTAACGATTTGGGCTACTTGGGCAGAGGTTGTGGGCCGAGTCACTGCGGCAGGAACAACGTGAATGCGCGTGTTGTACGGTTTCACATAGAGAAACTGGTAAAAGAGTTCTTGAGGGAATGACACATCGTGCGGGTTGAGTGCGAAGGCCGTGCTGAGACAGGTTTGGAGAGACGAGACCCTCTGGGAGGGATGAACAGATACCCTCGGAGCAAGAGATGCTTGAACGTGGGGCGGCAAGAAGAAAGACAAGCTGCGTCTATTCAGTCTGATTTCATAGCATGGAACGTAGGATGCCGTACAGAGACAGTAAAGGGAGAAGCCTGAGTTTCATCGCTCAACTCGGGGTATCAGCGGCGGGCGATGGTGGAAGTGGAGAAATCTGGTCCAGCACCTGTTCTTAACGTGAAAGAATGGAGCAGCCAATGCTGACCGTAAGTAGTAATGCCCTCCTTGCCGTAGGCAGAAATGACGCGAGCCTTCCATTATAGTATACAATTCGAAGCTGCTCGAGGCGCGTGAGCACTTGGACCGTGCGACGGACCTCATCGAATTTCAAATTGGCTACGCAATGGTGTAATGAAGCAGCCTAGATCTTCCTGATCCGTAACGATGACAGTCGATCAGCGTCCCACATGATGATCTTATCTCTTTACCCATCTGACGTCATGCCAGCTATCCAACGCAATTCTTGCGGCCCTTACCTCTTACACCGACACCAACGGCGACTATGTCGCCAACTTTCACTGTGCAGATTACATTTGAGCGTGAGTACCTGAAATGAAGTTCTGGAGCATGACCACGTATCCAAAATAGGCGCTAAGAACTTACCCGTGGCCGACATTGCCACTCTATCCTCCGATCCATTTGTCTTGGCCACACTCTCAGTACCAGACCCGGACGTAGAACCCCTAAAATTCCGAACCCATACTGTCCACCGCAACCGACAACCGGAATGGAACTCTACCTGGTTCGTGGCTGGGGTGCCCATGTCTGGTTTCAAGCTCTCCATGCTTCTTTACGACGAAGATCCTGGGGCCAAGTTCTCCTCTGACAGACTTGGCAAGGCAGTCGCGCGGTTTGGTGGATCGCAGATGCATCAAGGTTTTGAGAGTCTCGACCAGGACTACACGTTGCAGAAACGCAAAGGCGACCTGCATCCTTATATTCTGACATACCTCACTGCATTGTTACCCGGAGAGAAGCTACTAAAGCACAATCGTGTGGTGGTGTCTGTGCGAATTGTGCGAGAGCACGAGCCGGGCGAACAGCGACTTTACACGCTTGGTCCAAGTGCGTTACACTCCCGTGCTGTATTCAGTGTCCCGATTACAACGCCCTACAGACCATTACTCGCGACACTTCTCTCCCCTCATTGGATCCATCTTCAACAGGACGAGTAAACAGAACACCGGTCAGGCTGATGGGCAACGAGACGCACAAGGGCATCGTTTGTCGGCCACCAACTTCGTGGCCAACAAGTTGCAGCTTACGGGCCCGGTCCCTGACAGCCTTCGTCATCGCTATGTTGGCTACAAACCGTTCATTGACTGGATGTTCTCTAATTCTGGGGTGGCGGGCCACATCTTACATTACAGCCTGAAAAAGCAGTACCGGACTATCTATGCTTGCGACAAACGGACTGTCTGGGGGGTCGTCGACAACACTGGGGCCAATCTGAACAATATCCGAGATGGAGACAACCAGCCACGTCGTACGACGAGCGATGGTTCTATGTTCCATGACCCCACACCCGAGTCCAGTGCCGCACTCGCCAAGCAGTTTCTGGATATGACTTCTTGGGGTGAAGGCTGGAAACTGTTCACATATGTGATCACTCTTGACAGCGGTAACGAATCTGAGATCACTGAGAAGAAACGCAGCTTGACGAGCCGACAGAATGGCGTTTCACCGAGACTGGACCCGAATTCGCCATTGATATGTTGAGCAAGCATTCTATGCATGCAGACTTGGCTCAGGAAATCGCGTACTCGGGCGAGTTTTTTGTGCGGCATATCAAGAGCGAGGACGAGAACGAGGACCGGTCACATCAACCGAGTAGTAGCAAGACACAAAGCTCCCCCGAGAAAGAGCCAGCACCGTCAGAACAACGGCCCTCCGCAGACGGTCACATCGCCCACACCTCAGATCATCCTCCCTCATCAAAGAATCCCAAGGATTACGAGCTCGTCATTGACAACGATTCGGGCACGTATCGGCCGAATAAGGATCTGCTGCCCGTATTCCACGATTGGTTAGCTGACCCACGTCGGCTAGGGGGACTTGGAGCAGTCAAGACGATGGATGGGTTCGACGAGGAGCTCAAAAAGATGAAGGAAACACGGAAGAACCTCAGAGCAATGTTGCGGAAAGGAAAGGGCGGGAATGCGGTACCAGAGAGGCTGGTACCCGCCAGAAGTGGCAGCAGTGCATTAAGCATCAGCAGCGGTGAGCTGGACGCGGACAGTATCAGTAGCCGTGAGGTCGCAGACGCCCTGCAAGAGATGGAAAGAGAAAAAGGCGGACAGTCTAGTGGAGCGTAAACTAGGAAATCTTGTACAATTTACCACGGTTGCGCTTTATGATCATTGGCTGAGAGCACTGTCCGGTCTTGTTCGCAGGGAGCCCGCGAGTGATCATGAGAGTTCGGTGGTCTCGTCCAACTATGTTTGGTCGATCTTGATCGCTAATCTGAGGCTGTGCTGAATACTGTTTGCGTTTTCCATCGTTCATGGCGCCGACAAAACCTGGGCCAACGTCCGCCTCGAGCTCCAAAGCCAAGAGCGGGAAAACGAAAAAGGACGGCAAATCACAACTCGGAGCTCCCTCCCAGCACAATCAACCCAGTCGCAAGGGCAAGAAAGCATGGCGAAAAAATGTCGACTTGGAGGAGATCGAAACGGTCATGGAGGAGTTACGAGCAGAGGAGAGGGTTACGGGGTGCGTCTCCTCCGCATGGTGCTGCTTGAGCAGATGCTCAATCCCGGTTCGTTTCCCCAGGGCCTATCTGCATAAGCAGACGGACGAACAACTTTTCGTGGTGGACGTCAAGGGAGATGAACAAGGTGTGTTAGTTCCTATCCTACTCAACTCTCGTGTTACCAACTCAAGATTTCCAGTCCGGAAGCGGGCCCCAAAATTCAAAGCTTCTCAGCTTACCTCGGCGAAAATCCTCGCGCAACGCTCGGCCGTCCCGGCCGTTGCCTCACGCACCACGTCTTCGAAGAAGAGAAAGTCTCCCCTGAGCAGCACCGACAAAGATCGCTTGCTTCGGATGGCGAAGAGGCCAAGACGCGGTCCGCTCAACACTATCCTAGATCCCACGGAACAGGGCAGCGCAGGGCAGGAATTGAGTGAGGCTGTGAAGCAGAGCGGTACCTACGATGCTTGGGAGGTGGTTGAGGCCACGGAAGTGAAGGACGGTCTGGAGACTGTTCAGCCAAAGTCGATCAAGGTACGCCCATCCAATCCATAAACCGCTCATCGTACTCAGATTGTAGGCACCGGCACATGGGCATCTTCGAGACGAAATCCACGCTCCTGCCATCTTGCAGCCCCACCAGGGAACCTCGTACAACCCCCCGTATTGGCGCACCAGGAGCTGTTGAACCAGGCGGTCGAGGTTGAAGAGAGAAAGGCAGAGAAGGCGGCACAACTGGACGCTGACAAGGTCAAATTCGAGCAGATGAGGGCCGCCGAGGCCGAGGTTGTTGAGGGGATGCCCACTGGCATGAAGTTGGACGAAGTTGTGTCGGACGAGGACAACGACGAGGGCGACGTTGTTTCGGAGCTACTCCCGAAGAAAGCGCCGGAACGCAAAACGAAAGCGCAGAGAAACAAGGCTACCAAGTTATTAGCTGAGGTATTGGTCTCTTCACTCCAGCTTGTGACTAGGCGCTGATGCTGCACTGGAGAAACGAGCTCGGATTGATTTAGCACGCAGAAAAGCTGAACATGCAATGGCTCATAACTCAAGGCAGTTGCGCAGGGCTGCGGAAGAGACTGCATCGATCCGGGAGAAGGCTCGCGCGCTCAAACGCTCCCAATTGCAAGAAAGATTGAAGCAAGGTCTGGGGGGACAGAAGCTGGGAAAGCATAAGGTCCCCGAAGGCGAAATCGACGTGCAGTTGGGTGAGGATCTGAGTGAGAGCTTGCGTGGGCTCAAGGTGCGCAGGAGCATCCATTCGTGTATTCTAATGCCAACATTGCACCCCCGCAGCCTGAGGGCAACTTGTTCCGCGATCGCTTCACTAGTCTGCAACAACGAGCACTCATCGAACCCCGCGTGCCAGTCCTGTATGTCCGGGTTTTGCCTTCGGGATATGACATTGACTGGTTCCCTCTAGACCGAAAAGGCGCAAGAATCGTGCAGTAGAGTACGAGAAACACGCGTGGAAGCGATTCGAGTGAGGGTGGGGGTAGGGGCGTAGTAGTTGTGTCCGTTGGCTCCTATACATGTGACGATGTATGATGACTCGAGATTTCAAGCCGACCCAGTTGGCCGCATAGGTTCTTGGGGCTGGGGTTGGGATATTGCGTTCCGAAGCAGCGGCGCCCGCTCTTCGTCGACCTCGTCGTCGTCACTAGGAGGCTGGCAGCAGCGACAACAACTGCAACTGCATAGATTCTCCGTGAAGCTATGCCCTGGTGAATGATATCAGGGCGTGGTCATAGGGTTGTTGTAGGACGCAACTGAGAGAGGTAAAATCGAAGCAGATGCCGGCGCACACGTCAAGGCAGGCTACACAGATTAGACCAATTATGTCGTATTCAGACATTAGGGAGGGAGAGAGGTTTGATTAACGGCGGGAGCTACTATTGTAGCCAAGCTGCTAATGCACACACAGTGATGATGATCAATCTCCATTGCGGACTTTGGGGTAGCGTCCTCCCGCTTCTATTCAGACTCGTAGTCGGCGTGTCGTTCACTTTGGGTCGACTGGAAGACGTTTCAAGGTAGGTCCTCTAGGTGCATTGGCAGGGGTCTGTAGGACTGTGTGCCACACCATGAATCGTGCGAGACCTGGTGATCGGTAGTTCCGATCTGTCTTTCTTTACACTCCGTGCGACTCGAAATCGTGCCAGAACCTAATTGCCTGAGCATCTCAATGACACTACTGGCTCAAACGACCGGCGTTCTATGGTGCAATGGCGTAGTGGTTGTAATGGCCCTAAGTCGGGAATGTGACTGGTCCCATCATCGGTAAACTCCTTGAGTGCGCTGGTTCAAGACAGGTCCCCTGCAGAAAACTTGGTGTTCGCAATCCTCTACTGCGGAAGCAGCGGCCCGGATTCGGAATAATCCGTACCTGTCGGGTCAGGCAAGCAATTGCGCAGCCCGCGGTACTTGCCGAGTTAGTCTTCGCAGACAAGGACCTGTTGTCTGTTCGCGCTGGGGAGCGAGCTGGTCACAAACTCATAATTTTTGTTGCCACTGTCTCAAATTTCTATTATGTTCCTGGTGCATTTCTTTTCCTGCCTACTTTCCTGTCGACAGGAATGGACTTGCGTTGATTGATACAGTTGCATTGTTAGATACAAAGTACATTGTACAGCAAGTCATTTCAATGCGGTGGCAAACCCCGTTGTGGCATCGCCCGACCTTTTGGTTTTGCCCGTCCTCGAAGAGAGCGAGGGATATAACCCAAGGCTGGGTTTCCGGAATCATCACCAGTGGGAGGAGCACGATCTCCGATTCCTCGGCCTCTAGCCTTACTGCCGTCAACGAACACAACATCGACATCCATCTCATGGCCGTCGGTTTGCCGGGCACCGCCGCGTCCACGAAGGGTCCGATTGCCACCACGTTCGGCACCAAAGCCACCATTTTTCCCACCGCGACCGAAGCGAACTGATTCGGGGACGAGAGAGAGCGAGTGCATCGAGTCGGTCAGAGAATCAACGCCTGACAGGGGCTGCTTCCCAACAGGAGCAGATATGGGCGGTGGCTCCTCTGCTTCTTCTTTTTCTTGTTCTTCGACGCACACATCGTCATCCTCCTCAACCAGCACATCCCGATTGTTAGGAGAGCCTGGATCGTCCCGAGACTTCCACACTGGTCGGATAAGACTCGCACCCTCGCCCCAACGACGTAGTAAGCCACCGACACCCTTGTTAGTGACTGCGAAGAAGTATTCTTTGGGATATCCGTGGCCTTGGATCAGATGAAGCCGCCTTGCTTTCGGAGTCTGGAAGAACTTGGTGCACGACGCAAGGTGGCACGCGAACTGGATCACAGCCCATGGTCAGGAAACAACGTGTACCGCAGAGACTGGAAATTACGATTTTCTCTCCCCGATCTTTCCTCACAGCAGCTAGGGGATCATGGCATTCCGTTTGATGCTGTATATGTCGAAGTTGATCGGGATTCCTACGGCACGAAAGAGAGACAAACGAGTTCCAGCAGACGCGCATCGGGAAAGACACAATCGCAGCCGCCCTCTACACATACGTGCGCATGATACGTAGCATAGTGGGATTCTAGATCCTTCGCATTAGCTATGGGCATCGGATGCTGATTGCATGTCGGCGGAAGCGTGCATAATAAAGGATGGTTGCCGGTGGAGGATGTCTCAGACGCAGTGCGCAGCGACTTGGATGGGATAGCATCCGATCCGGATGAAGATGAAGACCCCCCGGATTGGCCTCTGTGTCGTTTGAAAGAGGACATGGGGGTTGTTGAGAGTTGGCGGCGAGATGTGACGGCGTGTGACCCATTCCTGATCTCACACCACCATGTCTTCAAAACGAAAGTGGGACCAAGCCGCTCCCGACGCTAAGGATGGGGAGGAGGGGCCGGAGCTGAAGAAGCAAGAACTGACACTGGACGCTCAGGAAGCCGCCGCTCGAGCTGCCGCCATAGCCTCGAAGATTGCAGCACAATTCACCGAACTCGGCGCGGAAGAGGCTTTCGCCGAGGACGTGGACATAAACGATGTCAGGAATCGGTACATGTTGACGAAGACGAGTACACAGCAGGAGGTGCGCGGCTTGACTCGTGGCCTTGGCTTCAAACTAAGTAAACGCTCCCCGGTATAGATCAAGGAAAAGGCGGGCGGAAATGTCACCACCAAGGGCATTTGGTACCCCGATCGAACCAAGGCAACCGACAGGGACCCTGCATTGTATCTCCATGTCACCGCACGATCAGCAGAGATTTTGAAGAGGACGCTTGACACCATCCAGGAATACATAGCCATCGACATGGGGAGTCTGGTTGAAGACAAGAAGAAGGAAAAGGTGGGTCGCTGTATAGCTTCTGAAGATATCCTGTGACATGTCTCTAGCGCAAATGGCCGGAAGAAAAACTCCCTGTGGGTCTAGAGAGTATTCGCAATTTCAACGTTCGGGCCAAAGTGGTTGGGCCTAGTGTATGTTCTCGTCTCTCAGATTCTGTCTCACTTCTAAGTGACTCTAGGGATCCTTCGTCAAATACATCCAACAAGAGACACAGACACGAGTGCAGATCAAGGGCATTGGGTCTGGTTTCGTCGACCAGGAGACGGGACGCGAAAGTGACGAGCCGTTATACATCCACATAACGTGCGTTACCCAGTATGCTTCGGACGCTGACTCAAACCGCTCTTCCAGTGGGCCAGACGACGGTCAAGTCGCACGCGCCAAAGTGCTGACAGAAGATCTGCTCCTCGTAGTACGATCGGAACACGCAAAAGTTGCCATGGCTGCGCAACACGAGCAGATGGAACTGCGTCAGGCACAGATGCAGTATGCTGCGTATAGTGCTATGAGCACAGTGAGTGTCTGCTCATGGCTCGGAACCGCCTCGTCTGATGTTCGCATTCAGGGTTACTCGGCTCCTCAACCACCAGGAGCCCCGCCTCCTCCGCCGGGGGACCAGCCTCCTCCTCCTCCAGGCGGCGGTGCATCCGGCGTGCCAGCAGCAACCGATGCCGAAGCATATGCTGCGTACTGGGCTGCGTACGGTTACGACGTCAACTCGGACCAGTTCAAAGAGTGGATGTCATCCCAGCAGCAACAGTATAAAGATTATTATGCTAGTCAAGATCAAGCTCAACCGCCAGCACCGCCAGCACCGGCACCAGATGCGCCAGCACCGCCTCCTCCGCCTGCTTGAACTGCAAGTCGTATCCTGCTTGACTTTTCATGCCTTGCAGTCACGCATCCCTATCGCGACCCCCCGCCTTGCTCTGTGTCTGGCTTTGTTTGTTATCTCCTAATGCGAATATATTTTTGCTTACATGTCACTCGACCCGACGAAATTTGGCCTGCATCCAACATCTGTACATCTTCACCTGGCGCTTACGATTGAGCAACAGCCGGCGGTCTACTCCTAGTTGCACTGCAGTGAAAAGGTTGGATGGGGGCGACGCCAACAGACTGGGATGGATCCTTGGCTCTGAGCCTGGTTGTGCAGTAACGGGAACTTGTTCAGAAATAGAATCTTCTGCGTCATCTTCGTCCATCGTGGTCGATATCACTTCGGCTGCCAACGTGGGCCGAGCACCCGTGAAAAGCAGAGAAAGCTCGTCTTGATTGTGTCAAGGGGAGCTGGTGCAAGCTCGACGGTGTCTACTCACCGAGCTCAAAGAAGTACACACGGGTCTTGTCCCCTCGGATGTAGAAGTTATCGTCGAGAAGTCTCCCGGTTTTGAACCGCAGTTGGGCCATGTCGTATCGGCCATAATCCCTGAATAAGACAAGGCCACCGGGTTTAAGAATCTGGCTAAACGATCAGTTCTCTACAACAACGAACGGATAATGGCGCTCACCTTGTGCACATTCGATACCGCCTGCCGCCATTCATTGGGGTGTAGAGCACTGAACACGAAAACCATGATCACAATGTCGGCGCTCCCGGGTGCGATGCTCTCTGGCAGCGAGTCCGCTGTCAGGTCCCACACTGCAGCGTGAATTGTGCCCATGGGAGGGTTCGAATACAGTGCGTGTTGCTGACATCCGGGGTTAGATTGTTCGAGCTTGACACAGGATGCATTACCAACCTGGACTAGTTTCACAGCATGGCTCGAGTAATCGAAGGCATGTATCTCGAGGTCTGGGTTCTGGTTTGCCGAAAGAAGTGGAAGGACGGAATTTCCGGCGCCTGCAAACGTCGGAACCAGCTGACAGTGGTACGACAAGAAACGTACCACATCCAACTTCCACGATCGACGTCTTTCCTGCCTGCCACAGATAATCAAAACCTCGAAGGACGAGGGACCAGAAGCTGCGTACGCCGGGTGCCGTAGCACTGGTCAACTCACGAAACTCGTTGTGCAGCCTGGATGTATCGGCCAAAAGCGACGGCGCGCATGAAAATTGCATACCATTTCCGATCTCGGAAGAAATTGCTGGCGTTATGGCGATAGAAGTTGTCCCTGCGGAAATGGAGGATGTGGCGAGCGCAGACAAGCTTCAAGCATAACCCACCAGTGCCGAGCAGGTTTATCGTTGTACTCGTGTTTTCTGTCTTCTGGCACAGGCGCACTGCGTTGTTTGGTGAGCGATGCCGCGATGAGCTCTTCTTGTTCATTCGGGGGCGGAACGTGATCCCATGCGTTTCGAGACCACACGTCGGATTCATCCGTCAGAAACCGCGATCCCCAAGGAGGCTTGTCCGATTTGACGTCATGGACGGAGGAAGTTTGCTTTGGAGGATTCGATGCAGCGCTCGACGATCCCTCTTCTAGATCCATGGTTCAAGAGGTGAGTTATGAGTTGATCGGAAAGATCATTGATGGCGAAAACTGATCGTCCGTTCGAATCATCCTGACATTGCTACTTGTCAGAAACCATTCGATATGGCGTGTACCTCGCTCGCGCTAGAGATGCGATTTTAGCATGGTTTAATCTAAGGGGAAACGTCGGGCTTACTCATGTAAACAGTGGGCTTGATTTTTTTTTTTGATCATGATTCGATCATGTGACCCGTGCATGAAAATGACCTCACGTGTTCGACTGGTAGACTCCAGTCGGTTGGAAAGTGGTCACAGAGCTCCATATTCAGCAATGGGTCAAGCCGTGATGCGACTCAGAGTTGTGCAGGCGATTCTGCCAATCAAATGAGCTCATGTCTGGGAATGTGCATTCCTCATCAGTGTGTCCTAAGAATATCTGATACTTCACGTGCCTTGAGGTACTTGGTTGCGTGTCTCACTCAATCGATAAGTACCAGATGTAATCAAGTGTCTGAGGAGCTGTCTGAGGAGACCTGTTTCCTGTTTCGGTGCCATCAATGATACCGATGGCCTGATCGGCACTGCATTCAGCGGCTTGATGCCAATCAGACAACTTGTGCTGCTTGCGTGCTACAACTACTTACTTACGCCTGGCGCGTCCCGCAAGTGACCATGAGTGATGGAGAACTCGACGATCTTTACGCCGAAGTCTGGGAATCTTTCGCGCCTACTCCGAACAGCACCAAGAGCGACGATTACCCTATGACAGCCACATTAGATTCACCTCTACTGCCGGATGAGGGACGGACAACTTGTACATCTTGCGCGCTTTGTATACTTGGGTCATTAATTTGCGAATTGAATCCATTGCAGATACCCATGGTCGACTACCGGTGTTCAACGCAAGTCCCAGCGGTCCCGCTCCCCCCTCGCCTTCGAGAAATTCGAGTGCCAGCTCCCGTCCTCCGCGGCCGCTTCCCAAGCCGCCTGGAGCCATATCTACGCCCCCTATTCCTCAATATCAGACGCAAGTGCCATCCGAAGCTCCACAGCGGCCTTCACTGCCGATGTATCCGAGCGCCGATGCATACAAGCCATTTGGCGGTCCCATCCTCGAGGCACCTTACCTGGAATCCCCAGCCGCTCAAATCACCAGCTCTACGTCGTCATTGGAATACTGGGAAAATCCTGTTTCCGCAGCTGAAGTTTTCCGGCCGATGTCCACACCCTTGATTGTGCCGCCACCGCCGCCGCCGCTACCGCCTCCTCCCGGCGCGATGTCGCCTGCTCCTCGCTATCCAGCCGAGAACAACAGCATTGAAGGGCCGATGAGGAATGGAGGATCACCGGTTCCGCAAGTCTACCATCCCGTGTCCCGTTCGTGCCGCCCTAGTCGATACCATGATACTCGCTGACTTGCAATCAGACGGCATTCCCAATGGATATACCGCAAGGGATGGGGATTTAGAGAACGATCTGTATCGCTACACGCATGCGGACCGGGACGATCCCTTCTTCTCATTCGGCGAATCGTCCAGCAATGTCGCAGGACCCAGTAACATCTCGCGCAGTCCCACAGGTCTCCTACAAGCCATCTCCAACTACAACGAGAATGAGCGTACGCCTTACGATGGGCATGAAGATGCGACGGAGGAAGGGTACTGGGAAGAAGACGAGGAAGAAGACGAATCGAGATTCATCAACTTCTCCCTGCTCTCGCACATGGCAGTCCAGTTTCGGGATAAGGTGCCTCGGGGGACGCACGTCAAGGGGAGCATCCCATATCCCAATGCGTTTACGGGCAAGGATATTGTGGTACGTATCGCATTCATTCCGGCTTGCTGTGGCGTGATTGTGTGCAGAGTACCATCCAAGCACAAATACAACGGGATTTGGCGATCAATCACGGGATCTCGACCAACGACCGTCGGGCAGCGCTCCAAGTAGCCCGCAGTCTGCAAACACAACTGTTCTTCTACGAAGTCGAATGGGGCGGGCGCGTACTGCAGGATGGAGTCGAGGACGTCTACATGTTCTTGGATGACTTTGAGGGTCTGTCGGACATGACGCCCGACCGCGAGGAACTCCCCACCGCAGTGATCACGATGTTGACCAAGTGCTACTCGCCCAGCTGTGGCGAAGGCACTGCGTGTTATTCTTTCTCGTGTCCGACCAGGGTAGGCGCGCCCAACTTTCAGCGAAGGGCTCTGCGCTGAATCGAGTCTCTGATCAGGGCAATTCGATCATCATGCAGATTCCGGGGCCTGCGGAAGCGCCACTGGGTGGAACGAGGGAAGCGTGGATCAAGACCGTCCCTCCCGAAGTCCTCAGCTCTCTCCCGGAGAGTGAAATCAATCGCCAGACGTACGAGCCCAGTCTACCGATGGACTCGAGCTGACGCCTAATCTCAGCATCATCCACAAACTGATCAACAAAGAGGAACAATATCTACTAGATCTCGATACCGTGGAATCACTCTTCATCCGGCCCCTGCGAGCAGCCAACCCTCCGATCATCCCGCAGGCAAGCTGGAAGACTTCCTTGACGAGGTGTTTGGGAATATCTTGGATCTGCGAGAGTGTAACAGGCGTTTGTTAGAAGTCATCTATGTCCGGCAGCGGGAGCAGGCGCCTGTCATCCAACGCATCGGGGATATCTTTCTTGACGCCGCGACCGAGTTCAGGCTGGCTTATCCCATCTACGTCGGCCATCATCCGCTCTCCGAGAAGAGACTGAAGGAGGAGCTCGATCAGAACCCCCAGTTCAGGTTGTTCGTCGAGGTGATGGCTCATACTTTCTTTCTGACCTTTGGCTGACATGAAGCAGAGATGTTCTCGGAACACGGCCCGGTCCGGGGCACGCATGGATCTCAAGCACTTCTTGAACAGGCCATCGGAGCATCTGCAGAAATACCCTGTGCTGCTGGATGCCATATACCGCGAGACCGACCTGGGGAACCCAGACGCGGAATACCTCCAGGAAGCCATCCTCGCTATCAAGAATCTGCAGAGTGTGGCCCAGTTGCGCACTTTCCAGACTGCCATGGGAAAGGGGACGCCTGGGAAATGGGAGTGGCACGATCTGGTCTCCCCGGAAATCAGACAGGGATTGCGCAGGGAGGAAACTAAGCGGCAATCGTGAGTGTCTCTCTACCACGTGCACCTTGACTGTCTGAAGCCTTCCCAGGATCATATTCGAGCTGATCAAGGGCGAAATGTCGTATGTCAAGGATCTTGAGAACATCGAAGTGGTCAGTGATGCGATCCTGACGAGCATGGATGCTCATTCGGTGCAGATGTATATTCGCCCGCTCAAAACATCGAATCCGCCGATTGTGCCGACGGACCGACTAGATCAGTTTATTAAAGATGTCTTCCACAACTACACTCACCTGCTGACCCATCACCGCAACCTCGTCGACCAACTGCACCGCATCCAGTGTGAGCAACACCCGAGGATCCGCAGTATCACAGAGCCCGTCCTAGACGCCGCGCTGAACTTCAGGGATGCATATCTGGACTACATCCCCAACTATCCCATTGCGGCCTATCGCATCGACGACGAGATGGGCAACAACCCGTCGTTCCGGTCGTTTGTCGAAGTGGGTTGGATGGATCCATCGGTGGATCTGAGCTGATCTGTTGTCTGATCTAGGTCACGACGCGGCATCCCGATGCGCATCGACTGGACATGAAGAGCTTCATCAACCGACCTATCCCCCGACTACTCCGCTATGAATTACTTCTCAGAGGTATCCTGGAGGAGACACCGCCGGACCACAGCGACCGGCAGTCTATCCCGCAATTGCTCGAGATCATCAAGTCGATCGGGAAGGAAAGCGAGCCAGGAGTGACCTCTGCGAAACAGAAAGTCGAGTTGTGGCGATACAACTCGAACATCACTTTCAAAGCAGGCGAATGGATTGTGTGTCGTCCCCAGCTATCGTTTTTGCAGACAGATGTTGATTACGTGCAGGACATGGATCTGCTCGACGAGCGTAGATTCTTGATCTACTCGGGCAAATTGTTGCGCCAACCGGAAAGCGGCAGGGCATGGAACGAAGTCTTTGTCCTACTCTTCGACAATTATCGTAAGTTGGAATCATTCTAGGGCAAGTTACAGCAGCTGACGGCTCGCTTGATAGTGGTGATGACCAAGCCGAAGGAGAAAGACGGCGTGACGAAGTACAGTGTTGTCAAGCGTGTGAGTCTTTCTGTGCTACGACTCGTACTTAGTCATGTTTCAATACCGCTCGACAGCCGATCCCCCTCGATCTACTCACGCTGGTGAACTTCAACGACCCACCGACGCAACGCAGCGCCGGTCTGCTTCGCAATCTTCGCGGGGACCGGACCGGGGCCGACGGAGCAGCTCCAGCTGAGGGACCCGTCGACTCGCGTTCGGTGTACCCTTGCACGATCCATCACACAGCCCGTGTCGGCGGCTCGCATCTGCTGTACGCCGAATCAGCCCAAGCGCGGTCCGACTGGAAGCAGAAGCTGGACGAAGCGCTCGGTCTCAGAGCGGCTGTCCAGGACTCCAACAAGGTCTTTGAGATCGAGACGCTGAGCGCAGAAACATTCTTGGTCCCGTCTCTTGCGACACCGGCTACTGCTCCAGCATATCACGAAAACTCGTTGACCGGAAAAGTCACTTGCTCTGTTCCGTTCAGTGCGTCCTCGCTTTGTGCCGTAGCGAGTCGCAGCTCACAGACCTTCGTGCAGACACCCCGGATGGTCGAGGACTTGTCGCCATCGGCTGCGCAGAAGGTGTTTGGATCGGCTTTCGCCACGACTCTCGATGTAATGTGCCTTTTGGTTCTGTTGCGCGCTGGATCTGAATGCGGCTGCAGCGATGCGACGTGTCCTCCATCTTAAAATGGTGACCCAATGCGCGATGCTGGAAGACTTTGGGATCTTCTTGGTCCTCGCGGACAAGTCTCTGTTTGCGTATCACATCGAGGCCCTGGTCCCGTCCTCGCCGTCGAGCGCCAGCGCGAGTCAGACTCCGCAGAAGCTGAACGGGAATGTGCAGTTCTTCAGCGTGGGCAGTCTGATGGGACGGACGCTGGTGATCTTCATGAAGCGCAAGAATCTGGACAGCATCTTCCACGTCGTCGAGCCCATCATCGACAAGATCAACGAGCGCCCGAAGGCGCCGAACGGGCTCGGAAGTCGCTTCGGGTTTCGGCAACCCAAGGCTGATTGGTTTCGAAGCTACCGGGATTTCTTCCTCCCTTCCGAGTCATATGACATTATGTTCCTGAAGGCCAGAATTGCCATTCTGTGCACCAAGGGCTTCGAAATCATGGATCTCAACGAGTGGGTACTGCCTTCTTGACGTTGTTTTTTGCTAACGTCGTGACATTTGCAGCTTCAAAAGCGTGACGATCCCCCAGCGTGACGACCCGAAGCTGGCTGCTCTGGCCAAGCGATGTGACGCATGCCGGCCGCTGGGGATGTTCAGGTCCAACGATGAAGAGTTCCTGTTGTGTTACACGGGTAAGTTCTGTTCCCGAGGGACGACGATTGTCCTCACCCCCTGCTAAGAGTTCGGTCTCTATGTCAACAAACACGGCGATCCCAGCCCATCACGGCCGATGACAACAGTGGAATGGGAAGGCAAGCGCCGAGCAGCACGTTCCAGGTCCATCAGATGCTGACTCAGCATCACATCAGGCACGGCTGAGCGCGTCGCGTTCCATCCGCCGTACATCCTCCTGTTTGACACGCGCTTCATCGAGATCCGCGACGTCGAGACGGGCCGGCTTGCGCAAATCATCCAGGGCAATGACGTCAGGTGCATCTGGGATGGCCAGGGCCAGAATGCAGTCACGCACGAGCAGGCGCTCGCAGACCACCGCAACGGGGTCCAGCAAGAGGCGCGGGTGCATGCCGTGATGAATGTGCCCGAGCCGGCGCCGCAGCCCGGTGCGCCCCGTTTCGGGCCGAGGGCTGTCGCGCAGCACGTCTTTGAGCTGCTGCCGACGGTCGCCCTGTACCTGCCCGGTGAATTTGTTTTCTCGAGCGCCGGATGCCCGAAAGAGAAACTGATTGCTCTCTCAGGGTCCCTCGCGAGCCCGAGCAGCACGACATACTTCAGCTCGTCGTCGCCGCCGCGCTCGCCGCAGCTGCGGCCGAACTACCGCTGACTGTGGGCATCCCGAGAAGGCCTCTGATAGCCGTGCATGCCATTGTGTCCGAGCTTATCTTCCATTTGTACACCATCTCACACAACACTGTTTTCTGGCAAGTGTCTATTTTAGCGCCGACCAACGTTGTCATGAGTTCTGTTGCACATCAGCCCGGGATCAGCCCCTAAGGAACAGCCAAATGGATAAACGGATTCGCCTGACTGCTTCCACTCCTGTGACCGTTTGATGTGGACAGGGGCCAAGAAGCGCCAGTGCGTCGGCAGGGTAGCCATATTAGCGAGCTTATAAGTAGTCTCCGCCCGCCCTCCGGCTGTTTTTTCCCATTCATTCGATAGGGAGTCGAAGATGTTGACCCGGACACTCGCTTTCACTACGCTCCTTGCCTCGGTCTCTGCTACTCTCATCACAAATGACGCGTCCGTAGTCGCTGGAAAGAAATTCGACTATGTGCGTCGTCCCGCCGTTTGATGTCAACTGTGACACAGTTCTGACCCGATCCTCCAGGTCATTGCTGGTGGAGGGTACTGTGCTTCCTTGCGTGTTATCCTGCGAGTCTCATGGCGACTGCTTCCGTAGATTGTCGGGGATCGTCGTCGGCACCAAGGTCCGTGCGCATCCGGGGTAGATCTCTGTCTGCTGATCCACGTCCAGCTGAGCGCCAAGGGACACTCGGTCCTGATGGTCGAAGCGGGCAAGAACCTTCCCGACAACCCCGCGATCTACAACGCGGAGCTGCGCGGCCACCTGAAGGACGACCCCGCCACGGACTGCAACTGGCACTACACCGCCAGCGCAGACAACGGAACGGCGCTCCCCGTCTTGATCGACTCGGGCAAGTGTGTCGGGGGCTCGTCTTCCATCGTGCGTGCTCCTATATGTCCCCCGATTGTTCGTGGCTGACCGCCGCCCAAACAGAACGGCATGGTCTGGTACAGGCCCACGGCCGCAGAGCTCGACGCGCTCGAGACTCTGGGCAACCCCGGCTGGAACGCCAAGTCCCTCTATCCCGTGCGTCCGCTCGCGTCTGCGTGTCGCTCCCTCGCCCGCTCACCTCACTCTCTCTGCAGTATATGACCGCCATTGAGCACAACATCCCGCCCACGGCCGCGCAGCGCGCCGACGGCGCCAACCTCGTCCCCGCGGTGCACGGCTTCAACGGCCTCGTCAACGTGTCGTTCCCCGTCCCGATGCGTATCCCGGAGGGCCAGGACATCTACAAGGCCGCGCTCGCGCTCGTGTTTGGGATCCAGGACAGCCCGGACCTGAGCTTCCGAAACGGCAGCATCTCCGCGTCCACGTGAGCGCTCCACTTCTGCCCCCCTTATGTACCACGTTTGATCTGACATGGACATACCCCTCTCTCCCTCCCTCCTCCAGGTCATGGACGATCTGGTGGGACCCTGTCGCGAAAATCACGCGTCGCGCGTCGGCCGCCTACTCCCTGCTCTACCCCCAGTCCCAGCAGCGCAAGAGCCTCATCGTGCTGACCGAGCACAAGGTCGCGCGCGTGCTCTTCAAGGGCACCAAGGCCACGGGCATGGAGTTCGGCCCGACGGACGGCGGAAAGCTGGTGTCTGTCGGCGCCAAGCGCGAGGTCATCCTGGCTGCTGGAAGTCTGGCGGTGCGTGCTGTTCCGTCCCCTGTTTCGCCCACGTGCTCATGTGCTACCGTAGACCCCTGCCATCCTGGAGCGATCGGGTGTCGGTAACGCTACGTGAGAATGGTTTTCGCGTGCATTCGATGCTGTGCCCACTGTTCATGGCAGGTTCCTCAAGTCCATGGGCATCGAGCCGGTCGTCGACCTCCCCGGTGTCGGCCTCAACCTCCAGGACCAGCCCGGTACCGGTCTCTCGGCCCTGGTCGACAATGTCAACGCGACCAACACCGAGCTCATCGACAACGTACGTCGCTCACCACTGGTGGCTCGAAGCTTTTGAACCTGACCCTGCCCCCAGCGCAACATCTTCGCCCCGGTCATCACCCTGCTCAACATCGACCAGCTCTTCGGCGCGAGTACGTCGTTTTTCGCATCGTGTCACCTCACTCCCTCATTGACTGCTTCCAGGGGCCAGCAACATCTCTGCTGATCTCCAGTGCCAGGTCAAGAAGCGTGCCGAGGATGCCATCGCCAGCGGCTCCGAAGTCAACCTGCGCGGCGCGCTCGAGCTCTTCAGCGTCGTCACCGATCTCATCACCAAGGCCAAGCAGCCCATCACCGAGCTTGTGGGCGAGTCTTACCCGGCTGTCATGACTGCTGTCTTCGTGCGTCCCTGCTTTGCGTGCGGTTTGCTCATTGGACGACGCTGAATGGTTGTGCAGTGGCCGCTGACCCCGTTGTCTCGTGGACACATCCACATCCAGTCGACCAACGTACGGGTTGTTTCGCGCTTGCTTTTTCCAGAGCGCTATAAGTCCTCTCGCAGTATACCGATGCGCCCCGTATCACTCCCCGGTTCCTGACCGATGAGTTCGATGCAAGTTGTCTTCTAGTCACATTCAAGCTGAAGGGCTCACGTTTCCGAACAGGTCGACACTGCCGTGACGATCTCGAAGCGCGCACGCGCCATGTACGAGTCGGCGGCTTTCGCGCCCATCATCGCTTCGGCCGTTGTTGACGCCGTTGCTGCTAACGCGACCGATGCCGAATGGGCTGAGTGGTACAAGGGCAGCTCGTTCGTAAGTGTCCTCCGTAGCGATCCCTCGCTCGCATTCCTCACCAGCATATACAGGGTGCCTCGCACTGGCTCGGCTCCTCGTCGATGCGCCCGCGTGAATCCGGAGGTGTCGTCTCTCCCGAGCTCGAGTGCGTCTTACTATCTCATCATCACGCGTCTTCCAATGCTGACACACACACTCACCTGCAGGGTCTATGGCACGGACAACCTCCGCGTCGTCGATGCGAGCATCCTGCCCTTCCAGATCACGTCGCACACCATGCCCGCCGTCTACGCCATCAGCCAGAAGGCCGTGGACCTGATCCTCGCGTGAGCGCCGCCGCCAACACCCACCCGGCTCCCTTCGTCCCACCCTTCCTTCTCGTCACTCGTTCCATCATCGTACAGCAGCACCAGGCATCCCCAGTCGGCGTCGTTTTTCCGACGGGCGATGCCGCGTGCCTTTCTCTCTCCGTTCCCGTGTATGTTCTGGGCGGCTGCCCGTGTGGCATAATAGTTAGGTCCAGGACGCGCGTCCTGGTTTTGTAGATAAAAGTTGTCAATTCTAGAGCACACAATCATACCGTTCGTTCGTCGTGTAGTAAAAAAGGACTGGTGCTTGTTTCGCTGTCTCATGGTTGTGGGTCCAGCGTCTCTTGTCCGAGTCTTGGTTTCCTCCGTCAGAAGAAGGGCGCCAGATGAAATAAGTATCCAGCGTGGACGCGTGATTTTGCTTGGTGGGTCCATGCTGTCAGTGCCTTGACATTCATCTGATTGCTCTTTCGCTGTCCGTCCATTCGAATCACGATCACGCTGGGAGGATTTTGCACGTATCCGGTGCTTCCATAGAGAATACAAGCCAACCAGATACAATTAACACCAATCAGAACCTCAGTCCTACAGGTTCGCCAACTATGTGTGAAGTATGTATTTTCCCCTGGAATAAAGTCACGATACGGTGATGCGAACACGCAGGCAAGACTGACCGACCACCAGGCTCTTACAGGCCCTTACTCGTCCTTCTTGGTTCCGGCAGGACGCTTCTCCGCCTCTGTGATCGCGGCGTTGTCCGTCTGGGGGTTCGCTGCGCCGGCTGAATCACCATGTCGTCAGACACACCGACGGATCTCGAGGGACGACTGTATGACGACGCACCAAACATGCTCGGGGCGGCTTTCCACGGCCGCTTGAGGTCGCCCTCGGCCTTCTGTCCCAAGATGTGCACCTTGACCGGGATGGCCTCGAAGGCGCCCTTGAGGCCCATGATGGACTGGATGAACAGCGGCTGCGTGTACTTCATGTACCCGTGGAGGAAGCCCATCATGGCGATGCCCATGTACACCGAGCGGAGCTGGAGGACGGTCAGTCAGGTCAGGCACAGGGAGCGCAGGGCGTCGCGACACACAAGCTTAGACGTCTCCGCAAGATCGTAGTCCCGCACGGTCGTGGTGATGAGTTTGCCCTCCTCCTGCGACTGTTCCGACGTGGCACACGTGAGTTGCGCGTAAAACACCGTGCAAGGAAAAGACTCGAACCAAGGGACTCGGCGGCTCCACTAACGCGCAGAGAAAATCAACACGACTGAATGCAGGCACGAGACCAGGAAACCACGTACCATATTTGAGAACGGTCTGGTCATTCTTGCGCTTGATCTGCCGCCCAGTCAGCCTTCCTCGCGCACGCACGACGGTCAGACGGAGTGCTCACGGCCAGGGAGATGAAGTAGTACAGCGCCAGGACGGCGACTTGGACCCCGACATACGCAATACGGGTGTACGTCAGAATCTGTGGGTCGTCGAAGTTGATTTTCCTGGCCACTGTGCTGGTATTAGGCTCGGCCCCAAAAAACTAAAGTGAGCGAAGGCACATTGCATGGCACCGAGCGAGATAACGAGGTTCTGGACGGCGGGATTCATGATGAGAGTTGGAGAGTCGAAAACCGGTGTTTGCAGCTGTTTTGTGGGCACGTATCTTACACGTCGTCGACTGACCATCCATTATCTGGTTTTTAGAGTACAGTAGTTGAAGAACTAATAAATAGATTCGGTTACTCTACATAGGAGGATGTGCATAGTGGAGCCCTCCCCTCTTCCCGTTCACTCATTCCTCATCCTCGAACCGGAGAACCTGCGCGTCTTCGTCGACAGGAAGATTGCGATAACCTCTGCGATTCGGGAACCGTGTTCGGAACCGCGAGGTCGCAGTTTCCCAGGCAATACCAACCATGCCAATGACAAACCAAGGAACCGAAGCGAGAGTATCCAACATTCCTCCTGGCTGGTGGAAGTTCGAGTTATCTCCTCCCGGAAGTCGGATACTTCTACGCATGGCACATTAGGAAAAAGTAAAACAGGCTAAAGCAGAGGAGCTTACCCTCGAGCAAGACCCCTGGACTTGTAGTACCACAGCCCAACGGTTGTAGCAAACGCGATCGGGAACAGGAAGACAAAGAACCAAAAGAAGAAACTGTGCCCTGCGATGCCGGGGCACCGGTGCTCAGGGCCACGATCAGGGCGGTCGCCACCCTCACAGCTCGAGTACGAAATCTTGCGATAGGGCGTCCGCTCGTACCAGTACTCTTCCCCGTTCCGGCACGAGTCGTCGTCCGGTAGAGGCGTTGTCCCTGGTGCAAGCACACAATTGTCATGCTCATCCTTAAAGTAGTTGAATTCGCTGCAGACTTGGTTAGCACACGCGACATCTGGCCAAATGGGTGACGCACCATTCGAAATCAGACCGAACGCAGACGCAGTTCTTCTCGATCCGCTCCTGAGCCTTATCCTGCTGCCCAACAACGCAATTTGTATCTCGCACGCGTCTGTGATAGAGAGTCTGATAAGATGGTTAGTACACGGTTCTGACAAGAGATGAAGGTAAGACCTGACGGCCGAAGAGGCACTGTTCTGTCCGTTCTTCGCTCGGGCTCCACAGCTCAAAGTCATCGTTACCAGGATTTTCGATGTTGAGGACGCATTGCCTCGATGTAAGGGCAGTGAAGTCAAGATGAACAATGGTGGTGGCAGACTGGCGACCCATGTGACCGATTAGATTGAAACGGCGGCTGGTATCGGACGGCACGGTGACAATCGACTTGATGCGCATCTTCTTTTCGGAGAACTTGTACTCCCTCCAATTGAGACCTTCATCCGTGCTGAACAGCACATGGTCTGTTGGCTCCTCATCGTTGGCCATGACCAAGATAGACCCCGAGTCACCAAACTCCCAGAGATGGGCATCTTTGTGCACCTCCTCCCATGTGAATCCCGCGTCACGACTGAGGAAGGTGTCGCTTTGGTCGTATGGAAGGAGATGGTCTCCAACGTTGCCGACTGCCATCAGCAGTCCGACGATGGAAGGGCTGCTGTAAGTGGCTCGCGGATCGGGGCGTTCAGTGTAACCATGGATATGCAGCGAGCAGCCCGTGCTTTTGCAGTCGTACTTTTTGCCGTGCGAGTCGACCGCTGGCGCAGTGAGTTGTTTCCAAGTACCGCCTATTCGCAGAATGTCAACATCAGGAGAGTCAAGTGTGTCGACACATACCGTCGTTGTGCGTGATTCTAGACTGTAAGGTCTTGCGCCCTGTCAGTGCAGCTTCGTCGGGATTCGAAACCACATTGATCAGTGCAATGCCATCCAATCCGATCATTTTCTCAAAGTCGACAAATCCACGCTCGTCTCGGTTCACGTTCTCCACGGAGAGTCCGAAATAGGTGCCGTTTGAGTTGGACTTGAGGATGTTGCCCCAGTACGGGTGCGGCGCCTCTGACATGGTCATGTGCAGGAACAGAGAGCCCGTGCTCGATTCCAAGACAGTGTAAGCCTGTCGAGGACGTGACGATTCAGTGCTGACCAGCGAATGGACAAGGAAACACTGACATGAGAATCGGGATGCATGCTGGGAGGGAACATTCCTGGTGCAAATTGCACACCATCCATAGATACCTGCAGATCCAACGACTTCTTCTCTGGAAGCACCTCGGCTACGATCAAGAATTCGGAGAACTTGGCAAATCCAACAACTCGTTCAAACAGCTGCTTCTTCCGCGTGAAATAGCCTTGGCCCTCAACCAAAGCCAATGGGTTCCCGCCCCCGAACAACCGCTGTGATCCTTGCTTGTCCCGGTATGACTCGCAGAGAATCTCAGTGGGATCGGCGTTGAGCTTGCCATCCTTTGCCCAGGCGCAGTTCACCACATAGTTCTCCACAAAAGTCCAATGCCGCCCATTGTCACGTGTATACTGAGCTTCTGCGTGGCAGTTGATGGGCAGGGAACCCTCGCAGTCGACGTTTCCGACCCAGATCAACGAGTCATCAGAGTCGGGATGGAATCGGAGCACTTGGCCGCGGAATGTGTTTGGCGGACTCGGAGCCATAAACTCGTTCCAAGTCCGTCCGCTGTCTGTTGTCGAATAGAACTTTTTGGTGTTGGTGATCAGGTAAGCGCGATCCGGGCTGTATTTGTGATGGTAGAACGCCATAAATTTATCGTTGGGCATCTTCTGGTCCCATGTGTAGCCTTCGTTGCTGGATTGCCAGATACTGCCGTCTCGAAGGCGGGCTAGCATAGTCTGGGGAGCGTTAAATGATACATTCCCAAACAAGACGGGTGGTCGACGAACCGTAGATTTCTCAAAGTAAGCATGCTGCGTGATTTCGCTCTTGAATGTGAACTGGAGGACTCCGTCAGCAAGCAAAAAACGAGATCCAAAGATAGAGAACTCCACCGTTTGATGAACTATGTCCCCTTCAGCGGGTTGAGCTGAGAAACGCGACGGTGAGCACCACTGCCTGCATGTAGAATAGGACACCCACCTTGCGAACAAGGCTTCTCAACTGGCTCATCCTTGCTTCCACCGGTACAAGTGTTTCCGGGGATCTTGCGGAAGCCAGAGGAACCCATGTAAGTCTGATCCGGCGTTTTACACAAGCCCGCCTCGATCGGTTCAGGCCCTGCTGGCACGCATTTGTCACCGTCCTTGATGAAGTTGTAGTCGCATTCGTAATCGGCGTCTGTGCACGCGCAAGAGTCCTCGTGGACGACAGGGTCCGTGAACTTGTCACCGACGTAACAATCCACGTCCGGTTTCCGCCGGCGATACCATTGCTGCAGCAACGCGAATGGTCAGGGACTCAAGCAGCAGAACAGAGAGACAACGGCGGACCTTGTGTCCCATAAGACATTGGCTGTCATGCGTCCGTGCATACCATTTCTCAAAGTCAGAATCGCCGCATTTGCGTTGACGCGTCTTCGCGAAATCCAAAAACAGGGTGACGTATTTGCCAATGCCCCCGGTTTGGTCTTTCCGCGCAACTTGTCCAAGCAAGATGAACTTCTGTGAGGTCGAGTCCGGAAGTGTCACGAGTGCACGCGCACGCAATTTGATACCGAAATCGTAGGTTTCCCTGAAAGAATCCGTGTCACTTCAAGAAGCAGGGTGTGAACGATGTACTCACCATTTGAGACCGAGGTTGAGAGAGTATTTGAGCGAGCTGACTCCGTCTTCGTCATTGACGGCCACCAATATACTGCCCGAGTCCCCAAAGGCATATTTGTGGGCATCTTTCTGAATCATGGTCCACGTGACTCCACCATCCGAGCTCAAAAACGTGTCGCAGTCCTCGTAGGGAAGAAGATTAGGCCCAATCGAGCCCACACCCATCACAAATCCAGGCGCAGGAGACGAGAAGATGCGGCCAAAGTTGTGTGCATCGGTGACTGAGTGGAGGTGCAGCGAACATTCCTCGAGCCTGTCGGTATTACAGGACACGGACTGGCCCGAACTTGTCTTGGACGGTGCGTGGATAGGCGTCCAGGACCGGCCATCATCGAAAGTGATCACAGACTTGAGCAGTTTGGCCTGGCCCCTGCCCTCCACATCCTGCGCGTTCGAGACGACATTCGCTATGCCAATACCTTCGACACCATAGATACGTTCGTAGTCCACGAAGCCCCACTGGTTCCGATTCGTGTCCTTGAGACTTTCCACGAAGAACGTCCCGTTGGAATTGCTGACAAACAAGGTACCAATCGCGCCTTGATCTTGCAAAACGACATCAACAGCCAGAGAGTGAGTCGTGGATTCGACAAGAGTATATGCGTTCTCGCGTAACGTAGCGGACGACGCATGTGGGAACCGTGCCTTGGCCCAGGTCTTGGTGTCGAAAGTCACGTACAGCAACATATCTCCCGACGTGTGGGGAGACATGTCCTTCAATGCAACGACGGCAAATTTGGAGACGATAGCGAATGCAACAACACCCTTCGCGTCCTTCCCGATCCCCAAGTCCTCCACTTTCTTCTCCTTGGCGAAGAAGTCTGTGCTGGAATACAGCCGTGAAGAGCCAAGAGAGTGCCCATGGCTTGTCATTTCCGTGTCAAAAGCGACACAGTAGATGAGGTTAGAATCGGCTTCGTGTTTGAAGTCTGCGCTGCTGTGAGCAAACACACACTGAGACGTCTCAGAGAGCATCCGCCGGGGCGTAGTACTGAAAGCATCCGTAGTTACATAAGTCTGGGGACGCGAATAAGGATTAGCGGAATTATGAGCGTGATCAACTAGCTTGCCTCGTCGTGGCAGACCGAGTTCCAACCAGACTTGGTGCATGCGGTGCCTTGGAAGAGTATGTATCCGTAGTTCTTGGGGTCCGAATGGAAGGAGAGTGGCTTCGCAACGGGCGCAGCTGCGATAGGGACCTCGAATGATCTCCAAGTTTTGCCTCGGTCATCTGTTCGGTAGTGGGTTTTGCCACGCGTCAAGACAAACGCCTATACAAGATGAGCGCACATCTAATGTGTTGAAACGTTGGCGCACGTAGGAGTTGTCGAAGGGGTGTTCGATGACAATTGAGGCTGCGCCCTTCGGTATGTCCTCGGCGCGTTTCCACGACTTGCCCTCGTCTTGCGACACGTATACGTCGCCTGTCATGGCATCGTGATATATTGCGGACTGAACATGGTTATCGGGGCAGAATGAGAGTGTCAGAGGTACGACATACGACGGTATCTTCGAAATAAAACAGTCGTGCTGGGAGATTTTCGAAGGATGACAGGGTGTGTTCAGGGTTTTGCGCAACCAAGACATTCGGGAGAGACAGAAGCAGAATCAACAGTGTGCACACTGTTCTGTGCATGGCGGAAAGCATGGCGCCACGTACGCACTTGCACAGGCTGGCTGCGCACGACGGTGACTTGTGGTGAGCGCGTCAGTGGTGATGAAGACACGTGACTACACTGCCACAGCCTTCATTCGCTTGGCCTCTCAATTGTCAAATGATTAACTGTAATTGCATCATCATCGCAACCGGTCCCTTCTCTTCGAGTTCCCATCTGCTTCCAGACACAGGGCCTTTCCAGTTCGAGCCTGTAAACCACGTTTGCAGTACTTGTGTCCTGGATTCTGTTTGGCTCCGACCGTTCCGTGGGATAATATTGATAGCATCTGTAGCCGTAGCAACAAATCTCAGGCTTTCCTTTTTTTCTGGACTTTGCTCAACAAGATTTTCTCAGTGGGCCGGGATGTGCTCGGGTGTAAATGGGCCCTTGTTCTCTGTCGAGTCGAGTGAACAGGAAGGACAATAACGTCACCAAGTACACGGGACCAGATGCCCGATCGATCGACGCTCGTGGACCTACAGTACTCGGCATATTCCGTAAAGTGATAAAAGAGCCGACTCGAGCACTCTCTGATCGCCACACTCACTTTACTCGCCCTACAACCTATCACTACCCATGCATCACCCCGAGTTCTATGACGCGACTGCAATGGACGTCCCGGAAGAAGATTTGGGCTTCTTCATCATTGGTTTTGCACCTGTGGGCGGCCTCTTGTTCGGTGCGCGCAAAGTGGCCGCTTTTAGTTTCGCGTTTCCCAAAGTTTTTCCAGAGGACGCAGTCGACCTGAATAGCTACCGGCATGATGAGCGCGAGATCGTCGATCTTCTGGACGAACCAGAGCTTGACGCGCTGCAACCATTAATCGCCTCGCCACCGCTATGGGATGAACCCTTGCCAGCGCTCCTTGATTATGAAGCTGAAGAAATACTCGAAGAACTGCGAACCCTCAAAATCAAATCTGCCTCTGAGCTTCGTCGCCACGGACTCCCCATCCTCAACATTATGCCACCCTCCAACTCGGGACAGACATGGGCGACAACACGCTCGCCATCCAAAGAGAACTTTTCGCCGCTGGATGGCTCGTTGTCAAGATTTCGCGACAGAGCTTCAGGTTGTAAGTGTGCCACTCTCGGGATTCGTTGGTGCGCTGACAATCTGTCAGTAGCTCGACGCGCGCTCAATACAGGACTTGGTTCTCCCGAGATCAATCGCGTGTTCTGATCCGTTCTGTCTGTTCCAAGATTTATACAATGTATTGTTAGTTTTGCTTAGTGTCACTTGCTCTGTGTACAACCGGATGAATGTTATGCGGGAATTCTGCTCTGGGCCAATCTGACCCGCAACATCACTGCTGACTAGCAAAAACACAAAGAAGGATGAAATGATATCGAAAAGGATGTTTCATTAGTCAATAACCCCCAGATGGTCTTCCTTTATGGTCCCGATCGCAAACTGGCAGGGTCAATGACCCACAAAGGCTAAGAAAGCCGGTGAACTCACAATCTCTGTAGCATCCACTCGAGTACCAACAATCTTTAGCCGTACATGTGTCGATTTCTCGATGATCTAGACAACCAGCCCGGTTAGTGAGCCTGGACGACAATGGTACCGCTCACTTGATCGGCCGAAGCGAAAGAGGGAGGATTAGAATTGGAATCGAATTTGAGGTCAGGGTGTATCAGCTCGAAGAGAGTCAAGGAGAGGCCCAAGAAACGGAGAATGTGGTACAGACTTGATGTGAGACGAACACCTGTAAGGGTCCAACATCCGCGAAGAAGCCCATCTTCGACGTGAATTGAGAGACTCTGTAAGGAACGAAGCTTCTCAGGACGCACCTTGTTCACATTGTTCACCACGCCGTCCACCACCTCACCCTTGAACGGTTTGAACACGATTGCGCGGTACCGTGTTATAAACTCTGCTTGTCCGCTCCCGCTGAGCACCATGCCCTTTCCGATGTCAAGGATCGATACCACCGCAATGATGTATCCGTATTGCCCAGAACATGTTCCCTCAACGTCGGAATAAAGCTTGGACTCCAGAAAATTCAGCATGCGCGGCCCAAAGTAAGATGGGTGCAAGAGAATAGTATGGGTGAGTTCTTTCTGGAACAGAGACTTGTTTGAAGTGAACGAGTGACATTTTTCATGAGACGAACGATGAAGAACATCTTTTCGAGGGCCTAAGTGAAAGTAGTACTGGTGGTCTTTGGTCGAGCGGGAATTCACACGGTATGTGACTAGTGTCACAAACGCGAACACACTTTCTCGACCTTTCTTCGTCATGGGCAAGCGGGGAGGCATTTCTGGACTCGCCCGGTTTCTCACAGCGGAACATCCAGAACAAACAAGCATCAAAGATACAGACCTCGAAGTGCCGCCCGCAAAAAAAAGAAAAACAGGTCCCGACACTGCGACCCAGATCACATTAACGCCTACGCATGAGACTTCGGATTGGGTGCAAAGTTACGATGCTTCTGGGCTAGTTCCTCACTATGTACACTCGTCTGAAGTTCCTGATCATCTACAAAAATGTCCGTCTGCTCTCTGTCTCCCTCCTCATCTCTTGGCCGATTCGTTCGACAACCTGCTCAGATTTCGCTCAGCGCACGCGATACTTCTCACTGTACGAGGACGGATGCCTTCTTGACGAAGAGGGCTGGTACAGCGTCACACCTGAACGCGTCGCCGACCACATCGCAGAACGATGTCGCTGCGGTACTATCCTGGACGCGTTTTGTGGTGTTGGAGGGAACGCGATCGCCTTTGCCAAAACGTGTGAGCGAGGTGCGTCGATTGAATCTACACCCCGGCGCGTCTCACTCCCGAAGTCATTGCCATGGATGTGTCCCCAACACGGCTGGCACTAGCTCGGCACAACGCCCAGATATATGGGGTGGCAGACAGGATCGAATTCATCCTGGGGGACTACGTGTCTTTCGCCGAGGCGCATCTTTCCACTTCTGCAAAATCTCCTCGCAAGATTGACGTGATCTTTCTGAGTCCTCCGTGGGGAGGACCCGGATATCTGCAAGGTGACACGCGTCCAGCTTCCCCCGTGAAGGCTACTAGTGTGGGCGAAGAAAATGTTCACCCTAGCTACTCTCTGGCTTTCATTCAGCCAATAGATGGGACGGAACTATTCAATCTTTCCAGGAAAATCACTCGAAACATAGCATACTACCTTCCGCGAAACACAAGTGTGCAGGAGATTGCAGGATTGATCACGGAAAAGACAGAGCCGCAGGAGATGGTTGAGATCGAAGAGGCCTGGATGAGTAACAAGCTCAAAGCGTTGACGTGCTATTTTGGTGGTCTGGCGGACGGTCAATTCGAGTTGTTCGATCTCTAGGTAAATTATCAGATTCAGATGGTAGACTAATTATACAATTGTGAATACAACCATCACTCGACAAAGGCACGATGTCCAATGCCCTATGTCCAACTCTCCCGTTTGCCAGCCAAAGCTGACGTATGTGGGAGGTGATTCGTCAAAATGGCCACGACGTCCGACTTGGTCAGCATTCCCGTCAACTTTCCTCGAGTGGTGAACATAATCTGACGCAGATTCTGCGAAGCTTGATCAGCCAAAGGCGAAGAAGCACCGTCAAAACAAACCAGCTTCTGAAACATGCTGATCACAAGCTCTTTAGGCACTTCCTTGCGAAGCTGCAGCACAGACTCCTCAAGAACATCGACGAGATTGACTTGGGTGCTGTTATCGACAAAGTCGCGCTTCAAGAAAACACATCGTCTGGGTTGATCGGAACCGGTCCCATCACCGGTTACTGCTTCCAAAGCCGTCGCGAGTCTATCCCGAGTCACAAAGCCCAGATACTCCTGCCGGTGAACAACCGGAAAACCGTGGAATTCGTGATCCTTCAGCATGGTCTCTTGATTCAGTGTCAACGAATATCGGAGAGGATGAGGAAGGCCAAGCAGATACCTAGATCTGACACTGTCTCTCTGTCGTTTTCGATGACCACCAGACGCTCGACCGGACGCATGATTTGAGAGGCGATCTCACCCTTGTCCTGGAAGTGGACCGGAGGGAGCCAGGGATAGCCTCTCATCGCGATCCATACGGCGTAGATTCCGCCATCCTTCCCCATAGCATCTCCGACCCATTTCGCCGTCATGACACTGATCATAATGGGCAACACGTGGGATAGAGCGCCTGTGAGCTACCGAACTTCAATGGCACGAAAAGGAGGATAACAAGATGGCTCACTTCGAACAGAATGACCACCAATGAAACTAAATGCACTCGCAATCAGCAAAGTCACAGCTGAAGCAGCAACCAACGACGCACTAGTCATGCGAGTCACGCCAGCCAACATGGCGGAAGCCCCGATAACAGCGTAGAAACCGGGCGAAACACATCGGACAGATGGATCCGGAGGGCATGAAGAGAGAAAGATCCAGGCAGTGGGATAAGCACGATGCAGGCCTTGTCTGAACGGCGGTCAGACATTGAATCCAGCCGGTCAGGACAGAAACTCACGTCAAGATTCCAACTGCACGACCAAGACAGGCTCCAATCGCAATAGTGGGCAGGAAAATCCCAGCGGGAATCTTGAGAACCATGAGCGACGACTTCTACGACAGCGATGCGGGCTTACCATCATCCCGAAGGTCCATGCAGTGAGCAAGATCTTGAGGGCAGCAGTAAGAAGCAGGAGGAAGACGTTCTCCCACATTGCACTTGGGCTATCACAAGCTCAGCCTATCGCACCGATGAAGCTTGAGATAGCTTACTTGCACAATCCATGGTAGTCAATCTTGCTGGGATCACACTCTTGGAACAGATTGGCGACAAGTTCCGAAGCTTGCACCCTATGCAGGATGAGGACTGGACCTCGCAGATTGATAGCAGGGCTCGCCGTGAAAAGACAACAAGATAGCTGATCGCCGCTGTGACTGCGCTGACACCAACGACTTCCAGCACAGGCCAATGGTAAAGAGCACTGTTCCGTCTGTAAAGTGCTACTTCGACGTTGAGTTTGATCAAGACAGCACCCAGCAATCCCTGCAATATAATCAGTGCAAACACCGTGAGTGAGATGCGAACAGACACCCAAGACACCCAAGAACATCCATGGAATCAACTCAAATGCTCGCCAGGTATCGCTGCCGCTGGTCACTTGGAAGAGCACAAGCTTCGAAGTGCCAAAGGGATTGACCCATTGCAATGACACGGCTGCCAAGGCAGATGCAACGAATCCTCTCCACATGACTTCAGATTCGTTAGCGAATGTGTCCAATTCTGATATGGGTCAGCGGACAGGTTGAGACGGAGTACTTGAGCTAGGATACCTTCTAGACCAAATAGTACACCTCCAAGGGGACTGCCGAAAGCTACGGAGACCCCCGCAGCGGCAGCGGCAGCCAAAAGCTTTCGTTTCTGGGCTTCAAGTTGAAATCAGTCAGAGAATCTGATGGCACAAGTCCTCTACAGACCTTCACTTTCGCGGAATCGCTTGAAGAACCGCGCAAAGAAATAGGCCATACAACAAGCAACATGGACGAGTGGTCCCTGGTTTCGAATGAGAAAGATGATGACACCGTTGACTCAATGACTCCTCGCTACCTCTTTTCCCAGCGAGAGACCGGAAGCAACAGCTAAAGCAAGTCCGAGAGCCTTGATGAGAAGTGTCCACGGGGACAAAAAAGCCCAAAGCACGTAACCCCCGAGTATCTACAGACAAGATAAAGCCCGGCATAGGATATACCGTTTCTGTGAACGCACTGCCTTGATCTCCGGAACTGACGCAGTGAGATTGGGGCATTAGGAGATAGGAAGGAGACTGACTTCCGGTATGAAAAGCGTACGGCGCGTAATTTTGAACGAGGACAGCTGCGCTCCCAGCGAACACGACCTGTCGATGAGCCCTTCAGACAGCAGAGGTAGCGGATCTTCGTATACTCACTGCTAAAGAGACGTAGACAAAAGAATGCAACAAAGATTGCGCGAGCACGAAGTTCACGCCCAAATATTCACCCCAAGTCTTCCACTCAGTGCATAGTTCTCCAGCTGCAGAATAGATCAGGCGGAATGTTCAATCACTAACGCAACTTTAACACGCCTTTCACTCCGCTACAGCATGCGACTTGATTATAGAAGAACCCATAGGAACAGCGTCCTTCTCTCAAATCCCCGAGCCTAGTTTCGTTCGATGCTATGAGCGGCAAGGAGAGACGACAGGCGCACCACTTGACAAGAACGTCGAGCCATCCCCCAGCCAATCCGATCCCGAAGCCAGTCAGAATCACAACCAGCCACATCTGTGCCGCGTCCAGCCAGGGCAGCACTAGACCACGCGTACCGCGTTGGGCGCGCTTCGAAGTCAGCCGAAGCAATTACAAATCTTACAGAGGCTTTCTACCTGCGTATTCGAGTGTTCCCTGTCGGCTGCTTCCTCCCAAAGCCAGTCAATGGTCGTGCCATCCTCATAGTGAGAAACTCGTGCTCGTCGCGAAGCAGACGCGACTTCTCCATTCTCGGTCAGCTCATAGGCTTCAGCCTCATGGCTTGCAGATGGTCCCGGACCCATGTCTTCGCTGGTGGAAGTAGGGTATCGTTGAGAGAATCAGAGCGCACGACACCGGTGAAGGAAATCAAAAGATGATGATGGTAACACACGAACAACACGATTGAACGACTTTGACGCGTACCTTCACTATGAACGATGACTCTTCCATGTCGACGATGTTGCTAGCACCCCTTGGGCAGCTGCAGTCCGTCTCTCACGCTTTGTTTCTTTCTCTGTCCCATGTCCAAGCAAAACCTCCTCCACCTCCATCCCTAACGACATTCATCGCGTGCGACGAGGCCCTGTGTACTGCTGTGAATCTAGCTCAAACACACCAGATCAAGCAGAGGAAGATAGAGGCTTTAAAGGACGAGATACTAGCGCTGGATACCCGATGGCGCGAAATCTGCGTAGAGCTCGAGGCTGGTAAGAAGGAACTGGAGGACATGATTGAACAAGGAGACGAGAGGCTGGTATCTATAGAACAAGCAAGCAAAGGTCCATATCTGCCATGGTTCTTGAATGTTGTCTGATTCAATCTAGCGGCCATCCCATACCCTGAGCTGTTGGCATACGCGCAAAGTCTGAGCGCGTTCACCTCTGCGCCCCCAAACATGCCCGATCTGACGCTTCCTGGTCAACCTCCGCCTCCCTTGTTTTTCCCTCCTTTTCCAAACGAGGAGAAGATGCGTCGCGGACGCCTTAATGCTGAAGCTCCACTGGGGATGCTGGGAGAAACTCATTCGATGGGCAGAGGTGTGTCTACAGTTGCGATACACTAACGTTCTCTGACCGCATCAGCACCCACGGTTTCTCCGCCCAAGGCCGTTGAACAATCCCATGCACCGGCTGCGAATCCATACCGACATGATTTGCGCGCACCCCAACCTACTCAAATCTTTGACCTGGACCTGGATCTGAATCCCGACTTATGAACGGCGACTGACCATACTGTACAAGGTATTATTACAAGGGTCCACTCTCCATATCCAAGATTAATCAATGCTCAGATGTTGTCACCAACCGGCTGTCTGGGTATAATGAGTTTCTTCGTTGAAGGAGGGGCACCGGCTGCAGCCTTCAACTCGCGCAATCGATCAGAAATGCCGCCCAACGTGCGGGAAACCACGCTGCCGCGCTTCTTCTGATCCTTGAACTGCGCTCCCCATTGCTCCAGTTGATTCCGAAATCCAAGATTAGGACACACAACAGTCCGTTTTGACTGAACATAGACCAGTGCCTCGGTGGGCGTCATTGTCGTGACCGCTACCAGATACGCGCATACAATCGTGGCACTGCGGCTGATGCCTTGGAAGCAATGTACCTTGGGAGTGAAATTGTAGACAGCAGCCAGATACCAATTCCAACGGTAGACATACCAAAACGATGTTATCCTCGTTTTCCTCTAATGCTGATGAGATGAATTGCGTGGTGTTGACGAAATGTTCCTGGATGTTCGCCTCTGAACGATCCGCAATCGTGATCTGTAGCCATTTGTCTACGGGATAGGGATGTCTGGAACATATTCCATGACAGACACAACATGAGTGATCTTGAGCTTCGCCAGTTCCTGTTCATCTTTGGCGGTGAATGCGTCCGAGAGGTAGAGGCGAGGGATGATGAGCGATGCTTGACGGGTTTTTCGAGAGCGCGCATTGAAAACGGCCGTATTCCAACTAGGTGCGGCGAATGACAGCATTATAGCAAGAGGCAAGAGCAAATCGGTCTTGAGCGATCGGTATCGACAAACTGCCGTCTTGCATAGTACACGTTCATCACACGTTGAAGCACAAAGATGACTACTCAAAAATAGCTATTCCTGTTCGTAGCTAGTTATACAGCTGAGTGCACATACGCTCGTAAGCCAGGTCAAATCTCAACCCTCAGTTGCTGTATATTCCGAAGGTCTCAGACTAGGCTTACTCAACTTTGAAGGCCCTTGTTCCTGACACGTGGCTGCTGGTGGCTGTAACTAACGTCATGATTGTCACAACAGTGACAGCCATCCTCGTTCCCCACACCTGCAGCCAGTACTCATGGACGCCGTGGAGAAAGCAAACGCAGAGCGTCAGAGGCGATGGTAAATCACCTCTGCGCTACCTTTCATCTATCTCACGAGCAATCCCAGGACTAAAGACCAGAAAATCGGCGAAGGAACCTACGCCGTGGTATATCGAGGTCGACCATTTCTAAGATCCTCTTGACCCATTGTTCATCTCCCTCCACAGGCCGAGAAGCGTCCACGAATAGGAAGGTTGCCATCAAGAAAATCAAAGTGGGGCAATTCAAGGATGGGCTAGACATGTCTGCCATCCGTGAGGTGAAATATCTCAGGGAGCTCAAGCACCAGAACGTCATTGAAGTACGTATCTTCTATCCAACTTGACGATTGCTCCTAAGTGATACCCAGCTTCTCGATGTTTTCTCCTCCAAGACGAATCTCAATCTTGTGTTGGAATTTTTGGACTCGGATTTGGAGCCATTATCAAAGACCGAACTCTTGTCTTTCTTCCAGCCGACATCAAGAGCTGGATTGCGATGACATTTCGAGGGCTCGAATTCTGTCACCGCAACTGGATACTGCACCGTGTACGTCTTTATTGTCCGCGGAGAAACTCAGCTGACCTCCCACAGGACCTGAAACCCAACAACTTGTTAATAGCCTCAGACGGCCAACTCAAGATCGCAGATTTTGGTCTTGCACGAGATTTCGCGGATCCTGGACACAAAATGACTTGTCAAGTCATTACTCGGTATGTTGGGTGGCTGGCAGAGGTTCAAGACGCTCATCACCCCGTCAAGGTGGTATCGACCCCCTGAGCTTCTCTTCGGTAGTCGCTATTATTCCACTGCGGTTGACATCTGGTCCGTCGGATGCATATTCGCGGAGCTTATGCTTCGCACGCCCTATATGGCTGGAGAGAGCGACATGGATCAACTCAAGACGATTTTCCGCGCCCTTGGGACACCCACCGAACAAGACTGGCCTGGACACACAAAGCTTCCGGACTATGTCCCGATAGGACAATTTCCCAAGACACCTTTGCGAGACTTGTTCACTGCCGCAAGTGCCGACACCCTGAACCTTCTTGGTCAATGCCTCGTCTACGAACCCCGCAAGCGTCTCAGTGCTAAGGATGTGTGTGCTCTGTGCTCTGTGCTTGTCCAATCTGAGTTTCTTTCTAGGCTCTGAACCACGCTTACTTTTTTGCCTTACCCTACCCTTCCCATCCATCTAAACTCCCCAAATGTGCTGCCCAAATCACCGCTGCTCTTCCTTTAGAAGAGCTCGATGGCAACATGCCGAACAAGCCTAATAAACTGAAGCGCAAACTTTCGCCGTCGTCAGCAGAGAGCGCCAAAACTCGTTCGGTTATCGCAAGACGTTTAGATTTCACAAAGCCGACGCCCGGCTCATGAATTCTCGGTCGACTGTAGTATCATATGTGTATCTTGAGCCATCTATCTGTAATGAACTGCTCAGTCTGCTGTCAGTCATGAGTGTGGATGATTAAGCACGATCATCCCACGTGACCGCGTTTCTTAATTTTGCGAACAGTATCACCAGTGAATTCGAATTGACTATCGAATAGTGGATCGGGAAGATGACATTCGGCATTGAGTACAAATCAGGAGAAAGCAAGGAGGGAACGGCACTTACGCTCGAAACGTCTGGTCCAGAATGTCGTGACTACAGTCATCCAAATGACCAAGAGAAGCGGCCTGCACATTCGCGCAGACGTTTTTCTGAGGAGAGCTCCAGAGCCCCCGGACTGTTCATATAATTCATCGTTTACCAGTTTCGAGTAGATCGGAGTAAGGAGCGACGTGGAATGGAGCTTGGATCGCAGCATCAATGTGCTGCTGATCAGACATCCGCACTTGCCCTTCCACTTCCATGTTTGATGGACGACACCAACCCATGGGGTACTAATGCATGGGCATCATCGTCAGAAAAGCTCCCCGTCGCACCATCTGCTTCACTCCAAGCCCGTCCGCAGGCCCTCGACGATGAGCAGCAAGACATAACTATTCCGGCTTGGGAGCCACCAGCGAGTGATGCCGCCCCTTGGGCTACACATACTTCAAACGCTCTTTGGGGTGCCCCGTCACCCGCACTGGATAAATTTCCTTCGTGGAGCTCGCCGTACGATGACTTGCTGTCAACGAAGACCACCAATTCGACATCGACAACGACATCGGCATTGACGACCCCCTTCGAACCCGCTGAGCTACGCCCCCAAACTCCTGAGTTGGAGCAAGGCGTTGAGGATCTCGGGCGAAACGATAATGAGGCTCTGGACGCTCAATCAGAGCTGGAAACAGTTGTTCACATCGAGCCGGCTTCTCCCACTTTGACCCTTCCCCAGGATAGGACTGAATCTTCGACATCCTCACATTTCCAACGGTCACCACCGGGAAGCCCTGACCCGTTTGGCACATTCGAGACTGGTCTCGACGAGCAGGTGAATACCAGCACAGACGCTTGGTCACCCTCACATAATAGTTTCGAGACCGAGGCTGAGGGCCTCGAGTGGGGTGGTGGGTGGGGTGCTGTTGCTGTCGACGAGGAAGAGAAAAGCGGTTCACATGATGGTTCTGAGACCGTCGATGAATGGGAGCTAGCCAAGCAACAGAAAGCCAAGCAGGATCGGCATGTGGTATGTGTTTCTGGCTTTTGTAAGTAGCTTCGTTTGTGATTTGTCCTTTGCAGCCTCCAGAATTGCTTGCATCTATACTAGCTCAGCTCAACGATCTGGAAAATGAAATACATCCTCCACTTTCGAACGGGACTATTGACCCAGAGGACTGGCGGAATAACCGCTTCAAAGGATTACAAGACGTTGACACATCGTACGTCGCAACACTTTATGTATTCTTTTTCATCAGCTGAACGATCTCGTACAGCACACCTACTATCATTCGGCTGCTCGCTACGGATCTCATTCTCCCTGCTCCTCGACCCTTCTCCAAAAGCACGCTGGCCAAACACGCTTCAGACGCACTACGCATGTCGCGGAACGCTCCATTCGTCCGTCGTAGTCCCCTCAGCTATTACAGCGCGACGAAGGGCTCCACAGCTTGGGAGACCTCGGTCAAAAATCGACCGGAGGTTGTCGGCGAACCCGACCTGCTTCCGCTCGGCTGGCGTATAGTCGAGACTCAATCGAAAGAGGAAACGTCTACCGCTGATAAGAAGAAGACTGGGCATGGAGGGTTGTTGTCATTCTTCGGGAGAAGAGACACATTGACGACTGGAGAGGGGACGAAATCTCGCTCGGCTTCACCGACAGCATCTCCTCGAGCAAGCACCGATAGCTCGAGTCTCAAGTCTCCTACAAGCATATCCTCGATGACGTCTGCATCTGCGGCATCTGTTACTTCCCCGACATCTGTGGCTTCCGCGACACCTACAGCCTCTGTGACTCCGAGCCCGATCCCCCCTATTTCGCCACCTCAGCCACCTCCGATTGTTGCAGCGTCTGTCTCTGAGCCAGCGCCGAGCACTTCAGCGATTGAGCAAGCGGCGCCCTCTCGAATGTCCAGGTTTTTGGGTAGGTTCGGGCGCAAATCTGATACAGGCCCTCAGCGAATCGCGTTGTCCGACAATGATTTCGATTTTCTCGCTGATATTGAAGCTGCTCCGCTCGGATCATCACTTGCGCCTGACCATGGGTTTTCGATGTCAAGTGCGCTGTTGGACGACCCGGTGCCGGTGGCTCCCAAACTAGCACCTCCCCCGCGTCTTTCTGCCTTGTCACCACCCCCTAGCACAGTCCCCGCATCGTTAGCACAACCGCCCTCAGCTGCAACACAAACGATTATCTCTCCTCCGGTAATCTCAGCACCGGTTTTCGCTGCCCCAGTTTTCGCTGCCCCAGTTGCTACTACTCCAGCTGTCACTACTCCAGCTGTCACTACTCCAGTCTTCGCTGCTCCAGTCGTCGCTCCTTCAATTGTCCCGCCTCCTCTGGCGAGCAGTTTCTCTGCACCCATGGAGGCTGATTTTTCAGCATGGGGCTTCGACGATGAGACTCCAAGCCCGATCACCAGGGTCGAATCAGAGCCAACTTCTCAGCGCCGACAGCTCAACACGCGGGCAACATCAACGATCAAAGGCATTCCGCCTAGGAGAGCACCAGTTGCAATCATGTCGTCAGGGCCCTCTCGGCCGTCCGCAGCAGTACCCAAATTGGGTGCATTGAACATTCCCCCTCCGCCTCGAGCTCAGACCTCGACACCTTCGCTTGCGGCCAATCTGGTGGAGGACGATGATTTTTCTGACTTTCATGCCTCTGCCCCATTGCAGCCTTCGTCGGCGGCTCATTCACTCTACGACACCAGTTTTTCGTCTTCGACATCATCAAGCGTCGGCTTGTTTGGGTCTGGATCGTCGGCACAGTCGGGTCTGTTCGATGACTTTGATGACTTTATCGAAGCCGGTTCGCCTGCGACATTGCGCACACCGTCGCCACCCAGGCCGCCAGTCAAACCAATACGGGCGGCGAAATTACCGCCGCCACCATTGTCCCTGGGTAACACTCGGGCGGTTCGACAACTGCCGCCGGACTCACCGGATGACACCCCGTTGGCTATCGTTGCCCAGCAGGCGCAACGTGCGGCAAACCACCAGCGCACGCTCAGTCTGGTGGAAAATGCAGCTGCAAGCTCTGGTGTGCGATGGCCAGCACCTGCTTCGCCCCTCCCGGATGTGATTGCCCCACCTCCGAATGCGACCGATCCGTTTGGCTTTGCAGACGACTTGGGTGCAACATCTACTATGCAGTCTCAGCAGGCAGCATTCCTCAGTTCAGTTCCAACGACGCTTCCTAGTTCGGTCTCTGCGACGTTTCCTCTGAGAACGGGTACACCCCTGCAACGTAGCCTCTCACCACCAGTTCCTCCGAAACTGACCCCGTTGCCGTTCTCCATGTCTAGTACAGGGCCCACCAACTCGAGCAGCGGATTGTCGGCTCAAGATCTGTCGTTCTTCGAGGGTCTGTAATGTACATGCTATATGTACATTGATAATCCATGATGTAGAAACCCGAGCGCATGTGTTGGCATGATGATACATAAAGCCTGCGAACATAGAGAGTAGAGAGTACATCTACTCGTCATCAGCCTCCTCCTCCTCGTGACTGCGAAGGAGATCAGAGCCGAGCGATCTGAGAAGCGAAAACACCTACACAGCGTTGTACCGCAGCTGGTACACGTCCTTGGACGGAGCAACGACACGGACCCAGTCCCGGATCGAGTGCTTTTTAAGGAACTTCTTGGTCAAGTACTTGAGGTACCGCTTCGAGAAGTGGATGGAGGTCGTCACGGTCAACTTGGAGTTGGCGTCTGGATCAAAAATAAGACCGGAGTACAAGGAGGTAAAAAAGAAAGAGCTACGCACTGTCACGGACGATCTTCACGTTGTCACCGAGCTGGCCAGCCTTGCCCTCGACCTTGATGCGGTCGTGCAAGAATTTTTCAAAGTCGGCGCCGTCGAAGATGCCGTCGGCAGCGGGCTTCGAGTAGTCGATCACGAACTTGCTCTTCGAGGCAGACTTAGCGGGGGCGGCTTTCGGCTGCAGAACAAGAACAAGAAGGGGAGGGATGAGCCTACTGAGAAGGGAACTCAGCAAAGCGGGACAGACCATGGTCGCTAGAGGAGGAAAAAGGTGAGTAACGAAGATAATGCGTGTCACGCGTCTAGATTTACATGGTGCACTGACTAAGCGAGCTATGCAGGACTACTTGCGCACGTGCAGCTTTAATCGTAACGAACTTTTCCTCCAGCGACAATGAGTGCCTCGAAGCTTTCAGTGTCTAGCGTGCGCGGCTCCATTCGGGGTCTCCTGGCCGACTCCCAGGAAAAGAAGCGTAACTTCGTTGAGACCATCGAGCTCCAGATCGGTCTCAAAAACTACGACCCTCAGCGTGACAAGCGTTTCTCGGGAACTGTCAAGTGCGTGTTGTGCTGGACGGGTCCTTGGTTCATGGCTGAATTCGCGTGCCCAGGCTCCCCAATGTTCCGCGTCCTCGCATGTCGATCTGCATTCTTGCTGATGCTGCCGACATCGATCGTGCTAAGCAGATCGAGCTCGAGTACATGAGCGTTGACGATCTCAAGAAGTGAGCCACCTCGCTTGACCTTGCCATTACCGGGCTGACTGTGCTTTGCGCACAGGCTTAACAAGAACAAGAAGCTCGTCAAGAAGCTTGCGAAGAAGTACGACGCCTTCCTGTCGTCTGAGGCCCTCATCAAGCAGATTCCTCGTTTGCTCGGCCCCGGTCTGTCCAAGGGTGCGTGATTTGTATTGTGATTGCTCAGCGGCTAACGGTTCTCCCTCAGCCGGAAAGTTCCCGACTCCCGTCTCGCACGCCGAGGACCTGAACAACAAGCTTGTCGAGGTTCGCTCGACCATCAAGTTCCAGCTGAAGAAGGTCCTGTGTCTTGGTGTTGCTGTCGGTCACGTCCAGATGACTGAGGATGCTGTCTTGACCAATGTCATGTTGTGTTCGTCGCGTCACTCTGGCCACCTGCTTCTGAAGCACTGACTATTGAGACAGCCATCAACTTCTCGTCTCCCTGCTGAAGAAGAACTGGCAGAACGTGAAGAGCTTGCACATCAAGAGCACCATGGGCAAGCCTGTCCGTCTGTTCTAAAAGGCCTTTTGGGCCACATTATGCTTTATGAGGGAGGGAGGGACATGCCGATGACTGACTACCTTTGCACGCTGCGCACGCTATACCAACGGACGTCTGGAGGCGTTCCGGACTGGGAGCTGGGGATTTAGTCTGTATGAACCTGTTATAGTACCAAAACATATGTCCCATTTCAATTCTGTGTGAGAGAACGCGTCCCACTAATACATTGGCTCGTACGAAGTAAATAGTGCATGTAAGCTACTTGCGCACTGTCTGACAGATGCTGCACTCGTCCACGACTTCAGGGCCATTCTGAAGCCCGCATGTGGTACACGTCCACGATCCAGCTTTGACAGCAGGCGGGGGTTGCTTGCCTGCTGCCGACCAATCGAATCCCACGACCTTGGGTGCTGCACGAGTGATCCTCGGATGTCCACAGTTCTCGCACTCAGCAGCGTCCACGTCTTTGGTGATCAAAGTGCACTCCTTGCATTCCCATCCCACGGGCTTTGTTGGCGGCTTCGCTCCAGCCGCAGCCCAATTGAAGCCGACAGGAGCTGCCGCTTGCTCCTTGGCCTTGACAGCCGGTTGTGACGGCACTTTAAACTCGAACTTGGGAAGTGCGATCTCGCTGAACGAGCTGGCCACAGCCCGAGCATCAGAGTCGCATGCCACGTTGTTAGGCGCAATCATTGTAAGCTCGAAAGAAAACGTTGGAAGGGCCGTCGTTGGCAAGTCCAGCGCGACAGCTTTCGGGTCCTTTGTCGGCAGCACTGCCTGCGGCAGAGACCCATTAGAGGGTGGCGGTGCAGGCTTTGACGGAACCTGTACATTCGAAAGCAGGTTTGTAGGGCCAACAGGTTTCGCCTGTTCCTTCGGCTGGAAGGGTGCAAACACTGAATCGGCAGGGGAGGGCGACTCAGCAGCGAACGAGAACCGCAGCTTTGAAGGCTCTTTGACCGAGTTTGCCAAAGGCACCGGAGGCTTTGAGAATGGCTGGGACTGTCCCGCTTTGCTGCGTTTGGCGCTTCCGTTCAAACTGAAAGTTGGGTTCGAAACGCTTCCTTGACTTTCATCCTCGAGAGGTGGTGCATCCGCAAACGAGATAAAGGACGATGTCCTAGGTTTCTCCACTACTGGCGGCGGGGGAGTCGGAGCAACGACTACAGGAGGCGGCGGCGGCATCCGTAAACGTTTGGCTGAGGGCTCGTCTTCAGCGTCAGTCCTGCTAGCGACAGGCGTCGGAGCGCTCAGGCTGCTGAGAGATGCGCCACCGTTCACTTGAGGAGCCCTGACCCGTTTGCTGCCCTTGGGTAGTGTCGCTTGGATGATGGCCTCGGGGGGAATATCCTTAGGTTTGTCATCTTCCTTCGCAACCTCCTTCTCTTTCTCTTTCTCCCTCTCTTTTTGGGTCGCTCGCGCGGTCGCCCGGGTCCGACGCCTAGGTTCTGCAGGTCGATGCGTATTCGTCCTACGCGTCACTGCAGGATTCTCGTATGGATTCTGCACAGCCGGGTGGTGCTTCGGAATTTCAGCATCAGCGTCCTTGATGATCGCGGTCAGTAGCGTAGCGGCCTTGGTGGGGGTCCCAGACTGCGTGGGCGACGATCCGGTCGAAGAGATGGACGGTGTCGGCGAGATTGCCCACGTCTGGCGTAGCGGCGATGGATGAACTGGCATGCTCTTGGGCACTATCGACGCGCGACTTGGGGTGATAGGGACCAGGGAGTGGGGATTTTTCGAAGACTGTGATGGTGTCGGATCCGGCGAGGCCAGCGGGAAGGGAAGTTGAGAAGTTCGCGTAGGTGATGGAGCCGGTGCAGCGGAACGAGGAACGGCTGGTGGCGTAGAAGGAGGCGTCTCGAGTCGGCGACGCTTGGGTGAGGCTTGCACGGTTGAGGACGGCATGTCGCGAAACACGATATGCGGAGACGTGGACCTCGAGGGTGCTGCAAAGGCAGGCGACGCATAGCGGTTTTTCGAGGGTCGCGCAGAGCCGCTGCCAGACCAACGATATGAGCCATTAGGATTTCTCGACAGGGTCTTCGTAGAAGACGTGGTCGGCAACGTAGAGGTTGATGCTAACCCGAAGATGTCGTTCGTCGGTGTGATGGGTGAGTTTCCTCGAAGAGAACTCGTGAGGAGACCAGAATTAGAGGAGAAGCGAAACGGCTCGTTCTTCTCCACTGTAGTCCATGTTTAGCAGTAGTCGTTCGGTCGCACAAGCACGTACCGGGTGTACTCTGAATGAGGGATATCAATCCCTGTGTCAGATGAGGGGTGATAGGTTGTCCGTTCCGTTGCTCAAGATAAGTCGAGATGCTTTCCATACTCTGGCCGCTAGTCGGCGACGCGTTTGGGAGAGAATAGTTCTGCAATTGCGCAGCGGGAAAAGAAGCAGGTGCTGCTGCTGCTGGAGACGGTGTTCCGAAGCAGCCGTTTCTTGGGCCAGCTTGCGTATCATATTGAGTGAGATTATACACAGAGAGAACTGTCAAAGCTGACCTGACGGCCACGCAGGGAAAGATTCAGAGCAGGTTGTTCATTGCCAATACTGTTTCCATCAACAGACTCATCCGTGTCCTCATCCTCTGATTCTTCACTGGGAGAAGCGGTCCTGGATCGGAGTGGATTGAAGAACCCAAGAATACCAGTCGCGATCGACCAAGCCTGTGAGTCGTTTGAACAACACCTGACGCGCCGTTGGGGTCCTACACACCGATTTCTTGACAATAGGCTGTTGTTTGGGACGCGCGTATGGTAGAGACGCGGCCGACCGAACAGTGCTGCGACGAGTCTTGGAACGGACAGCACCGCTCATGGCGCTCGTGGTGGCAGAATTTAGAAAACAAGAGACACGAGTGGCAGTGCACAACGTGATGATCAACGTGACCACTGTGACCACAGTTTCTCATCACCGTACTCTTCCCTCCCGCCATGTCGTGGGTAACGCGCCAAGGGCCGCAAAAGTACCCGCTTATTGACTCCGATCCTCATGCCTCGCGCGTTGTCGGGTATTTTCGAGGAAGTGACTATGCTTACTGGGCTGGCTGTACCGCAGGAGCACCGGCTGCATTATGGGGATGGGGTAAGCGTCGTCATGTGTGCACTCCGTGGCCAAAAGCGAATATCTCCTGCAGAGAAGATGGACCGGACTGGATTCCGTATGCGCTCGCAGTTCTACGTCGGAGCTTGGCTGGGCTTCTGCGCTGGGTTCATGATTGCCTACTCGCGATCCAGCAGTGCGTTGACTGTCCTGCAAAACTTTACTTTGCTCAAACGTGCCATCCAGAACGCTTCTGGGGCTGGTCAGAGAACTCTATTGAAGAGAAGAGGGACCTGCAGGAGCTTTCTCAGCGGGCCCAAGAGGGAATCCCTCTCTATGGTGAAACTAACCAGCCGCAGTGGATTCAGGCCGCCGCACACCGGAATTCGCAGTTCTCTCAGCTCAAATTCTGTGTGTACCATGTCTTGTGTTGTCTGTCTCTTTCTGAAGGTACCTTCCCTTAGCTCTATTCCCCATGCTTAACTTGGTCAACCACCCGTACCATGGAACGGACCCAGCCAAGTATGGCGTTGCTGGAGCACCTGCAGTGCTCGAGGACAGTGAGGGATTGCAACCTGGACAGACGTTGCTCAGTGTGAAGAAGGCTACGCAGTCGAAATCAGAGTAGAATGTACTGTTTCGCATGAACTGAATTGTTGGAATCATGCTCGATCCTATATTCCTGAGATATCGCCTTGCGGACTCATTGGGAAGAGTATGTCACGGGTCATGATACCTGCGCAATCGCCGGTAGGAAATCATTCGCACGCCGCACACATGTAATGTTGATGGAAGGCAGAGTGCGCCATCCTTCGAATGTAGGCTTTGCTGCTTCTCTTGGCGGGAATCAGAACACAGCCTCTAATACTATTTCTCTTACACTGGCCCTGAGATTGATATGGGTGTTGCATTAGGTAGTATACTATACTACTGGTAGCCAACAGCTTATCATTACTTAGTATAGCCGTTTCGGGTTCGGGCCGAAGCAGCAGCACAGCCTCATGTCAAACTTCTTCCACGCTTCCTCAGCGATCGTCACAAGTTTCCAGCCGCTCCTTGATGAGCATCTATCAAGTGAGTCGCCCACGTCGTAATCGCCCACCCCCCAAGCCCTCATCCTGTATAGCACAGGTCTCTGCGTCCCTCGGGGCCCCCCGAGGCCTACAACTCCGGCCGCATACAGGATGCCCTTGATGTCATCAAACAAGACTTCGATGCCCTGGCCACTGAGTTGTCTGCTTCACGTGGGATGCGCGAAAAATACGAGGACACCATCAACGCGCAGGTCGACGAACTGAACACGATTAGACAAGCTCTCCACGAGCTCGAGCAGCGCCACGGCAAAGTTCGCCAGCAATACGAGGAGGAACTGCGAGGCTTGCGCGCGGAGCTGTATGCCAGCAAGCAGAGCTCGCGCACAAGCGCCGCCAGCAGTGTCTTTCCCACATCGGAGCCGTTTCGCGATAGAGCGCCGCTGCCACCTCCAAGCCAACGAGAGCAGCGCGATCTGCCGGCCATGCGGGAGAAGGACCGCGGGGGGGACTCCGACCGAGAGCGAGGGTTCGACAGTCGGGACATCAAACGCATAAAAGAGTCGCCGATCAGCGCGAACCTCATTGGGCCGGCCTCGACGCCGTCGATGCCTCCGCCGCCGCCTCTGCCACCACTTGTCGCGTCCGCGAGCCAGGCGCCTACACCCCGGATCCCACGTGCCGAGGCCTCCAACGCATTCTTGGCCGACGCGGCGGATCCCTCGGTCGTGCCACCGCAGTGGAAGAAGGAAGGGGCGGACTGGTTTGCTTTGTACAACCCCTCCATACCACGGAGCATGGAGGTTGGACTTGTTCATTCCTTTCTTCACGAGACGGTGGTCTGTTGTGTGCAGTTCTCTTATGACGGCAAATGGCTGGCAACCGGATGCAATCGCACGGCCCAGATCTACGATGTGCATTCTGGGCACAAGATCTGGTGCGGCTGTCGTTTTTCTTGTTTGGGAGGTATTCATAGCCTTCTAGTGTGCTCATGGACGAAAACACGGGTAAGAACGAAGATCTGTACATTCGGAGTGTGCGATTCAGTCCCGACGGAAAGTATCTGGCCACCGGAGCGGAAGATAAACGGATTCGCGTACGTTTGTCTGTAATTTGTGGACGGACTCGCTGACGACTGCTTCGCAGATCTGGGACATTGCCAAACGCAGCATCCGAAACGTCTTTGAAGGACATCAGCAAGAAATCTACTCGATCGAGTTCTCGTATGACGGCCGGCTTTGTCTTTCGGGCTCAGGCGATCGCACCGTGCGTATCTGGGATATGGACTCGCCATCGACCCCTGCACGGGTGTTGTCTGTGACGGACTCGGATCCCTCGTTGCCCAGTCCGCCACCTCCGATAGATGCGGGGGTCACGAGCGTGGCGATCTCACCTGAAGGCTTGTATGTTGCAGCTGGTTGCGTAGATGCCATCGTCAGGATCTGGTCTGTCTCGACCGGAGCCTTGGTCGATCAACTGCGCGGCCATCAGGATTCGGTGTACAGTGTTGTGTTTACCAAAGATGGAACGGGAATTGTGAGCGGCAGTCTCGACGGGACGCTCAAGTTCTGGGACTTGCGGACTGCGAAATCAAGGAGGGATGCCGGCAAACAGAGCATAGCGACGACTACGTTTGTGGGACACAAGGTTCGTCGGATGCCCTAAGCACGTCCCCCTCGCTTTCGGTCTAAAAATCGTGTATCAGGACTACGTGCTGAGTGTCGGCGTGTCTCATGACAGCCAATGGATCGTCTCCGGATCCAAAGACCGAGGGATCCAGTTCTGGGACAGTCATGGTATCGTCCACACCCTCATCCAGGGTCACAAAAATAGCGGTACGTAGCATCAAGTCTCGCCCCCGTGACATCTGCTGAACCTTCCGTCATTAGTGATCTCTATTAGTCCCGACCCAACGGGGAATCTGCTTGCTTCCGGGAGCGGAGACAATTTCGCTCGCATATGTCGGTTGTCTTTTTCGCGCGCCCATTCAGTCGCTTACCGCCTTTTCGTGACAGGGTCGTACAATGTGCTAAATTGAGCTCCATGTTACAAAGCCTGCCAGACTATTTCCTTGCTGTGTGTACAATGTCTATTGCCATAAACTATGTATGATGTCCGGAAAACACCTCTGAGTCAGTCACCTGCGGGCCAACCCAGGGCTGGGTCATCCTTGAGGCTTACAGCAACATAGCGACTGCGCTGCTCCGGGCGCACATCGGCAATATCTCGCCGAGGTTCATGCGAGGTGCATCTAGGTTCGTGTCATGGGCGTATAAAACAACCCGGGAAATCGAACAGACGCGTTCAACCGTCCGCAATGATTGCAGCCGCACTCCTTCTCCTTGCTCTCCAAGCCGACGCCTCGGTGCTCAAGCCCCGTGCAGCAGCGGGGGGCTACGTCCAGAATCCGACGGGCGTCGCAACCTTCACGCACTACTCGGGGTGTGGCCAGCCGGCCTGCGGCGTCTCCGCCTCGGGCTACAGTGCGGCCATCAGCCAGCTCGCATTTGGCTCGACACCAGGAATCGGCCCCGGCGATGCCTGCGGCCGGTGCTTCGCCGTGACGGCGACCGAGGACCCGTACTCGACTGGCTTTACAGGGCCGTTCGGGCAGTCGATTGTCGTCAAAGTCACGGACATGTGCCCGGTCCAGGGCAACGAGGTGCGCGCCGTTCTGGCGTGATACCGGAATTAGTGCTGATCCATTTGGGCAGGCGTGGTGTGGCCAGACCACCTCCAACCAGGCCAATCAGTTCGGCGCCCCCGTCCAGTGAGTAGCAGAGGATTATCCGCTGTCTTCCCTTCGCTGCTCAACGAAGATCAGCTTCGACATCTGCGAAGACACCGGAGGGGCGGCACTGTTCTTCCCGTCTGGACACGGTGCACTCAAGGGCACATTCACTGAAGTCCCCTGCAGCCAGTGGAAAGGCTCCGGAGACGGAAGCCCGCTCTGGAACGGAGCGTGTATCAGCGGTGAATCTGCGCCGCTCTGGCCCAGCGGCACTGGATGCGGAAACCAAGGTGGGTTCCACACCCACTTGTCAGGGTCATCCTAGACTGAAAGGGCATTACAGGCCTTGCTCCCGGGTATTCAGGTAAGCGAGACCCGCAGTCTGCATCTGAGTTCGAGATATCATAGTTCGCCCCAGGCCAGCCCGCTTCCACGTTGAGTAGCAGCACCACGACCAAGACACAGCCTACCAGCACCCCGACAAGCACATTGAGCACGACCGCGACTGCATCCGGTCCGACACAGACCCACTGGGGCCAATGCGGTGGTGAGTGCTTGCCAATAGACGCGTGTTTCGAACAGACGCTGAAAGTCCACCCAGGCACCGGCTACACCGGCCCAACTGTCTGCCCACCGCCGACGCAATGCAACCCTGTCTCGCCGCCGTGGTACTCGCAGGTAGGTTGCTCGACAGCGCAAACGCACAGATCGCTGATACTTACTTGCCTGAAGTGTTCATGATCAAGCCGCAAACGCATCAGCTGATTGATTATCTTCATAGCCTCACTTAATTCCAGTAATATACCACTTGAATGACAAAGAATCAACTGCAAAGTGGCCCAGGGAAAACAACCTGACTAGTGTCTTTTCTTCTTACTGGCTGCATACCTTGTCAGAAGAGCAAGGGAAAGAGAACGGACCATCGGATGAACCCACCATGCAGGACGGGAGAGTCGGCTCTTCGTTTGAGACTCCTCGCTTTCAGACGTTTGGCGGCCGCCGAAACGCTTGCGCCCGGGTGCGCTACACAGTCTGGGCAGAACCACTCACCGTCCGGGACGCTTTCCAGCGGTGGGCTCAGACACTTCAGGTGCCACGGCCCGTCACACTGAAGGAATGGAATCAACGGCCCGGCACAAATCAAACTGCGGGTCCGACTGCACCTTTTCGCATTCCAGGACGTCGTCGCCATCATCACCCTGGTCAATCCCACATTCGACACATGTCTCTGGTGGGCCAAGATCTGCAGGATGTCTGGGAAGATCAGAATACTTCTCGCTCCCCGGCTTCACGATGAACAGCGTCGTATGCTGGCCCGCGGCGACACTGCACGAGTTTAGTCGCACTCAGGCTTATCATGAACGCACTCACTCGAGGACGTAGATGCCAGTCAATGGAATGTGTTTCGTAGGCTTGGTGGCGCTCTTCGGCTCGTCGAAGCCTAGGCCCAGCTCGCCTGGTCGTACATTCAGCGATTGCAACAAGAATACTGTCAAGACCCACACACCATTTGCAGCATTCTGGCCCCAAGCGACTGTCATCACCATAGGCTCGCCTGTTGCACTGTCGTCGTCGTCCGGGGTGATCAGCCAATGCGTCACGCCACCACATGCAGCTTTGATCACTTTGCAGGCCATGACGTCCTGCATGTACCGGAAGGTCGAGTACGGGGAACCAGACGATCCTGGTTCTGATCAGGATCGGAAGAACAGCGACGTGAATCGAATGTACCCTCTCCCGTGTTTTTCCACTATTGAACCCATTAGGAAGCCATCAGTAGGAGTAGGCGGCAACTCGCCTTTCCCGTCATCCAATACATTCCTTGGCGGTCTACCACCACGCTGTTCGATGGACCGGCCACGACAGATGCACCATTCAGCTGCGGATTGTTTCCAGCAAACTAGGGCAGAATTGAGAACTTGGTGATGGGATTGCAGCCGTTTGAGACTGACGTTCGGTACCAGCTTGGGTCTCAGTTCATCGACCTGGTTGCCCAGACCCAGACGGCAGTAACCATTGTACCCCCAGACATACACCATTCTACCAACGATATTAGTATTCGCAACCAACAATTCGAGACAAACACCGACCCAGTCGAATCTAATGCAATACAGTGTTGTTGGCCAGCAGAGACCTGGACAATCTTCTTGTTGTCGAGACCATCGACTTGCACTGAGACATTCAGAGAAAGACTTGCAGCAAGCGACCATAACGCACTAGGCTGTGACACAACATCGAAGGAAAGCTTGTTCCCGGTCATAATCCTCTCCCCGGTCTTGCCGTTCCCAAGTTGACCCTTCTCACCACTTCCGAACGTGTAAACTGAGTGGGATGAGCGCTAAATTCCCAGTCCGAGCGCAGCCCATGCCTTTCCCAGAGTCCGTGATCACAGCAGAGAAGGTGATGCCCGCCGTAGCCTGGATAACATGCTCTTTCTCGCCTGTCTTGGATGTTACAGTAACAGCTTTGAACGTTGGTACATCAGGCGAAGGAGTGTGTCCGCACTAAACCAAACTTAGCAACTCAAAAGCATTTGTTCGGCAAGCTTAACGCACCTGGCCGAGCGTGTTGATACCCGCCGACCACAACCGCCCGTCAGAACCCACCAGCAGAGTATGGTTCCGCCCACACGCAGCATGGACGAACTTCGTGCCCGGGGCAGCACCCAGGTCAGCCGCCGTGACCAGTCTCGGCGCGTTTTCAGAGATGGCGTCGGTGGTGCTCGCGACGCCCAAAGCTGACGAGCCGTTGCGTCCGAATAACCACGCGCCGCCGTCTATATCGAGGACGACGAAGTGCGCGCCGTGCGCACTGGCGTGGACGGAGACCGCCTTGATGTCGCCGAGGGAACGCAGGATGTGCGGTTCCAAGAGGTCAGGAGCGCTGAGCGAGACGCGTCGGTCCGTCAGAGCGCGCTATTAATTAACAGCGAAACTCACGCTTCGCCTGATGCCCCAGCGTCTGCTTTATTCGACTTGCGTCCCAGCCTCGGCCTGCGCGGTGCATGCGAACATAGGCGACAAACGTGACATAGATAAAGAGGACGGAGCAGCGGGTTGTGAGATTCCGAACCAAACTCGAACAACACAACGCGCTTACCAGTCCGTTCCACCACAAATGAGGACTGCCAGTTCCGAAGCCGTCAGACGTATGCCCACCAGTTGACTCTGTTCACTCGCCTCGTCCCCACTTTGGTGCCGCGTCGCTCTCTGTGCTTCCAGCTGTGTTGGTACTCATTGCGGTCAAAACGAACAAACAACGAAGTACAGAGTCGACAGCACATCCATCCATCTGGAGCCGAGGACAACTCGAACTTTCCTTGCGCGGCGATTCCGCCGCGCCCCGATCGTACTCTCTTCCGAGGCCATACGCAGGCTTGTGGCCCGTATTTCTGGGCTGTAACAATCTTGCCCGGCCCCCGTTGACTCGCTGCTGTTCGGCGTTTGTGCGCTCTGCTACTGAAATATGCTCGGGTTACGGCGAGGGGATTCTGAAACTTGTTCTACGCAAGGACGAAGGGCCTCGTGTGGTGAACTGAACCGCTAGTCCACTGTGACCGCAAACCTTGATCCGGCAGCACCACATTGCGCTGGACGATACTGCGTGTCTCCTCTGAACAGCCGTGCTCTGTCGCGTTCAAACTCTGCTACTCCTTGAGTAGCCGACTATCAAGGCTCAGTCGTCAACTGTTTCTAGTCTCCAGAGTCCCTGGCCGTCGATCGGGAGGGCAGCATTTGTTCGAGCCAATTATGCATCACTCCAGACGGATTGTGCCTAAATCAACCCATAACCGATAGCGGCACGCCCACGCTTCGAGAAAAAAGCTTCCAGCGTCCCTGGTCCTGTGACACTGGTCGCGCATTCCGAAGCCTATGATGATGGACATGGTCGAACGACTCAGCTGATTTGATTGTGTGCGAGTTGTCACGCGTGATAGTTCATATCCTGTCTTCAGATTCTTGATCTCCAGGAGTAGAGTAACGATCCAAATTTAATCATGTCGTGTTCAACGCAGGCAGAAACTTGACAGTGGACCTTGAATTCGCTCGATGATGAGGCCCAGAGGTTGATTCAGATCAGAATACGGTGGCTGTGAGTCACGTGTGTCTCCAGATCGGAAACGGGTTGCTCGCCGCCCATTACATACACTCTCGTCCTTCAGTCATCTACTCTCTGTGGTCAACGGCAGGGTCAAGAGCGATATGGAAGCCGTTCCGGAACGGAACATTATTGAATGGGATGAAGCAGATGTACATGCCTGGCTATCTTCGCTTGGATACTCGCAATATGAAGCGCAACTGAAGGGTTCGTGTTCGATGACTGCTGCTCTGGAGCCCGTCATCTGATTCGTGCTTCAGAACACAGCATAAGCGGAGACATACTATGTATGCTCCACCCCGAAACTCTCAAAGGCGTAGGCGTCGCCACGGTCGGGCAACGATTGGCCATCCTGAAAGCTGTCTATCTCGTCAAAGTCGCACACAACGTACCTATTGAACCCGAGGATTATGTCCCACCCTGTGCGCGCCATCCATCTTCCGTGAATGTATAAAGTAATCGTGTTATCTAGCGGAAGCCTCAGAACGCCTAGAAGGTCTCACACTGGAAAAGTTGCATGCGATGTTGAAGGAGCAAAGTACGTCCTCATACACTCAGATGTTACGTATCCTTGAACGCGCCGCCGTCATCTTCAGACTTACGAATGCATCATCTGGAGGATGAGAATCGACATCTGAGCCAAACTCTACAAGTTCTCGTGGATGATCTTAACGCGCAACGTAGTGCTCTGGCCAAGTCGGTGAGGAGGCTCTCAGCCCGGTGTTGTCTCCGATTAAAATGTCTTGCAAACTGTAGGAGGATGCTAGCAATGCCGGGCTTCGACGGCAGTCATCCTTCCAATGGGCACAGTATGATCGGCCCGGCAAGTCACCCACGAAACCTGAAGTAGAATCTCCCCATCCTTCACCGCAGCAGATCGAGCACGATATTTCCTCTCGAAGCGGACACGCTGCGCAAACCGCCGCCTCCAACCAACCCGAACCGACGCGTCCTGTCACAGATTCGCCTAATCCTCCCAGCGCATTAGCACCCTCCAAACCCACAAGATCTGACAGCAACGATAATTTCAGAAGTTTCAAAGTTAGCCTCGAAGATCCCACATGGAAGGTGTTACCGGCAGCGTTGAAGAAGTATCGCATCAACAATGACAACTGGGAGAATTATGCCATGTTCATCTGTTATGGGACTGCGGGTGAGTTGCGTTCCAGTTCTCGTTCTTTTCAGAGATCTTGATTACTCACAGGCAATCGAACTGAACGATGTCTGAGTTATGACGAAAAGCCGCTACTACTCTTCCAACGATTAAAGGACGCGAAGAAGAACCCGGTTTTCATGCTGAAGCACATCAAAGACATCCGTTCGCCCATAGCGGTCGCACAGCAGAAGCATGCTGCGCGCAAGGCTTCCTCGGTGATGAGCAATGGCTCGACGGGTGCCACACTCGGCCACACCAAGGGAGCATCCACATCTTCCACACGACCGTATCAGAGGCCGCCTCGTCTCGAAGTCGATCTTGCCGCTAGCAACGGGGCGCCGGCGCCGGGAATCGCGACAGCGATGAGTCCTGCGCCGGGCTGGGCTGAGCTGGGATGATCTCGCCTTCCGTGGAGCGAAGAGGTGAAGATTTGCTGACGAGTAGCACTGGATTGACGGGATCTACCGCTGTCTCGTCCTCGCACAAGGGCGCCGACCCAACCGATGTTACTCCCAACAGCTCCAGGGAAATGCCGCCAATCTCCTCATCAGGCGTGTCGTATGCGGTGGCAATATATCCCTACATGGCAGAACAGGAGGACGAGTTTGATGTCGTTGTGTGAGTTCACACATTTGTCGAGTTTGCTCATGCTCATAGATTCCGCTCAGCGGTGACACATTTATCATCCTCTCACGCTCCCGCGGTTGGTGGGTCGTCCAGCGAGATCCGACAGGCTCGGGTGTCGTGGATACGGATAACTCCAAGCAAGGTTGGGTCCCAGCGGGATGTTTGCTGGAGACCAGCGTCCCTGTCGCTTCAGCCATCGCAGAAGCGACGGCCGCTACCAAATCGTCGGGCTCAGGGCCGTCCTCGCCCGAAACGCCTACGTCGAAGACACCCATCTTGCCTCTGAGCATCATTTCGACCAGTTTCCCTGGAATAGCCTTGATGGACTACAAAAAGAAGGGTGAAGAAGAGCTTGATCTCGTGAAAGACGACTCGCTCCGAGTATTCAAGCGGTACAATCACTGGTCATATGTACGGTGTTTCATCTGCCTTTTCTCGGAAATTCTCATTGCGTGGACCGTCAGGCTGTCAAGGAGGATGGCGGGGATCGAGGCTGGGTTCCGGTGCGTTTATGCCAAAGGATGGCGCGCCACCCAACCGCTCACAAAGTCCACAGTCCTGGTTTATCGGAAAGGTTGCGACCGGGCCAGCGACGCCGAGTACGAGTATGGCGCCTCCGTTGGATGATTCGAGTCAGGCACAAGTATCACCCATGTCATCAGCTTTCCCGTCTGTGCAGGCCTCTCGTTCGGTCGCAGTCGACTGAGAACGGAGCGCCCGCCTTGCTGTTCGGTTATTACCATAATTCGGGCTTAATTTTGTATACATCTTTTCGTTCAGTGCTCACGACCACATTCGTTTGTCTATTGCTTGTCATATGTACTACCCACCACGCCACACATCGTTTTTACTCTGCAGTGTTCGTTCGGGACATATTGGACGGCTTCTGCTACTCCCCATGCGTTCCGGCCGCCGGGGTATACTATATCTCCTCCCGCCAAGGATCGGCAGCTGATGCCGAGCGCCCGAGCTTCTTCGAGTTCTTACACCTTCAGGACCGTTGTCCACCTTGCGGCCCTTGTGCCACCTTGGGCACGGTATCAGAGGCTGCTAATCACAGGATGCCACTGCATGTCGCGTGAACACTAGATGCCAAGGAGCCCTGCATATAAATGTCCGGGGTGTGGCGGCCACCTCAATCTGTCCCTCGATGAACTCCTCCCTCGTCGCAGAAACCGGGCACCGGATCGCCGTCTACTACCAGACCCAGTACGACACCAGCCTTCCCGACAACTCGGCGTTCGGGCACTATGTCACGACCTGCCCTTGATTGGCCTCATCACACAGTGCGCGCCGTTCGTACCCTGCTCCGCGACGCGCCGATGCGATGATCCACCCGCAGCTTGATGCTGGCCGCGTTCCACATCAACTTCGACGACGTGTCGGTGCACTTGAACGACTTCGTCCCCGAGGCACCGTGGTTCAGCCAGATGTGGGCCGATCTCGCGGTATTGCAGTCCAATGGGATCAAGGTGATCGGAATGTTGGGCGGCGCAGCCCCGGGGACATACACCTGTTTGACCCCGCAATACTTCAACACTTATTATCCGGTGCTGGTGAGTGTCGATCCGCTGCGCGAGAACAGGTGTTCATCTGTGTGCAGAGGGATTACATCTCAAAGTAAGCCCTTCAGGTCGCGTGGTATGTGGCACAAAAGGCTCATGTCGGCTCCTAGGTACCATCTGGACGGGTTGGACTTGGACGTGGAACAGGACACGCCGCTCGAGTGAGTGCCGCCCGCACACGCGCTCCGAAGCACAGACTTGACGCGTGGCGCGCAGAGACATCATTCGACTGGTCAAGCAGCTGAAGCACGATTTCGGCAAGAATTTCATCATCACCTTCGCGCCCGTGGCAGACGCGCTTCTGGAAGGGGCTAACCTGTCCGGATTCGACTACATCCAGCTTGAACGGCAGATCGGCCAGCACATCTCGTGGTACAACGCCCAATTCTACTCCGGATTCGGGCAGTTCTTCCCCGACGACCAATACCTCCAGATCGTGAACTTTGGGAAAGGTCTCCATCCGTCGAGGCTGGTGGCGACGACCCTGACTTCGCCCAACGCGGGATTCGGATTCATCGGGATTGACGAGATTTCGAGCAGTGTCCAGGCTCTGGCTTCGAAGCAAAACTTCAGCTTTGGGGGAGTCGCGGGATGGGAGTATTTCGACAGTTTGCCGGGAGGAAACAATCAGCCATACTTGTGGGCCAAGACAATGCAGTCGACCATGTCGAACATCCAGCAGAAGCACAAGGCATTATTAGCAGCTTGAAATGAACATGTTTGTGCTGGTTGGAAACCTGGGTGTGCTTTGAGTCGGAGTAAGTAAGTAGTGAGTGTGTACATGGTCCGGTCGGGGTCAGCTGTTCACAGCACAGCTGATGGAGGTGATCCGATAGCATGATGTGAACACGTCAATCTTGGCCCCGGCGTATCTTTCGTGTGTCACTATCCTCGGACCTCATTGCGTCTTGCGGTTTCGAGTATTTATTCCCGGCGCAACACGATCGCGTCATCATCATATCTACCACACCGCAGGCACCGCAGCGTTGGGTCTCACAGCTCCCCACATTGCTAAACAACAAAGCACCCGACTACATTCCTTTACCACAGGACTCGGCCGGTCTCAAATCGACTTTCCCTGCCCCGTTAGACGACAGCGATACCGATATCGAAATGTCACAGCCGTATGGCGCGCTTGATATGGGTGCGGAGGACGCGACGAGCCCCTCCGGTGCGGGGGAGAGCAGTGCATTGCTAGGCGGAGATCGGGATTCGTCCGTGCGGACGGTCGCGAAGAGGGAAGGCAAGGCGACTATGGTCAGCTCAGTGAGCAATCTCGCGAACACTATCATTGGCAGTGGTGCGTTTGGTTCCCATCCCACACGTTTTAGGAGGACTGAGATGTCCACCACCTGCTAGGCATGTTGACCTTCCCTCTTGTATGCTCGTCTCCGTCCGCGGCCGACGATAGGAGTTATTGACCTGTTCCTAGGCTCTCGCTTCCGCGGGGATTATTCCCGGGATGCTGACCTGCCTATTCAGCGGCACGGTCGCCGCCTTCGGACTGTATCTACTCTCTCTGTGTGCCGCACGGGCCCCACACCGCCGCTCGTCCTTTTTCGCAGTGGCGCAGATGACCTTCCCCAAGGCGGCCATCTTTTTCGACGCAGCCATCGCGGCGAAATGCTTCGGGGTGTCTATCAGGTGGGAGGCACCTGTGTCCTATTCGATAGCGGCAGTCTGATGTTGCGCGCGCGCAGTTACCTGATTATCATCAAAGGGCTGATGCCCAACGTCGTTGCTGCCCTATTCCACGACCTGAGCTCGCACAACGCGCCTGCGTGGGCCCTCTCGGGGCGCGTCTGGATTAGTCTGTTCATGGTCATTCTGGTCCCGCTCGTGTTTCTCCGCCACCTCGACAGCCTGAGGCATACGAGCTACGTCGCGCTGTTTTCCGTAGGCAAGAACCCCGCTGTCCAATTGAGTAATCAGGGACCTGAGCTGACGCGTTCACAGCCTATCTGGTGGTGATCGTGATTACGGTATACTACAACCCACTAGAGGGGATGCCGGAGCGGGGCGAAGTGCATCTGATCCACTTTACGCCCAACTTCATTTCCAGCTTCCCCGTCCAAGTGTTTGCGTTCACGTGCTCGCAGAATGTGCGACTGGCTCCGTTCCAAGTCCGTGGATGAATCTGACTGATCGTTGGCAGCTCTTCCCGATCTTCAATGAGCTCAAGGACAACACGCAGAAACGGATGAACACGGTCATCGGCGGTGCTATCGGCTCGGCGACCCTGACGTACGAAGTGATCGCTGTGTTTGGGTATCTGACCTTCGGGTCTACCGTCGGGGCGAACATCATCGCCATGTACCCTTCGACGACGCTCTTCGTCGCCGTCGGACAGCTCGCCATCGTCATCCTCGTGCTATTCTCGTACCCGCTGCAGGTCCATCCGTGCCGCAACTGCCTGGACAAGATCTTCCACACGGGCTCGCACGAGATCAAGACCGTGGCGACCCCCTCCGACGAAGGCGACGACGATGCCTTCGACGAGGACCATGCAGGAGGAGAGATGTCCACGCTCAAGCACACGCTGCTGACGACTGCGATTGTCGTCTCGGGATTCTCCATCGCCTTCTTTGTGAATGATCTGCAGCTGGGTGCGTATCCGCGGAGCTTCTGTGGGTGTATGCGTTAAAAACGACGCAGTTCTGTCTTTCGTGGGCTCCACGGGATCGACGACGATCTCGTTTATCCTTCCTGGACTGTTCTACTGGAAGGTGACTCACTCCCAACCTCCAGAAAACTGTTCCCCCTGATCCGCTCCTGCAGCTTACCCGAGGAGACCGCAACCGGAACAACAAGCTCAGCGTAGCCGCGCTGGCGTTGTTCGGCTACGGTGTATTCGTCTTCATCTTCTGGTGCGGCGTCCCGCTGGCAATCCACGCTTCATCCTGATTCCGTTTGCAGCCTCGCGTTCAACATCTATCAAGTGGTCTATCCCAAGGGCGCGGCTTCGCCCGGCCACTAGCGCCGCGCGTTGTCATCATTAATATTTCAGGCGTTTCTAGACCGGCAGCCTGCTTGCCAATCGGTTCACTTCCGTTGAAGCTAATTTGGAGCGAAAGCTCGCCAGTCTTCCATTCAAAGTACACGCCATGCATGTACTTATCATACTCACTTACGTAGGTAATAGTGCACTAGTGATAAGTACACTCTATCGGATTCGAATCGACATTTAGGCCATGCATGCAGATAACAAGTCCCCCAATGCTGTGTGTGATTATCGAACATGTGCCAGAAAACAGTGTCCAGTGATCTTACGCGACGTGACTGATAACCATGATCTGCCCTATGTGAATATCCTCAAAGTCACGACGTCGTTAGACTTTTTGCACGCTCCCATGTCTCGTTTGAACGACATTCGGGACGCTATGGAGCTCCAATCACACACAAGCGTCCCTGGGCCGTCTTCAGGGTCTACGGATATCCGTGTGACCAGGGGGTTGGACTATGCCCCGGGTCTCGAGAGGTGGGCGATGCACCAATACGACGGCAACGGATATGGGCTATACGGACACGACTGGCGGAGTGATTTCGAGCGCCAACGTCGCGCCGGCACCGAGTCTGCAGTCGAAGATGGACGCCGTGACGCGCCGCCTAAGCCTTACAGAACGCGTTGGAGCTCCCGCCGCACCCAGTCTCCCATCTGCGCGGCCGCGGCAGTGGTTCAGTGTGAGCGGGGGACACATCACGGATGGATGCCGCTGCACTCACTACGCTCGTAGAGTCGGACGGAGATGCTCGAGATACTCCCGGAGCTGGCGCGGGCCGTGAACGGGGTGGTCGCGGACGCGTTTGGCACACCTGCTCTGCTGCTCGAGATCGTGGACGGCAACAACAATGGCGTGCAGACGGCGTACGGCGAGGGGGTGCTGAGTGTGATCATGTCGGTTTCACGATTTCCGCGAATGTTCACTGTGATGCAACGCTTACACTTGTGATGTTTACAGAAATGGGCAGCCGCCCCGGATACCGGAGCAGACGCATGGGTTATTGTTCTCGTCGAATGAGCCCCAACTTGGCGCTTTGGACTTGGACTGGATGGGAAACTATCGGCCTATCAAACTTGAACAGGATTACCAGCTTCCTCTGTTTCCTATGGACGACCCTTCCTTGTCAGTGTCCAGCAGAATCACCACACCTGGCTGCGTTGTGTGCTCACATGCGGACTCCGCAGGATCTCGATGGAGCCTGTCGAATGCGCTCCAGCAGAGCAGTGCGTTTGTTCTGTGTGATACGTTGCGGTCTTCTGTGCTTACCCCAGAGCGTAGGCACGATACTAAAGCAGCCACTTCACCGCGAGAAGCGCTGGTTCTTGCGAGAGCGGATGAATACAGACTGCCTGTGCTCTGCGTAGCGTCCGCTCGATACATCACCACGTTTCTAGGTGTCTCGCCTCCGCCAGAGGTGGGCTACGCTCTCTTGGGATTCTTTGCCGTGCATGTGAGCGATTGTCCATGTGAATTTCAGCTACAAAGCTCCAAACGGGTCTACAGGAACATCTCGTCAACGGAGCCTGCGACGAATTTAGACTACGCTGGCAGCCCGGCGGAGAGCGAAATCTGGGTCTCTCAAATGGGCACTCCGATGTGAATCGTCCCTGGTGGACGTATAGCTGGGCCGAGTGCCCGGATCCACTGCCGTGTCCTTCCCTGCTTCCACCCCGACTGCTCATCGCTCCCCAAAGCCTGATGGAATATGGTTTCGGGCAAAGTGTGGCAAACGGAGCAGATGGATGGTTCTGCCGAGACTGCGGGAGAGTGAATCCGGAGACGATGATGCGGCATCGGCGATGTGCGAGTGCTCTCTGTCTTAGTGCTTCTGGCGGGTATGCTGTGGCTCTGGACCGCGTGAGGGATCCCGATGACCTTGTGTATCCGACCCTTCCGGGTGTGGCTCTACCGGCGGGCGTCGATGAGCCGCTGGTGCGCGTGTTCCGCAACGGCATGATGCTTCTTGACTACGCGCTGGGGGTAAGAGCAGCAGCCCAGCGAACCTGGCTTGTCGACGGCCGTGTCACAGCGTTGCATCTTTTCACGGGGAACAAACCCGGCTTGCAGGTTTCGGCCACAGCACTGTTCTCGAGCATCCAGTCCGGGTGTGAGCTGACTCGTGGCAAGCTGACCTCAGCGTGCTTTAGCTGGCATTCCGCTCGCCTCCCGCAATCGAACTGGCCTGCGTGTGTCGTCGACGGCCGCAATCTCATCGAGCAGAGCATCCGGAACTACATCGCCACAAACCACCACATCCGGCTGCAGCAGATGTCGGTCCAGGCTTATCTCAGGAAAGGCACCCATAGTGTAAGGCTGCAAGCTCACGTGTCCGGGACCCTGCTCACGCACCGCAGAACAATCATCTCGATGTCGCAGGGTCCGGACGATGCGCCGCTCTTCTTTGCCTGGGCTCCAACATCGTTCTCCGCATCTATCCCAAAGCAGCCACCAATCCGGTCCTCTTCAATGATCCAAATTTAGATCAACCGGATGTAGACGCGGAGGATCCTCTCATCATCCCCGAGCGACCGCACAATAATCGCCCCTTCTCTGTCACTCTCCTGCACGGAGATATCCTAGTGTTGGCGGGAGATCTTTTCAAGGCAAGTGGCTTCGTGTTGTCTAATCTGATCTGGGCTGGTCTGATCGTTGACAATCAGTATTCAATCATCCGTTCAGGGATGTCTATTCGTGCGTTATTATTGTTAGCGAGGTCTGATACGCTGACAGCATCGTTAGTCGTAGTTGGTATGAGTGACTGAATGCAATGTGTATGTAGTATGTACTATAGTCAAACCCAGTGAACGTGATCCGTGCCGAGCACACCTGTCATCGACCACCACCATGAGCATTATAACACACGTCAAAGCAGACTTGTTCGCAGCTCCCGCACAAACGATCCTAGTTCACGCGTGCAACACCCGCGGATCGTGGGGTGGCGGCATATCGACCGTCTTCAAAGACCGATACCCCGACGCATATACCGTGTACAACGGCGTCTGCAAAGCGAAGTCAGCCTCAGAGCTACTGGGCACGTGTCTCCTGATTCGAGGAGAGACGCACGATATCGCCTGCCTGTTCACGTCAAAAGATTACGGGAGGCGCGTCGATGCACCTGAGAGCATTCTGCGCGCCACGAGGGCCGCGGTGGCGCATCTCCTGGAGCAGAACAGGGACCCGGTGAAGCCCCTGCACGCCTGGTGCGCGCTTTCGCAGAGGCCGTGCTACCCGCATATATTCATGAACAACAGTCGATTCAATTCGGACAAGTTTGCCGTGCCGTGGGAGGAAACGGAGAAGGTCCTGAATGAGCTGGGAGCCGAGATGACGGTATACGAGAGGCCGTGAGGTGCCGATGCATGCATGCATGGCACTGCCTCTTCCGCAGCATTTGGTTTACTGTCGCAGCGGCATCGATTGCCCTTGTTCGTAAGGGGAAAAAACCTAACAAGGAACAAGCTCGCCAGCCAAAAGGTTTAAAGCAAGGATATCGAGGTCAAAGCAGGGTCGGGGGAACTTTGAATGTATATTCGAAGGCATTCACCTCTTGAGCTCCTTCACATCTCGCAAGCCCGACGCGTCGGACAGCCCAGTAAGTACAATAAATAAACACGCGGAGTTGCAAAGTACAATAGCAATCGATGTCACACGCGCGTCTGTCACGCGGTGACTCATCACGCACAATGGAGGCCACCCGATTGGGAAAACAAAGAGTCTTGTACGCGCGCTTTCATAAAGGAAACCGAAGATGAAACGGATTCTTCCTTCTCTCGGCCGCACTTCACGACCTCTCACGTCGCCGGTCGACCATGTCCTCCTGGGCCGCTCCCGCTGCTCCTCCCCCCACTTACGACTCTCATTCTTCCATGAACTCGCACTCACGCCTCCGACCCTACCTCCAGCTTCCCCACCTGCTGTCCCTCACGTGGCTGGCCTACCCCATCCTGTCCCTCGTCTTCGTCGTCTTCCGTCTCGAGATCTCCCTCGGGTCCTCCCAGGACGCCGTGTCGAGCGCGAAGAGCGATCTGCTCGCGAGCTGCCGCGCGGCGGAGCAGGCCGCCACCGCTGCTGCGAGCATGCCGCGGTTCATGGCTACGGCGACAAACGACCAGATCGCCAGCGCTGTGAATGATTCGATGAACGCTGCGCGCGAAGCGCTCGTGCTGGCCCTCACGATCATGGAGGTCATCATTAACTTCGTCGTGGACATCTACCGGTCAACGTTCCTCTGCTTCCTCGAGCTGGTTATCCAGGGCGGCTTGGCTATCATGATCGGGGCTGTTAAGGAGGTGCGTAGACTTGGTCGCAGCACGTTGATCTTCGGCAACTGATCTCTTTTACTTAGTTGAATGTGGTTGTCGGTGCTGCTGCAAATGGTATCCGGACTGTAATCCAGGACGCTTTCGACGGGGCCAACAAGGTGCTTTCTGGGCTCGCGAAAGTCGCGAGCGTCGTCCATGTCACCATTCCGACCCTTACTGTGCCTGACCTCACCTCGCTCGAGAACGTCACGCTGCCGCAGTCCTTCTCAGACGCGCTTACGAACCTGAATAACAGTCTCCCCACCTTTAATGAGCTCAAGCAGACTGTTGAGCAGTTGTACGTGTTTCAGACGGATGATCTCGGTATATGTCTTTGAACTGACTGGATTCTAGTATTGATACTCCCTTCGAGCTCTTGAAAGCCGATATCAACGATACATTCTCTGGTCTCTCCTTCAACTCAACAATCCTTCCCGTTCCCGAGCGGAACACCTTGGCATTCTGCACTGACCTCGACACTTCCTTCGTCGACAATCTTGGCCGTGACTTGGTGAAGATCACGAAAATCGGCATCCTTATTCTCATCATTGTCATCATCATCCTCATCGGTCTCAACTGCCTTTTGGAATGGTACAAGTGGCGGTGCCAACAACAACACCTCGAGTACACACGCCAGGCTTGGAACTCGGATCCATCGATGGTCCATGTGACGTCCGGAGGGACTCCGACCGTCGCGCTGACGGACCATAATCTTCTTATGCTGCAGGCGAATGGCGCACATCCCCTCCTGACCCGTATCGCCAACAATGTGTCGGGAAAACTACGCCTCTCGCCCACAAACCACACGCACCTGTCCTGGTTCCTGCACTACGTCTTCCACCCGCCTGCGCTTGCGTGTTTCCTGATCGGATTCTTCGGTCTTCTTTCTGTGGAGCTGCAGCTCATCGCGATGCGACCACTGGTGGACAAGTACTCTGCACAGGCAGCGAGCACGGCGACGGATTTCAGCAACACAATTGCCACCAGCATCAACGCGAGCATGTTCAACCAGAGCGCCGTTTACGCCTCCGCGGTCAATAGCCACATTGACGCCATCCAGAGCACGGTCAACGACGGGCTGTTTGGCTGGGTCAACACGACGACGACGACGCTCAACACGACTATCGAGAATTTCTACGAAGACATCCAGCATGCGGTTGACGTTGTGTTCAACGGCACAATACTCGATGCACCGATCCAAACTTTCATCCAATGCATCATCGGCAGCAAGGTCGATGCGATCGAGCAGGCGCTGACGTTCCTGCACAACAACTTGAACATCAACATCCCCCGCGTCAATGACTCCATCCTCGTGCTCTCTCCGGATTCCGTCAATGAGGCCACAAAGCCGATCGCCGCAGCGGCCGTCGGCCAAAACGGTGACGGCGGCGGCCTCGTTGGCAAGATCGTCAACAGCTACGAGAACGCGCTGCGGAAGGAGCGGCTCATGTTTGGCGTCTTCATGGGATTGTGGGGCCTGGTCGTGTTGATGGCGATTGCGGTGCTCCTCTATAACTCGTATGGCCGTGCGTATCTCGAGAAACGCGGGCGCAGGCGCTGGGAGCGGGAGCAGCGCACGCTTCCGTTGGCTGCAGGTGCCTTTGAGAAAGGGTTCGAACCCAACGGTGGTGGCGGCGGCGGTGGCGGTAAGTCGGAGCTCCCGTCGTTCACGCCCCTGCCCTCGCCGAAGCTGGGCGGGGCATTCAATCTGTTCCGGAACAACAAGAACGGCTCCTCCGACTCTGTTGACCACAATCGCAGCTGGGACACGTTCTTCGAGAAACCGCCCAAGTCGGCTCGGTCAGTCCGTGAAGTCAAAACGATCAGCAAACCGATGAAATTGGTCGGCAAAAACGCGCAGCGAGGCCAGGAAATTCTCGTTCCCGACAGTGCTATCTCGTTGACTGAACCTGAGGCTGAACCGGATCGAGTCAGTCGGCGGGACACTAAATGGTTCATGCGCGTCGCGACCTTGCTGGCTAGGAAGGAAGAGTCGCCCACCATCGAGCCTTTCCCGACGACATCCGCGCCGCAGCCTCCTCCCCTTCCGAATCGACCCCGGCCAGCGCTGCAGATCACAGTCGACTCACCTGGGAGTCTGAGTGCACCATCGGCCGCTAATGTCCCACCAGCCGGTATCGAAGACCGGTCTCGGTGGTCGGTGTCGCCGCAGAACACCTCAAGACCATGGACCGGGCTCATATCACCAACGGCGGGCCGGCACTCGTGGAGACACAAGCACAAGCCTAGCGTTCCGTCAAATGTCGACTCAGTGGACGGCGATGCTTCGCTGTTCAACGTCGCTCGTGCTTCTGTTACGCCCTTCGCCGTCCCGCTCCATTCGGGCTTCGACATTCCTCGCAGGCAACCCATCTCCCCCCTGCATCCTGTTCGCCAGACCAAGGCCCATCGCCGATCGTTGTCCATCCCGCCCACGAATGTTCGGCGGATGCCTGTAGCCTCGGTCGTCCCCGGGGACAACCCGTTTGCGGACAGCAACGCTCGGGTGTTGACGGCTGCGAACCCGTTCATCACGCCATTTGACGACGAGCACCGTGTGCAGCTGGATCATGCGGACCGTGCCGGCGCGCGTAAGAGTGTGTCGACCAATCCGTTTGCCTAGTCTGCCATGTAGGATCTGGCATCCTCATCCATCCATCCATGCATCTTACGAATCCGACTCAATGCATTCATCACCGCTCACGATACTGTACTTACTCATCTCGCTACTGCTGGACTGACTGCCCCACTAATACTTATCAAAGCAGTGTATATACAGCCGCCTGTACGGTCATCCTCCCCTCTTCCTCTGCTTCTTCTGTTCCATACACGTACCGTACGTACCATTGGTGTATTTTTTGACACACATGTGAATTGTATTTCTAGAGCTGTTGCTGTTTTACTTTGCTGTGTGCCATCCACGACCAAGAAACCTGCTCGTGGATCATAGAGTGTCTCGAGCAAGTGACAGCAAGCAACGATTGCATCGTCCTTCGATTTGGCCAGGAGGTCCTTCGAGAAACATCGGATCTGACTCATGGGTGAAGGTTGACACAGTTGGGAACAGAGATCAGGAAGAACACTGCACGCGAGATGAAGACAAAAGCCAGTACTATGAGGGAGATGGAGAGGACGACGAGCCGCAGATTGTCCCAGTCTCTTTGAAGCAGACTACCCGCAAGACCACTCAATCCTCAAAGCCAGGTCAGGACGCGGGATACAAGTGTGCTGAGCGCAAGGATTGCATCCGGTAGGCTAATGCTATGGCACATAACGTGAATATATGCTATCCCACAGCTTGTGAGTTTCCTCATCTCAGATTCGCTTTCGATATGCAGAGATCGCAGTGTCTTCCATCGCCTTTGAGATGTGTGGGAAACGCGTCGCCACTGCCATTTCGGTGGAGCGCAGGAAGCGATTGGAATGCACAGACAGGGCTGCCGACGAGCGATAGAGGGAAGGTCGACTCTCGCCTAGCATGTGCGATTGGGATGGAATAGGGAAGGTGATGATGGCATGAAGAAGTAGAGGAAGCTGAGCAGATGGCAGAGATTTCTGGACATTTACGGACCGACACGCAGACTTCTCAAAAAAGAGATCAGATTCTCATTGTTGTCCACAAGTGTCTACACCGGTGGCCCCGGTGGGGGTAACTTGATTCCCCAAAGAGGGTTGCGATGCCTGATCGATCCGTCACGTCTATCACGCTTGAAACGGTGAGACTGCTGGGTAAGCTTCGCGTTCTCTCTTCGTACTCAGACCAGTCGCTGTCCCATTGCATTGGCATAGTCCTTCTGCGTTCACCGAAAGACGCGTTTTCGGCTCTCTTTTAGATGTTCAGTACGATTCACATAGCATTGCCGCAACGTCGCTGAACTGCTGCTCTGCATAGTTTCCTTGTCTTCTGTATCGATCTACGCGCGCTGCTCTAATGCTTACTTACAAAAACAAACACACTGGCATGCTCTCTCCTCCAGTCAGACGCAGATTACTTCTTCTGGCCGTTTCTTCATTCGCTTCTTGTATCTTCTTTAGCTATCCGAGGTGGACGATGATCATGTCGAACCCTCGCACCTCCATCTTCGTGGACATCGAGATACCACCTCTGCCGACGGTGACGGTGACGGTGGAGATGCCGGCTAGAACAGGGTCAGCTGAATATACGCGAGAGCCTGTGCGATTGAGCAGGACGATGTCGTCGTCTTTCAGAGGTGCGCCGGAACTGCCCATCGCAGCCATCCCTGTTACTGATGCAAAATCAGACAGTCTGCAACCCGAGACCAGGTATACAACGGCTTGGCCTGTAGGTGATTGGGGTGAGTGAGTTCCTTTTTGGATCTTCTATATTCTGATCGGCTGGTGAAGGAGCCCAGACGATTGCTCTCGTGCGTCTTCATCGCGCCATTCCTCTTGAAAGATGCTGAAGGACGTGTTAGATCAATCTTTTATACTTTGCCCTCATAACGCAACGTGTCCCGATCATTCCTCCATTTTCGTTGCCTCACGAAGGAGCGCCCCCGGACCTAGACTTTGGAGAGGTCTTCGATGTGCCGAGGTTGGAAGCGGAGACGGGGCTGTCGATAGTGGAGTGGTATCAAGTCAAAGTGCGCGTCTGATTTTGCTCATAGGTCAAGGCGATTGCTGATTCTTGCAGGATCCCCAGAGTACGACGGTAGACGTGTTGGGTTGCTGGCAGATTCCCCATGCCCGATCGAACGCGTCGTCAATTAACGTCTATCCATCCCGGAGTCTAAGGCTGGGTGAATGAATCCACTCTGTTCCTCTGCTTTCTGTGATCTTGCTGATCCTGCGAACAGACATATCGTATTCCCCCGTCCCGCAGTGGACCCGACTCGAATCGGATGTTGATCAGCATCACAGCACATTTTGGTCTCTGGCCACTCTTGCATTCCCAGATAGTGTCGGGGCGGCATCAGACGCAGCAGCAAGGATCCCTTCTCCGATCCACAAAATTGTATTGCCTGCAGACCAGCATATGCTATGTTTCGACGACTTGTCACAAGTATCTGTCCTGAGTGTAGGTCCCTTGGCATAACATCAGTCAGACGATGACTCAACTAATGGATGCAGCCATGGGAGTATACGCAAGAGATGTCCCCAGCCTGGCGTTTTGTTGGACGACATCTGTATTGGAACCCGAGACTGCAGATCATCGCTGACAAGTTCTTGCGTGAGGCATTCAGCGTCGAGCCCAAGGAATCTATACCACCGGTCAAACATCTTGATGCACCCATCCCATCTAGCTGACGTCTGAGACAGTACATCGCGATTCATGCAAGACACAAAGATCCAGGATCCTGGTGCGATCGTCCAGCTGGAGAGTGCTTCGTGCCTCTTTCGGCATTCGCCAGGAGAGTCGACAATGTCAAGATGAAGGTCCTCGCCACGCTTGGAGTTCAGATCGATAAGGTGATTGTCACAAGCGACGATATGGACCAGCGATGGTGGAAAGCCGTGAAGAAACGAGGATGGGCGTATCTGGACCATTCGGAGACCATCAAAAGATATGGCGCCTGGCAAGTCGTCCCAGTAGCTCATGCAATCCTTGTTTCTGATGCTCAGCAGGTATCCGAATATCATCGACGATATCGTTGTTTCCGGCGCTTTGGGATTCATCTCGTCAGACAAGCCGATATCAGCGGTTCTCGGAGGCAGGAGGGTGGTGTCATGGCAAGGTGGAGTAGCTAACACGGTGATTTGGGATACGAGGCAAGAATCCTCGCAGCTTGGGCAGTTATGACAACGAGTCAGAACAGCATACAACATAACAGCATGATACAATACAACAAGAGTGACAAATAAGTGAAAAGATGCTGCAGAGATCAAGCCTCTGGAACGCCCTTGCCCTCTGCAAAGAAAGGTCAATACTAAAAGAAGATGCTGGAAGGAGACGCACTCTTTGTTGCAGTTGGCAAAAGGGAGGGGTCGATATGAGGAACAACACCACCCTGGGAAATGACTACCGATCCGAGAAGCTGAGTAAGAGTTAGTATAAGCCCAGGTCCGTCTCCACACAGACCACACAAACCTTGCCCAACTCTTCGTCATTGCGAATGGCCAGTTGCAAGTGACGAGGGACGATACGATGTTTCTTGTTGTCCCGGGCAGCATTGCCGGCAAGCTCGAGGATCTCCGCAGCGAGATACTCCAGAACGGCAGCCAGGTAAACTGCGAGTACTGATAAGAGACATGAGACACTTGAAGGCGAAGGACGCACCCGGAGCTCCGGCTCCGACACGCTGGGCGTAGTTGCCCTTCTTCAAAAGACGGTGGATACGACCGACAGGGAACTGGAGACCAGCTTTGGACGACCGCGATTGAGCCTTCGAATCGACACTGGCGCCAGCTGCTTTGCCGGATTTGGATTTGCCGCTAACTTTTCCAGACATGGGCGACTAGGGTGCGTGAGTGGAGGTTGAGGTGGTGGTAGAGGTCCAAGAGTAGGGGAGGGGCGGTTCGTGGGGAAGGAACATGGTTGCGGTCTTTTAAGAGGCCCAGCTTGATGTTTATGAGGTCAACAAAGAGGAAACAGGGCTCAACAGAGCTTGACGCGACTCACGTGACATAGAGAGGCGCGAGGGCGGAGCTCGAACTTCAGACTCCGCAATAAAAGGGGCTCGATGCGCGTCTCAGTCAGTTCACTTATCTTGCCTTCCGCCTTTATCTCTGATCCTGGTGATCGTCGAGTCTTTTTGCATCCACAACTTATAATCTTGCCCAATACAAATCTACGCCCACAATGGTCGCATTGAAATCACATCTCACCCTGCTTGCTCTGTCCGTCGCGTCGCTTTCACTGCTTCCTGGATCTGAGGCGGCTGCCTTGCCTATTCGAGCGCCGTCTATGTCCTCGCCCGTACAGTACGCACGCCGTCAAGTTCCGCCGACGATGCCTATGTCGATGCGGGCGAAGAAACGCTTTGCTGGTTTCAAGCATCGACCTCGCGACACTGCTGACATCTCGCGTAAGCGCAAGTTCCTCAAATCGGTGGGTGGCTTTTACCGTGACCTCGCCGTGTGATGGCGCTGATCACGCCCTTGTAGAGAATACTAGAACCGCTTGTTCCCATTGGTGAGGTCTTTGGGAAGCGTCATCCTCAGGAACAGGCCCATTTCAGTGTCAAGGAGCGCCGTCAAGATAGTTCAAGTCTTCCTGGCCAGTACGGACGAGTGGACATTATGGTGTGCAACTATGTCGAGCGCATATACCCACGTGCTGACTTACTTCACCGCTAGAACAACGGTACAATGGTCGGAAGTCTTGTGATGAACACGACAAGTTCCCCTCCTGTTCTCGATGCCTCATCTAACAATCATACGAACTTCAATATGGTTCCCACCGACAACAACCTGTTTACGCTCCAAACGTTGATGAACACCACGGAAGGCCTGATGCCGTTCTGTGCCACGTATGATCCTCAGCCACCAGCGCCTGCGCCGCTTACCGTCACCCGCTGCCAAAATACCACGACCGACTCTCAGCCCCACAAGAGCCAAGTGTTCGACTATGATGCGAGCAGTGGCGTCCTTAGGCCTCGTTGGGGTAGTGGTGCATCGAGCGTAGCGGGCAACGGTACTGCTGTTTCTTCTCAAGAGATTGATGACGAACAAGCGAGTGACGACGACGAAGATGCTGGCGATAACGACACTACCGGCGGCGACGACACTGATGGTGATAGCGACACTACTGGTGACAACGATACTGCTGGCGACGATAGCGATGGCGCCCCCCTCAACTCACGTGATGCGTCCGGCTCTGCGAATGTCGAACTGGTCTTTGTCCCTGACCAAGAACCTTCCGCTGCAGCTGAGCAGGTTGCGCCCATCGAAACGACGACTGTCACAACCACTGTCACGACATCTGCATCTGCTACTCCTGACGACCGAGTCGTTCCCTCGACCACGCTCAGCTCCAGTCCCTCTTCTTCTGTCGGTGCTCTTGCTGTCGAGGTCAACACCGTCTCGAGCTCGGTGCCGGCGTCCTCTTCAGTGGCGCAATCGCTGATCTCATCAACGACGACGATTTCTAGCTCAGCAACATCGACGCCTTCTAGCTCAGCAACGATGACGCCTTCTAGCTCAGCAACGATGATCCCTTTCAGCTCAACCACCGTCGACGCCTCTCCAGCAACACCGACCGACGACAGGGCCTCCGACGGCGGCAACGACGTCTCTTCTGCGCCATCAACAACTCCTCAAGATGAGCAAGCGGTGTACGTCGTTGCCGCTGGTGGCCGTTTCTAGGTGTAATATTTCATCAAAGACCTTTTCTATAATCGTATATCCATCCTAATCGCAATACGTTGTTTGCGTCCTTCCATGTGTTTGATCGTCTGGCCGAGTTTGACAAGCTCGATTTACTGTACTTTCGTTGGACTATCACGTGAACAAGCCGTACGATCACACATCAATGATCATGTGTCACAGGGATCACTCTTGCGATCGTGCCAGGCACATGGATGACGGTAATCTTTACTTACTAATAAAATGACTCAATAAGGGTAAACAAGCCATTTGCTGGGAATGACTGGTATTCAGAAGAAAGTGTAGGAGCAGAATATATACGTCCTTCATCGAACTCTGCTAGCGAAGGATCTGGAACGACTGAATGAATTATGGAAGCTAGGGACCTGAGACAGTTGTGTGCGATTGGCTGAATGTGGCATTGAACGGTTGCTTAGGTCATCAAGCAACGGCTTGGCCTTTTCCGTGTACGACGACTTCAGTATCCTATCGCCGTCGTTGTTCATAGCGAGCTCGGTCTACCACACTCCTTTACCCACACGTTCTTTCTCGGTACCTCTACGATGCATATGCGGCTTGCAAACCACCAGCACATCCGTGCTCCTCCAAACCCCACCCCACCCAACTCTCCCCCAGTTGGCCCGTCCAACACTGCCGATAACGCAGCTCCTTCGAGCCCCCCTGGTGGTACGCACCTGTTCAATAACATATGCAACTTGGTGGGCTCAAATCTTTCTAGGCGACCAATCTGGTAACGGTGGATCCGACAAAGGGAAAGGCGTCACTACCTCAGACACCTCCACCTCCACCTCCACCTCTAGCTCGACCTCGACCTCGACCTCGACCTCAACTTCGACATCGGTAGCCACCCCGCCCACCACCTCGACCACCTCGACCACTTCGACTTCCTCGACTCTGGTTCGAGTGAAGACCACCACTTCAACGTCTTCCACGCCGTCCACCACCTCGACTTTATCGACCGCTGCCCAGACCACCACCACCCCCTCTACTACGAGCACCCCCGTTGCAGCTACTGTTTCTACGTCGTCGTCTCAATTGACGACGTCAGTTCTGACAACCAAGGTGGCGACGACCCCGACCATCGTAAGTCTTGGCATTGTGTGACGGCGCCACACCTCTTACATACGACCCAGGTCTCGGTCACGCGTGCAAAGACTACTGGAACTGATACGCTCAATACGCTTCCGGCCTTTGTTCAGACCACTGCAGCAGGGTCGACTGTCGTGGCCTCCGCTCCTCCTGTCGCCGCTGCAAACCAGGTGAACATCGGTGCTGTCATTGGTGGAACCGCGGGTGGGATCGCTGCTGTGGCCATCATATTCTTCATCTGCACATACCTCATCGTACGTCGCACACTTTCGGACATGACCCTCACTCAGCCCCGTTCAGAAAAGAAGACGTTCGGCGAAGGAATTTGATTCCTGGTCCTTCCGCAAATCTGCTGTGATCGTCGACGACTCGTTCACTACCCCTCGTCCTCCCACCATGATTGAGCGCAAAGGCGAGCACGCGTCTGGCCCATCGGTTTCCAGCTTCAATGGCCCCAACCTCGCCGGCGCTGGCGCTTTCACTCAGGGAGAACAACAGCAGTATCAAGAGTACCAACAGTACGATGCTCAGCAGTATGGGCAACCAGCAGCTGTGCATCAACACATCCAGCCCAGTCAACAGTACACGTATGGCCAAGCCTACGAAGCTCACGCCCACGGATACGAGCACAGCTCGGACGTTGGACACGAGGCTGAGTACAACGGCGCCTACAGCTCGGAGCCGCACGCTCAGGACATCTACGCTGCTGAAGCTTATGGCTATCCCGAGGACCAAGTCGTCGTCACGCCTGGCACTGATGCTCAGGAGATGGGACATCACCAGGCATACGCCCAACATGCCCAATCTCATGATGCCTACGGCGGCATGTAAACGCTCTAACAAGTCATCAGTGGCTTTTGCTTGGTTTTGTGTACCTGTTACATTTATGGCCTGCGGTTGTCCTTATTATCTCTCATACCGGACTGCATACGTTGTAGAACGTATGCTCGATCCGGTATGTTGTGATGCCGCCTCTTGTTCTTGCTTACATCTCGTACGCGGGCCCGTGTTGTGTTGACATCCATACCCTCCCATTTCTCTCTAAAGTATCGTGTGTTTATAGCTCCTTCCAAAAAATGTGATTTACAGTCAATGTAATTTCAAGTTGCCGATATGCTTAGGCTTTGGTTATGACGATCATGACGAAACCGTGGATCTCCACAGGCTCACTTGGTCTTTGTCCACAGCTCTCATTTCATGCATAAGTTGGCGCAGAAACTATCTGGTTTTCACAAATCTCGTTCGAGTAACAACGAGCCGGCCGCCTCGCAGACTGCGACCATTGATCCACAGAACGATCAGTCCGTCTATCGTTTCAGGAAGCAGCGTGGGGTGAATCTAGGTAGGTCTTGTGTTGCTTATCTATCTTCTACACGACGAGGACTCACGCCCCGATAGGTTCGTGGTTCGTCCTGGAACGATGGATCGCAGACGCACCCTTCCATCGTGCTGCCGAGCCTGGCCAAAGCGATCTCGATGTCGCGCGTGGGAAGGACGCGCGGCAGGTGCTGGAGGCGCACTACGATACGTGGATCACCGAGGCCGATTGGGCTTGGATCGCGGAGCATGGGTTCAACACTGTTCGAATTCCCGTGTGTCTGTTCGCTGATTTATGGCTGGCCGCCGTGCGCTGAGCCAAAACCGCATAAAGTTCGGGTATTACCATCTGTGTGGAGCTGATCCCTCGGTCATCGCAGGCACAGACTTTGCGGACTTGGGGGAGATATTCGCTGGTGCATGGGTGCAGTTGTTTCCTGATTCCGCGCGAGCCGCTGGCTGCCTGCTGACTCGGGCTGATTCCCCAGGCGCGTCTGATCCAGGCGGTCGAGAAGGCACAAAGCTACGGATTGGGCGTCCTCCTCGGTTGGTCCCGACAAGACTCAATTGCGAGCCGGCTCATGGACTCATCGGCGCACAGATCTTCACGCTGCGCCGGGGAAACAGAACGCGGACTCGCACGCAGGGACTTCCAACGCGCCTGCGTTCTTTGGCAACCGCCGGCTCCAGAAACACACGGTGCATGTCCTGCAGAGTTTGGTGGCGCGATTGCACGAACACGATCCGCCGTTGGCCAACGTCGTCGGGATCGAGCTTCTGAACGAGCCCCACCCAGACTCGGATGCCGAGCTCAAGGCGTGGTACACGTCCGCGATCCAGGAACTGGCGAGGCTGGATGCGGGGCTGCCCATCTACATCGGCGACTGCTGGAAGACGGAGCAGTACGCGGAGTTCGTGAAGAATCTGTCGGGACCCCGGCCGGCGTTGATTGTGCTGGACCACCATCTGTACCGGTGCTTCACTGCGCAGGACACATCGACTCCAGCCTCGGCACATGCTCAAGCTCTGATTGATGGCGAGACGCCGGCACTGTTTGGCCGCGTCTCGGAGATGCTGAATCAAGCAGGCGCGGGGCTCGTCGTCGGAGAATGGTCAGGCGCTCTGAATCCCGGCTCGCTCGCAGCCGGTTCCGCAGCCAAGGATGTGCCAAGCTACATCGCTGCCCAATTGCAGCTCTACGAAGCGCACTGCTCGGGGTACTTTTTCTGGACTTACAAGAAGCAAGGCGCACACCCAGATAAAGGATGGTGTCTCCGAGATGCGGTCGAAGCCGGCGTCTTCCCAGATCGGGTAGGCATGTTTCTCTCCAGTCCGATCGGGGGAGAAGAAGACGTGCAACGGAGAAACGACACCCGAGACCAGCTGAAAGCTCGGGCGCTCGGTGCGTCCCGCAACCTCAATCACAGATGCCGTAAACCTAATTTGTTGGCAGATGCCCATGTCGGATACTGGTCGCAGTTTCCGGGAAAGTATCAGCATGAACGCTTTGGCGAGGGATTCGGTCTGGGCTGGGACGACGCATATGCTTTTTTTCAGAAGAGCGGCGGAGTGGGGCGGCCGGTTTCTGAGCTCGGGTTTGTCGGCGCTTGGGCCAGAACGAGAACGCATGATCATGGATCAGGTTACTGGGAGTTTCGTCAGTCGAGATCTCGTTCGCATTAGCTGGTCACATGATTGTTTACTGACGGGCCGACAGAGCATGGGTTCAACCAAGGTGTTCTGGCTGCTAAAGAGGATCTTCGCGCGAATTTCTGTCATTAGGTGCATGGTGGTGTGGCATTGTAGGATGTAATAACAGCTCGTGCGCGGACATACAAGTACAACAATTATGCGTTCATTCGTTCTTGAACGTAGATTAAGTCTCCCAAGGCGAGGCAGGCCGTCAATGTGGTCCGCAGCGTCCGTATTTATCCCGCGGCCAAGTCTGGCGGCGACGCAATTCCGGAAGCCGTGTCCGTCTTTTTCATAGCGTCTGACGGTGCAACTGGACATGGATATTCAGCGTCGTCATCCATCTTCATCCATCCGAGTCGTCCAAAAGTCATCATAGTTTGCGAGTTCGTCCTCGATCAAAGCAGAATGTTGCCGATCGAGCTCTGTTTCGCTCGGTCTTGCCTTGGTGCGCAGGGAGATAATTCTGCATCAAAACACATCAGACAGACGGCACTCGGATCAGACGAAAGACAGACGTACACCCGGCAAGCCACGACGTTGGGGAGAATGAGGATGTAGGGGAGGGCCATCCCATTGTGGTACAGATCTGGACTGCAGGACGAGTGCGTGAGATGATTAGTGAAATGAATAGATGGGAGAGACACGCCACGCCACTGACTTGTAGTACGACCCCAACGCTGTCGCGTTGACAGCCAACATGCACCCAAACGCGAGCAGGCCTGTGATAAGATGAACATTGATGGATTGTGTTGTATGAAAAGCAATGTACCTTGATTCACGAATACCCGGCTTAACGACCCTTGGAACCGGCCTTTCTGTATCCGATACTGAAGCGGTTGTTGGATGTCGAATCCAGACGGCAAGAACAACTACTCACGAGAACGATGACCAGCAAGGAAATCAAATCCATGAATACAGCGGCCGCCTAGCACGAGCCTTCAGAGTCCGTCCGCCGTCGAAAGCAAAAGTCTCATACCATCTCCAAGCCTATCCGCAGATTATCTGACGTGGCCGAGTAATCCGGAAAGCACCCTGTTCCGCCGAGCACCTCGTACACCAGATCCGCGAGCTGTGGCACGTCGACGCAGAAGAACCACACATTCACCCCGATCAGCCCCGCGAGGCAGGTGCACAGCAGAACGAGGGCTTTCCGATTGCGGCCGGTGAAGCCGTACGCGCGCATCAGCATCACAGCGTGGGCGAAGCATTGCTGGCGGGCGCCGGGTCAGGATGCATGCAGAAGCGGGGTATGAGGGAGGGTTGGGATTGTGCGTGCTCACCATGGGCAGGAGGGTGTAGTTCACCGCGTGCGTCAGGCGGGAACAGGTTTGTATCGAGTGGTCGAGCACATAGGCGTAGATGACGATGGGCCATGTGAGGACGCTGTAGTACCTGCCGCGGGCTCTGAGTGTGAGGGTAGGATGGGCAGATCGCGGAAACGCACCGGCACAGAAAGTAGGCAAGCTTGATGGAGTTCCACCGCGAGGGCCAGATCTTCGTCATCGTATGAGCCCTTGCTCTGAACCACATATACCAAGGTAAACCACCACTCACCAGATCAACCTCCTTCGGCAACCTAGTCGTACGCACACATCCCTCTTCAGCAACAAAACGGGCGCATACAGCGATAAGAGGAGGGACTCACGCATGGAGCCACTCGCACAGCGCGATGCAATACACAGCAACGACCGACCACCGCGTAAGCGCAATGCTCTCCGTCGCCACCTCGATCGGGAACGTAGACAACGCGTCCAGCACAGCCGCAGTTTCACTCAAGTTCATCGGTCCGGTGAGAGCTGCCCCCATACAGTAGCGCGCACGCCGGGTCTAGTTCATACGGCGGGACGCTCTGTCCACGGAGAGCGGGGCCGCGATTGCAGGAAGGAAGAAGGAAACCAGGAATTAGACAGCAGTGGCAGATGCAGGAGGTCTGTCGCGGTCGCGCATATATCAAGCGACAGCGGGAAGGAAAGAGACGTCGTTGCATTACGTGAATTTGGGCTGACAATGCTGTGGGCAAATGCTCAGTCGGCGACTCGCCGGTGCAACTTGTTGGAGGTGAGAATCTGATTTATTGCGCCCGGGACAACACTCACACCCCCACGTTATGTCGGCGGCCGCGTCACGTGGTCATTCGATACATAGGTGGGCATTCAAAAGGCCGACTCTACATATGCATCTACATGATGTTCGTGGGACGTGGCCCGTATGTCTAATTTATAAAATATGCGTGATATGCTACAGTGTGTGTGGTTTGGCCCCGGACTGGACTCGTCTGCTCACTCAGATGGGAGAGAACGAAGGGAAGATGCGCGTCAGATCGCGGTCAGCCACATGCTCCATGCAGACCGGACATTTATGGTTCGTTGCAGAAAGTATGCATCTGGACAAGACATGAGCATGGGAACGACATCAGACGTATGTTGTTTGTTTGGCCACTCACGCTTTGCAGAAAATATGACCGCAGCCAGTCGCCGTCATCTCCTTCGGGAAACCACGGCACACAGGACACACCACACCCAGCGAAGGCATATCGTCCTTGTATTTGGGCTCCCAGCTGTCATCGAGCACCTTGGCCGGCCAGCCAGAGTACACCCGTCCGGCATCGGCCACATCCCCGGAGGTGAGAAGCGTGTGTTCGCACAGCATCGACGAGTCTTCCATCGAAGCACCGGACAGAAGACGAGAGCCAGTTCGCATCGCACAGCCGCTACCAATGTTGAGACTGTTCAGCGCGAATTGGCCCCGGGAGTTGATGTGTGCAACGACGGAACAGTCGTCTAGGTTGACGTTGTCGCCGAGCTGTAAGTATGCGTGAGTTCCAGCAGTAGATGAAAGAGGGGAGAGACACAAACGCACATGGACCAGATCAGGCTCCGTCATCAGACCAGTCTTGCCACCTGCATAGATCACACAGTTCTTGCCAATCCTGGCGCCGAGCGCCCTGAGATACCACACGATGTACACCGAGCCCGTGATCGGGGCAAGAACACCGCCGTTCGCGTAGCCCTTGTTGAGGATGCGAGATAGCGAGAGATGCAGCTGCCATCGCTGGCAATAGCTGCTCTTGTCCCAGGTGTACCGGCCGTCCCGCCTGCGTCCGATGATAGCCCACTTGGCCAACACAACGAACACCAGCGCTAGGATAGCTTGCAGGGTAAGTGCGATGACAAATGCTATAGCGATGAAGCCGTAGATGACACCGGGCCGATACCAGCGGGGCTTGTAGATGTGCAGGATGTGAGTGTAGTGCAGATGGAGCTGGTGCAGCAACTGGGCGGCTGATATGGCACTCAGCGACCAGAATGCAGCGGACATCGCGGCCACGAGAATGTTGATCGCCAGCAGCATGACATATGGGAAGACAAAGTAGTCCGCCTGACGCTGGTGGAATGCCCGGCCAAAGGGGGTGATCGTGGACTGGGCTTCAGCAGCCGCGGGCGACCCTTCGTCCAGACATTCAGTCCCAAGCCATGTCGAGCCGTCCTTGTATTCGGTGTCTCGCATGCCCAATGCACCGGATCCCATGACCGTCTTGTGGCCAACTTTGCAGCCGGGGAGAAGCACGACCCGGTCAGCAATCATGGCTGCAGGCGTCTCGTCAGCAACGCCAGCGGCAAACACATAGGAGAGAAGAGAACGCGCCTCCGTCTGCGATCGTAACTTTATTGGACCCGACACGATCGGTAGTGAAGACCTCACTGCGCGAGCCAAACACGACATCATTGCCGATCTCCAATAGCTCGGGATCCACGCAGTAGATGTTCGTCCCCGGCCAGTACACCCTCTTCCCGACTTTGGCGCCCATGGCCCGATAGAAGACAGACACAACTTCATAGTGCGTGCCGAGAATGGAGAACGCGGCTTTAAGCGCGTTTTGCGAGAGAAGAGTGCTGTTGATGTACCGTCGGAGCAGCACAAGCTGCGACATTTCGGGGGTAGTCATCTCCTTGTTGAGCCCAAACAGACGCTTCACAATGACCCCGAGGACAACTTGAATGACGGGTGTCGCGATCGCCCGGATGACACGAGAAAGGGCGTGATATCCGACTCGTTTCGGAGCAGAGAACCAGTACACGACCGACTCCAGAGCAGAGAGTTGGTTGGTCTGGATCGAGACACCGCTGACCATCAGCCAGATTGCAAAGAACCAAGGAATGTCTGTAAATCTGTAAGCAATGCAGCGCAAGAACACATGACCAACACGCACTGGAAACGAAGTAGACCGCAACGATCACCGGCCACGCAACGAAGAACTTGAGCCATAGGCTGGGTTCCTCTAACAACGTCCGGTTGAACGCAGCATATGATCGAGGCGAAGGTGGATCTTTGGACGAGGCGTGGGGGCCATACACCGTGTTATCTGGAATGACGGCACCTGGGGAGATTTGCGTGTACGTGTTGATCAGTGCCCTCTGCCCAATGATAATCCTATCCAGCCGGATCATTCCCTCCCGCTCGACACAAAAACCTCGGATCATGCTTCCGTCGATTCGACAACCATCCCGGAACGTGAGTAGGTCGTATTCACCAAGCCTGGCGTCCTTCGAAATGCGCACGTTGCGGCCAATCTTCGCACCCAGCAGCCGATAGTAGAGAATCTCTAGCAACGGATGCATGCTGAAGACACCACGGCCGGCGACGCGCAGGCTCTGGTTGACGATCCACCAGCGCAAGTAGTACGTCGAAAAGGTCTTGTACGTCCCGGGCCTGTACTTGCCGATTACGAGCCATTTGAAGATGATTGACGTCACAGGAGCAGCGACACGGGCTAGAAATGAGTCAGGGCCGCGTATAAGTATCCCGGGGACGAAGAAACGCACTGGTAAACCGAGCAACTAGGATCGCGACCAAGAGCGACGAAATCCGCTGCCAGAATGAACCACTGATGATCGGTGCCAGCCTGGACAGCATGAGGAGCAAGATGGTCCAAGTCATCGCCGCTTTGAGGGGGTAGAAGAAAACGAGGGGCAGGGCCTGCACGAACATGGTGATGGGATGGGTCTGCCCGCGGGAGGTTTCGTGGGAAGCCATGTCCTCGTCGTAATCGTAGCTCATATTTAAAGTAGTGCTCTCGCTGTGACGAGCAGATGGCATAGGCTTCTCCGCGTTTCGGCCATGTTCCTGTTCGATCATCGCCGCTATGCCCTGGATGGTGCTATTCGTAAACAAGGATTGCACAGCCAACGAGACACCCGTGCGCCGGCGAATTTGATAGGCCAGCTTGCCCAGGAGCAAGGAGTTACCTCCGAGCAAGAAGAAGTCGGACTCGGCCTTCATCATCGACGCATCGGCCAGCAACAAGTTCCCGATAATATCGCGCACGAGAATCGCCTGCTCGGAAAGCGCTGATGCGTGCTGTCTCGCCACCTCTTGCTCCATTGCCGCAAAGTCCACATTCCCCATAGCATCTCGCAGCAAGTCGTGTCGCCGCATAACGTGGAGAGGCGACGGGATGGAGTATCCAGGAAGAGACCGAGCCAGGGCAGCAGTGACATCAGACGAGTCGATCTCGTGAGCGCAGACGAAAGCCTCGGGCGAACCGTCTGTCCTCACGCGAAGGGCCACCTCCGAAACACCGAATACGTTCGTGATGGCATCGGTGATGGCATCAAAGTCGAGGTGAACCCGCGCACAGGCAATAGGCTCTGACAACGGGGCCATGTTGTCGGGAACAGCAGCCTCGAAGTGACGGTGCAGGGCGGGGACCGTGTCGGTGAGCTGGCCGATCTCGAGACGCGTGCCCAGCTTGATGCGGAGAGGCTTTCCGGCGCTGTTCTTGGGCACATCGGCCATGTAGACTATCGCAAAGGGCCATTTGGAAGGGTGAAGATGGTCCCTGTCGCAAGTTAATACTGAACGACACAAATGACCTGGAAATGTACCTGAGAAGATCCTGGAGCTGTGCCAAACCAATGCGAGGTGCACCAGGTTTAGGGACGATCACGACACCAATAGTCTCTTGTAGCACATCATGCTCAAGCGCAAACGCAAGCACAGTCTGAGCTCAGATTAGATTGGATTGTTTCAGCGAAGATCTGCATGACACACCTTGACGAACTGTTTCGCTGCGATGGAGACTGCCTCCTCAATCTCGAATGGCGAGATAACTTCGCCTCCCTTGTTGATGATCTCTTTTGATCTTCCCGTGATGTACAAGTATCCATCCTCATCCATGTGGCCCATGTCACCCGAATCAAACCAGCCCTCGCTCGTGAACGCCGAGGTATCTAATGGCTGATCTGGGTCGACTTCATATCCAGCAAAGGTCGGGAGCCCGCGAACGCAGATGGCTCCGGTGCTGCCTGTCGCGGTCGGCAGCTCGAGATTGCTCGGGTTGCGGATCGACAGGTGCGGGCCACAGGCTATCCCGCTGCATCCCGGGCGCTCAAGCTCGTACGTGATTGGTGGCGTAGCGATGGGCATGCACCTGGATTGGGTGACGACCATCAGCACCGACGAGAGATAACGATCATATGGAGCACCCACTCGGTCATGCCATACGAGGGAAGGATAACGGCCTCAAACGTCGATCTCAGGCTGACTGCAAGCGACGGGAGTAGTCCACCAGCCGCATTAGCGATCATGCGGATGCGCAAATCACGGGAAGGAAGCACGCCCGCCGGCTGGGAGGTCAAGATAGCATGGTGGATGGTCGGAGCGGCGTAGTACCTAAGATAACTTAGCGAGGCGCGTGTAGGTTAGCTGCGTGGTGCTGACCAGGTGGCTTGTAAATCACGTGAAAGCGTCCAGAAGGCTATAGCATCGAAACCGGCGCACATGACCGCGCTACCGCCAGAGAAGATGGGCTGTCACGTAAAATTGGGTTAAGATGAAAGACGGGGAACGAGGCCACGTACGGCGAGAAGATTGCGAACGATGCCGCCGACGT